TTTACCTACTATTGGCGAGCAATATGGAGAATATAACCCTTCAGGGGTAGCTAGAATCAACCCCAACGTGTTAAATGCAACCCTAAGGCTTGCGACCCCTCATTGGAAAGCTGGTTGAAATAGGAATCCAGCGTACTGATCATATTTCAGTTTGCAGTACGTTTGGGGGTTGCATAATATCAAAATAATATTTCGAAGTAATATATTTTCAACGTGGTTTCATAAAAATTGCAACTTTTGATGAAAGAGATATAGGGCATTTCCACCAGTTTGCAATAACACTTTGTTTCAGGCAAACAAAACAAATTTCCTTTTTAGGCTCTATAAAAACACTGGAATACAATAGCAGATAGCAGTTGTGACAAAAAATTGCCATAAATTGTTCGACACACATTTTGAGCAATTGATACGTTGAAAAAATTTTTTTGAAATTACAATTCGATTTTATGCAACCTTTAAACGTATGATAAACGAAAATTTGACAAGTACGATGGATTCTCCTTTCTAATAGCTTTTCAATGATGGGTCACAAGCCATAGGGTTACATTTGGAAAAATAATGTTGAGGGTGGTTTCAGCTACCCCTAGAGGGATATATTCTCGATATTGCTTGCAAAAGGTAGGTGAATACATTGCATCGTTGACGTTTGTCGGGAAATTTTAGAAAAAATATTCACATTCCTGCTAACGAATTTATTCCAGTTAAAGTCTCCCCACTGTATATGGAAAACGTTTGATAGAAAAACAACTTTTGCAAACTTTTGATGCCTATATATTGACAATTTTTGACTTCACCAACCCCTTCTTACTTTTGGTGAACTCCCTACCCCCTATACTGAAAAAAACTGACCTGTCCGAGGATTTTCCAAAATACACAATTTTGTCACTATTTCTGCAAAGGGGCGAATATCTTGAGATGATCATATTTTTTTCGAATTCGGTTGTCCCATTTGAATCTCCAGTATTTTCCGTATTCCACCTTGTACATTACAAGGAACATTTTTAGAGACACCGAAAACACACAACTATACTCTTATCAATCATGGAAATGCGCTGATGCGCTTTTGTTTCAGAAATTCTTCTCGAGGGTCCCGTGAACAATGTTTTTAGCTGTTTTCGGATAGATGGCGACATTGCACAATTATGACATCTATCAATTTTTGAATTCAGAGTTAAATAATTCCACTGTTACATATGTTCCGCGTACCTAAAATGCCATTTTCCATTTTATTTCCACTCGTCACAGCAGCAATCTTCTTCCAACACCGCCCTCATTCAGAAAAGTAGTTCATTTGAACGGTAGGCCACGACGCCTCCGATGAAGCTCTCACAGAAACTCTACTTGTGAAAGCAGAATTCGAAAACCGCACGCATCTAACATAGTAGTTCGTTCGAACAGTAGGTCTACAGAGCAGGTGGAAGCTCTCTCGTACCGGTTCTACGTATGGAACTAAGGGTGCGACTTGTTGAATTCGAAGGTGATCAATCCCATTATGAATTTGAATTTGTTCAATCGATTTCGAAATATTTAGTCCCAATTTGAACTTGAAGATGTGTAGAGGCAACGAAAGGTAACTAGTCCATGAAAGAGACAAATATACCGAACCAAACCTCGGGATGCGATAAAAAAAGTTTATCTCGGATGGGACAAACATGCAAGCAAAATTTAAAACTTAAATGAATTTTAAACTTGAAGCAATGATATAGAACTATGAAATGTAATATAGGTGCTCATGCAAGAAACTAAAATATTAAAACTAAGAAAGATGGCCAACATTCAACTATTAAATTAATTTCTTCCATAATTCACAACAGCGCATGCGCCAAATAATAACTAGCCGCACTGGAAAAAGATTACACAGCTGATGAAAGGTTATTGCATGAACACCAATATATTTTTAAATTAAAATTCGTTTAAATCTTAAATTCATTATAATTTAGTTGTTGTTGCATGAATCCCACCTTTACTGACTTCAAAATTGTTAATTGTCGTTCCGAATTTGAATTTGTTCAATCGATTCTGAATAATTATTCATACTTAATTTGAATATCTACAGTAGTATTCAATAAAAATGCGTACAAGTATTATAGATTTCGGCATCCTAGTTCTCATTGTGTAAAATTGGCTCAGCCAATGCTTTGTGTATTCAAGAACTTACGATTACTCTACTGTCAACATTTGGTAAACATTCATTCCTGATAGCCCGTTTTAGGCAAATAGGATGACGTTGATTTCTCCCTCCAATATACTTGTACGCTTTTTTTAATACGACTGTATGTGTGGAAACAACGAGAACTAACGACCTAACCTTCTATCTAACGTTTCCCATCACACCGCCCGCCTTTAGCGCAAAGTAGTTCATTTGAATGGAAGGCCCACCTACTCAGGAAGACTATAATAAATATGCGAAATGTAGTCGATCTCGGTGCCACTGGTTGTTCTTGTGGAAAAATAGGTGGGAGTTGTGGGCTCACGCCTTTTCATTTACACTGCACAGATCTGGCAAAGTAGTTCATTCGAACAGTAGGTCTACAGAGCAGGCGGAAGCTCTCGAATCGGTTTGACTTGTGGAAATAGAAATACGACTAGTTGAATTCGAATTCGTTCAATTGCATTATGAATTTGGATTTGTTCAATTGATTTGAAATTATTTAGTCCCAATTTGAAGATGTGAAATCTATCTAGCCCAGAGCCAAACCTCGGAATTTTCGATTTTGATGGAACACAATGAATTCTCACCTATAATATCACGAGAGCTTCAATTATACCGGATATTGATTGGAGGTAAAGTGGTATACGGTAAGAAAATTTCACACTGAAATATCATTAAAAAATTACTTGGATAATGACGATTTTTGATGGTTTTGACATTTGAATAGTTGGCTTTGTATGTTAACTCAAAAGAATAATATCTTTCTTTATTTACGTATGTGTTTTTGTAAATTTCGAATTTGCAAGTATACTTACATAATATTATATGGTGAACTGTTGATAAATGATTTATATTTATTGACTTATAGAATGAACTCGAAATAATCTGAAGTTGAATGTAAATGCCAGTTAACCTATAAATGTCAAAAAATTCGTTTAGTTGCTATGGTAACGATAGGAAATACAGGCTTTAAATTGATCGAAAAATGTTTGGTGTACAATTTTCTTCGTAATTGCATCTATCAATTCGTCTGTTGATTACCGAATCTCGAGGTGGAATGCTAACTTTCCTGGCTTAAACGACCTATTCTTCTATCAAACGATTTGTCACAAATCTTCCCACAACACTCGCCTCTAGTGAAGTAGTTCATTCAAACAGTAGGCCCAGACGCAGCCGATTCCACAGAACAGGCCGAATCTCTGGTATCAACTCCACTTGCGAAAGTAGAGGTAACATTCACTTAATTCGAAACTGTTCATTCTCGAGCCAAAGTTGAATTTCTTCAAATCGATTCTGAATAATTATTCACACCCAATTTGTATTCGAAAAGGTGTAGAGGCAACGAAAGTTAACGACCTATTCTACTATCGAACGTTTTTCCCATTGATCTTCCCACACCGCACGCCTCTAACAAAGTAGTTCGTTTGAACAGTAGGTCTACAGAGCAGGTGGAAGCCCTCGAACCAGTTCAACTCATGGAAGTAAAGATGCGACTTGTTAAATCCAAATTTGAGCAATCTCGTTATGAATTTAAACTTGTTCAGATGATTCGAAATCATAAAGACCCAATTTGAATTCGGAAATATGTAAAGGCAACGAAAGTTAGCGACCTATTCTTCTATCGAACATTTTCCCATTGATCTTCCCACACATCGCCCGCCTCTAACAAAGTAGTTCTTTCCAACAGTAGGTCTACAGAGTAGGTGGAAGCTCTCGCACCGGTACTACTTGTGGAAATAGAGGTGCGACTTGTTGAATTCGAATTTGTATTTGTTCAATCGATTCTGAATAATTAATTACACCCAATTTGAATATGTGTGTGTAGAGGCAACGAGAGCTACCGACCTATTCTTCTATCGAAAGTTTCAGATCTCACCGCCCGCCTCTAGCAAAGTAGTTCGTTTGAACAGTAGGCCTACTCGGGATGACTATAATAAAAATGCGAGCTGTACTCGGCCTTGGTGCCGAAGCGCTCCTTGCAAAAGGGACAGGGCACGCGAGAGCCCTCGCACTGGTGCTTCTTGAATTATTCAGCCCCGATTTGAATTTAAAAATGTGTGAGGGCAACGAAAGCTAACGATATATTCTTTATGAATTTGAACTTGTTCAGACGATTCGGAATCATTGAGACCCAATTTGAATTCGGAAATGCGTAAAAGCAACGAAAGTTAGCGACCTATTCTTCTATGGAACGTTTTCCCATTGATCTTCCCACACACCGCACGCCTCTAACAAAGTAGTTCGTTCCAACAGTAGGTCTACAGAGCAGGCGGAAGCTCTCGCACCGGTACTACTTGTGGAAATAGAGGTGCGACTTGTTGAATTTGTTCACATTCTCCTTCTAAATTCAAATTTGTTCAATCGATTCAGAATAATTATTCATACCCACTTTGAATATGTGTGTGTAGAGGCAACGAGAGCTAACGATCTATTCTTCTATCGAATGTTCCCATCACACCGCCCGCCTCTAGCAAAGTAGTTCGTTCGAACAGCAGGTCTACAGAGCAGGTGGAAGCTCTCGCACTGGTTCTACTTGTGGAAATAGAAGCAGAACTTGTTGAATTCGAATTCAATCAATCTCATTATGAATTTGAAAATGTGTAAAGGCAACGAGAGCTACCGACCTATTTTTTCTATCGAACGTTTTTCATTACTCCGTCCGCCTCTAGAAAAGTAGTTCATTCGAACGGTAGGCCCACCTACACGGGATGGCAATGATGAACATGTGAAATGTACTACGCCACGGTGCCGAAGCTCTTCTTGCAAAAGGGGCAGGACAGGCGCGAGCCCAGTGCTTCTTGAATTATTCAGCCCCCGATTTGAATTCAAAAATGTGTGAGGACAACGAAAGCTAACGATATATTCTTCCATCGAACGCTTTCCCATCGATTCTACCACACTGCACGCCTTCAATAAAAATAGTTCGTTTGCACAGTAGGTCTACAGAGCAGATGGAAGCTCTAAAACAAGTTCAACTCGTGGAAGTTAACGTGCGACATGTTGAATTCGAATTTGATCAATCTCCTTATAAATTTGAACTTGTTCAGATGATTCGGAACCATAAGGACCCAATTTGAATTCAGAAATGCGTAGAGGCAACGAAAGTTAACGACCTATTCTTCTATCGAACGTTTTCCCATTGATCTTCCCACACACCGCTCGCCTTTAGCGCAAAGTAGTTCGTTTGAACAGTAGGCCTACTCGGGATGACTATAATAAATATGCGAACTGTACTCGGCCTCGGTGCCGAAGCGCTTCTTGCAAAAGGGACAGGGCAGGCGCGATCCCTCGCACTGGTTCTTCTTGTGGAAGTAGAGGTGGGACTTGTTGGCGAACGCCTCCCAGCAGGAGGAGCACTTGTAGGTGCGATCAGGGTCGGGGAAGATCATGCCCATGCCCATGGCCATAGCGGCGTGGGAGCTACTGCCGCTCGGCACTTGCATCTGCTGCTGCTGCATCTACAATAAAATAAGAACGATAATGATTATGTTCATAGATTTTTTTCAGAATTTCAATTCCTCATTCCTACCAAATGACATGTTATAAAGTACCACCACTGTAAATATTATATTTTTTCTGCAACCGACACAAAAGTCGTCCATTTTAATACCAAAATTAGCTCTTGAATTGACGTTTCTATTACTGACACAAAAATAGGTATGTTGCTAGGCAACATATTCAATTCCTAGGAGCTAAAGTTGAACTTTAGCTCCTAGGAACTAAAAATGATGTACTAGACGTCATCACAAATAATAGTAGATTGTTTTATTAGGATCAAAAGTGACACTTTGTTTGACAAGCGAATTTTGCATTTGCGAGACGGAGCGTTTAGCGAAGTCGAGCGAAAGCGAAATTTGCGAGTCGAACAAAGTCACTTTTGATCCGAATGAAACATGCTATTTTTTCTGCAACCGAAACAATTAACTCAAATAAACATGTGAAGTAACCACCAATGCCGTGCCATATGTGCAATGCAAGGATGTTCGAATTGTAGTTTCAATATAAATACAACCACAGAGTGACATATTTGTGTATGGACCAGGTGCTCTAATGGCAAATACCGCGCCAGTGCCAGCTATAGGAACAAGACGTGGAAAAAGTTAGGTTATTGAGCATATCAACAATGATAATAGTGATTATTTATTCCTCTCCATACTACACTGTGTTTGACTTGATAATCAAATGAAGCTAAACAATATCGTTGTTTGAGACAAAAAACTATTGCTTGCCGTGATTATTCAAAAACATCCCGAGAATAACGAATGAAATACAGATCAAGCAAGTATTTGAATCTTGAAGGCTTCCCTGATCAAAACAAAAATACTTAACTGAGATGTTTATAATTCCTATACTAAACTATAATAAGGTGTATTTATATCTCCAACATTGGTATGAAATGCCAAATCTGCTGAAATCGGAAACAAATCAGGTATGCGTCTCAACCCAAATAACCAACCCTCACAATGTTGTTTATTCTTGATGACGTCCAGTACATCCTTTTTAGTTCCTAGGAGCTAAAGTTCAACTTTAGCTCCTAGGAACTAAAATTCAACTTTAGCTCCTAGGAACTAAATATGTTGCCTAGCAACATACCTATTTTTGTGTCAGTAATAGAAACGTCAATTTAAGAGCTAATTTTGGTATCAAAATGGACGACTTTTGTGTCGGTTGCAGAAAAACAACATTCTTACGGTTGGTTATTTGGGTTGGGACGCATGTACCTGATTTGTTTCCGATTTTGGCAGATTTGGCACTTCATACCCATGCTGGAGATATAAATACACCGCATTATAGTTAAGTATTGGGATTACAAACATACCAGTCAAGTATTTTCGTTTTGATCAGGAAAGCCTTCAAGATTCACATACTTGCTTGATCTGTATTCCATTCGTTATTCTCGGGATGGATAACTTATTTTTGAATAATCACGGCAAGCAATAGTTTTTTGTCTCAAACAACGATATTGTTTAACTTTATTTGATTATCAAGTCAAACACAGTGTAGTATGGAGAGAAATAAATAATCGCTACTATTATTGTTGATATGCTCACTAACCCAACATTTTCCACGTCTTGTGGCACTGTTGCGGTATTTGCCATTAGAGCACCTGGTCCATACACAAATATGTCACTCTGTGGTTGTATTTATATTGAAACTACAATTCGAACATCCTTGAAAATTGAATAAACCTGCTGTTAATGCATGTAGAATATTCTCACCACACGGATTTTGCATGGATTTTAATTTGTTGCATTGCATGGCACGGCATTGATGGTTACTTCACATATTTTATTTGAGTTTATTGTTTCGGTTGAAGAAAAAATAGCATGTTTCATTCGGATCAAAAGTGACTTTGTTTGACTCGCAAATTTTGCTTTCGCTCAGCTTTGCTAAACGCTCCGCCTCGCAAATGCAAAATTCCCTTTCAAACAAAATGTCATTTTTGATCCTAATAAAACAATCTACTATTTTACACTAGAAAAAGATGAAAAACGGACTAATAGGGGATTTTATTGAACTTCTGTAATCAAAAGATACGTTTTCACTATCTGAGAAAATATACAGGAGTCAGCAATAAGGGTAAGAACTTTAATCAGAACACCTTATATATTTTCTCAACATTGGACATACCTTTAGAAGAGCTTCCCAAAAATATTCCACTCAATATAAAATCTCTTATGAAAGAAAAAAATAAGAAATTCAAGATGGCGGATCCCATATGGACGAGTTTTGTAATTATGATCCGATTTTATGAAAATACAAATTTTTGGGGATTTTTGAGGTTCGAAACTATGAATCAAGATGGCGGACGAGTTTTGTAATTATATTCCGATTCTATTAAAAATTGGTATCTAGCTAGCGGTTTTTGGGGTCGGAGTTTTCATTTATTTCATCAAAATTTGAGAATTCAAGATGACGGATCCAATATGGCGGACGATTTTCGTAATTATGATCCGAATCTATTCAAAATTGGTATCATTATGATTATTTTGTCGAAATTAGGAAACTCAAGATGACGGATCCAATATGGCATATGAACTTTGTAATTATGATCGGATTCTATTCAAAATTGGCATCTGGGGATTTTCGGGGTTAGAAATTATGATTCAAGATGGCAGATCCAATAAAGCGGACAAGTTTTGTAATTATATTCAGATTCTATTTGAAACTGGTATCTGAGGGTTTCCGAGATCGGTGATCATGATTCCTACGTCAGAATTAGGAAATTCAAGATGGTGGATCCAATATAGCAGACGAGCTTTGTAATCTTGATCCGTTTCTATTTGAAATTGGTATTTGGATATTTTCGGGGTTAGATATTATTATTCATTCATAAAAATTGAGAAATCAATGATGGCGGATCCAATATGGTGAGAGTTTTCTAATTATGATCCGATTCTATTCAAAATTTGAATCTGGGGATTTTCGGGGCCAAAGATTATGATTCCTCTGTCATTATTAGAAAATACAAGATGGCGGATTCAATATGTCGAACAAGCTTTGTACAATGAACTCAATACAACTGGAAGGGATACGATCGTTCTCTCGAATAGCAAAAAGTGTGTCAGGGGCAGCTGCAACAAAGATAGCATGATTTACGGATACCTGTCCTCTTCCAACTCGTGTTGTTTAATGGTGGATTGGTGTATAAATTTTCTTTTATCTAATAATTAAAGTAGTAAAGAATTTTTTCTGTCATCTACACAGGAAAGAAAGTGAAGACATAAGTTTATTGTCTTAGTTCATGTGAAATACGAGGTGAAATATCCATTCATTTGGCGTGTTTTGTTGTAACAAAAGAACTGAATTTGTTGTTGTGAACACTGAACTGATTGAGAAGGTTTGTGATTAGTATTGATAAACAATGGTGATTTATTGTGTCACCTTTGGATGCAAGAATGAACAAAACAAAAGGAAATTAGCATTCCATGGGTAAGTTGAATATTGTTCTCAGATTTTTGAAAAATATAGTTCATGAAATGATCATCAGTTAGGTTTACAATGTCCAGTCTCAGAATATGTTCAAAAACTATACCTATATTATTTGTCAAAGTTAAATACTTCCATATTGATATTGAGTAATATTATTTATTGCAGTTTTCCAGTCAAAAGACCAGACATTCTCGAATTATGAATAAAGGCAGTTCCTAGTGAGAATTGGACTCCAACTAAAAGCAGCAAGCTTTGTGGGGAGCATTTCCTGCCAACAGATTATTCAGGCATACCAGGTACTGCTAGGTTTTTGAAAGCAGATGCTGTACCCAGTATATTTTCATTTCCTCAGCATTTGTTACCAAAAAATGCTGATTCCCCCAGGAAAATAAGAAAACTCATAGGTACCTAGTTGATTAATAATGAAAAAAAAAAAGTATGTTTGCACCTTTTTAAAATAAAAAAAACTAGCTAGTAATTTGTTTTCAGGATGCATCTGTGGACGTTCATAACTTGGGTCCAAAGGAAGAAGTTTCCCATGTTATTGACTTTGACTTGCCTACCACTTCCAGCTCCCAAGTTTCGAAGTTGATCAATAAAGAAACTCAAACTGTTTCATACAAAAAGTAAAAAGCAGAGACCTAAAAATTTCAAACATGAAAGAATAAGTAGTTCAATCAATTTCCAACAGTGGGTATAGTAATGACAATTAATGAGTGACCTAATAGAGGAATGGGAACCCATGGAAAATATGCTCAAAATGCACTCATCAATACCATTCAAGAACCTCTTTTCAAATTTTTCCTATCGTTTTTCTTTTCCTTCTGATAGTTCTGAGACATTGTGCTTCCCTCACCCTGTACAATATATTGTGAAATTTGAATGAAAATATATAATTTCAATTTTGTATTCATTTGACTTCCTGATCCTGTAAGAGTAATATTGAAATTTCATTTTAAAGTCAATAAAAAAATCAGCAATAATTTTTTAATGATAATTGATTACAACATTATCCTTTTTCCTAAATGAATATTTTTATTTAATCACGTTTACTCTCAAATAGAAGCAAAAAACGAGAAAATATTTCAAATTATGCGAGCGCTTCCCATTAGCCAACATTAGAGAGAGATAGGTATCCGTAAACAATGCGGGTTGCCTGAAAAATATTTTTGCCTCACTCGTCGTTCACAGTGGGTCCCTTCCAGTTGTATTGAGTTCATTGGCTTTGTAATAAAGTTTTTTGAAAAACTAATGGAACATGCTTTCATAGATAGCCAAACTAAAAAGAAGTAGAAAATAAATAGCTCTTCAGAAAACTAAAGAGATAGATTACCGAACTGAAAAGAAGTAAAAAATAAATGATAGTTTGAAAAACTGAGAAAACACGCTTTTATTATAGAATAGATGTTTATACAGGGGAAGGGGAGAATCAGAATAAAATCTGTCATAAGGAATCCGCATTTCCACACGAAAATCAGAGGAAGAAAAAGTTTGAACTTGAAGGTTGAACTTGAAGTTTGAAGAAGGTTGAACTTGAAGTTTGAACTAGAAGTTTGAACTTGAAGTTTGAACTTCAAGTTCGAACTTGAAGTTTGAACTTGAAGTATGAACTATGAAGATCTCACCTTCTCTTGCGGCTTCTTGATCGACAGCTGCGAATTCCCCTGCACCATCCGCATCACATTGCTCACTCCCAAGCTCCCCCTATGCTGCTGTTGCTGCTGCTGCTTGTTGGGGTTCTTGCTGATGGGCGTGATGCTGACAGCCCCATCGCCGAGCGATTCGGGAAACACCGTGGGCTGTTCGGGCTCGTAGATCTCGACCATGGGTTCCATGGCGGCGTCCATCGGCTCCTGCTTGATCTCCATCATCTCCATGATGGGACTGTGCAGCTGCTGCCGGTGGTGGGGCTGGTGGTTGGCGGCGGGGGAACGGTAGTTCTGCATCTGGAAGATGGAGGGGGAATTTCATTTCGTTTGACAACAAGTTTTTAGGATTCTCTCTCTCTCCTCGTCCTGAACAGGTGACAACGAAATCATTGAATTTTTTTTTATGTTCTGGTTCCCACGAAAAGGGATAATAATAATAATAATAAATAAATTTTATTTCAAGGAATACTACAATATATAAACGTGATCACATAAAGTAGGATTAAATGAAACAATAGTCAACAAAAGAATATGATAGTCACTTGTAAGTTCTACAAATATTTCCGAGATTATTTGATTCGAAAGTTCATGAACTCTGTCTCATCATATGGTTCGATGTTAACCAACAACTTAAAAATTGTTTTCTTGAATTTTGCTAATGATTTTATCGATTTGATGTCAATAGAGAGTTTGTTATAAAATCTAATACAAGAGTATAATGCACTGGACTCAGTTAATCGCAATCTGTGTGCTGGATATGTGTAGTTAGATCCTGTAATGTTCAGAGAACATCGTGAGAATCAAGGGAAATAAGGTAGGAATTGGTTTTTCTTGAATTTCTGGAGGTTATATGCCTCGGGGAACACCTTCCTTGGCAATGTGTACCAGAGCCTCGCTGTTCGTTGGATGAAAGTCTTTGGAAAGAGATGTTCTGCAGGTCTCCAAAGTGACCACGAAGGAATGCGAAGCCTCAACTCGACGGGTTAATCTCGCGGGGACTGCCAAGGAAAGAACAATTGTTGATATTTCAGAAGAGCATCGGCTATGGAAATATCTATAAAATAGAGCCAGATCGCCAACTTTTCTACGGTGTTCCAGAGAAGTGAGTGAGTTTGTAAGCGAGGCATCACCCACGAGACGAATTGCCCTTTTTTGGACAGAATCCAGCATGGGTACCAGCACAAACAGGGTACGAGGGCAATGAAGAGGCAGACTCACTTGACCGAGCAGGAGCAAACAAAGCTCTGAATGGCCCAGAACTCTTCTGTGGTATTGCGAGAGCTATACAAAAGACTAGTATCAAATCATGGATGCAAACCAAATCTCAAGAATGGTGGAACCACTCGCCAGGTATGAGACAGGCAAAAGAGTTTATTAAAAAACCATCGCCAACATTCACAGAATATCTACTAAGCCAGAAACGAAGTTCAACTAGAATACTAGTGGGACTTCTCACAGGGCATTGTAGGCTCAACAAACACATGAGTAGGATAGGTCTGACTGAAGAACTGCTGTGCAGTTTCTGTCAGGAAGAAGAGGAAACAGCAGTACACATACTTTGCCACTGTGAGGGCTTGTCAAGACTAAGGTTCCTTACGCTGGGTGAGGAAAAACCAGAAGCCCAAAGATACACAGGGGATCTGAAAGCTAGCCTATGGAGTCTCATAGAGAAGGCGGGGCTAGCCGAAGAACTCTAATCGATTTTGAGGCCAGACACAATAGATCTGAAAAGGTCGCGATGTGGAGGCAGGTAGCCCGAAGGCCCCATTCTAAATCTAATCTAAATCTAACCGATTCCAAATTGGCAAAAATTTTATTCCATAGTACAACGTCCTGATTTTCATTAAAATTGGATTTCTTTACAACATTATAAATCGGTACTGGTTCATCCTAATGAATTTATTTTTTTACCGAAAGTTGGGTAGTTCATCAGGGATCAATTCGTCTCGATTGAGTGTGCTTCTAATTTCCAAAGTAAATGAGCTATAACCTTTCAATCACGAACGCACCGATATGAAATGATGTGAAATCACAATCCACTAGTGTGACGTCAGCATCGAGATAACGGGGATAGACTACGACCCGGTGAGATAGAGTAGAGTTCCTAAATGTACTTGACACTGCTGTTTTGACGTTTTTTGTGTATTAGAGTACGGACACTAGACAAGCAGTGACAATCAAACATAACCACAAACGATTTTGAAGCAAATCATGTTTTGCCAGACAAGGACAAGAATATGTTTTTCGCTTAGATAAAGGATCCTCGCATCTTCCGTCCTTCACAAGTCCTGGGAAGAGTACATCCATAGATCTTTCTCTGTCTTTGATTTTTGTATGAGAGTGCATAGCGTCTCCTCGAGTGGGTAAACGGGTACGATAAATTGATTAGAAACTTATTTCTGCTCGAAATATAAAATGATAAGGCTGAAGGACCTCAATGGAGGTCGATATCAAGGTGGTATGTACATATATACCAACGAAATACATAAACTATTCCCATGGAATGAGTCTCTCATATGTAGGTATAAATATACGTTCAGTTGAATATTTTTTTATTACAAAAGTTCAGAATGGGGTAAAAACTGATAAATTTCAACCAATGTAACCTATTTCACTTGTACAAGAGTGGTAGGTGATAAGTAATTGGTTCATAATTCTGAATTTTAAACTACCCTGTATTCGTTCAAATTAAATATCAGAAGATAGTAAATCAAAAGTTAAGATAGGGGCATGTATGCCGTTTTGACCAATAATGAATAGTTTCGGCCCAAAAAAATCCTAAAGTTGAAATATCTCGATTTTGCACACCCTATATCTCTGTAATCATTCTTGCTAGACCCAAGTGTGATGCCTTGATGAAATCAGCTCATAAAGGAGAATCCGAAAATGCAATGAAATACAGGGTGTCCCATAAGAAAAAGTATAACTTTGATACGTCACGCATTTTTGAGTCACCCTGTATAAAGTGAAATATTTTGGAAATGTGCTGCTCGTGAGCCTACATCATCACAACAATTTTTGTTCATCTATCTCAAACATCAAAGGTGTTATCTCACTATCCCATTTCAATGAATCACCCTGTATATATACATATATATATAATAATGTTGCCGGGGTAGCAACGGGTAGGACCAATTCCCACCCCCCTCTCACAAGACTCCCCTAGGGATGTCTGCCGGTCACCTGTCTCTCGACTTATACCGACAGCACCCCAGGGAGAAATGGAGGATTTGGGTACGCCAAATCAGCGCGCTAGAGCCATCTCCGTTATGTAACGGCATGTTCTCCTGCTACCATTTTATTATACCAATGGTGAGGCCGTCTGATAAGACAGACTACTGGCTCTGCAGTGTCAGTGCCCGAGTAGAAACGCTGCTCACCCGCCGAGGCAGGCAAGATATCCTCCCACTTGACCCATAGTGGGATTCTTCTTTACCTCCTTTTGGAAACCGCTGCCCCCTGGAGTCCAACCCAATTGGTGAGGCACCAGGCCGTATGTACGGCCTGATGGGGCTATCCTCATCACCCCAGGTACCCATGTCAACAAGATTCCTCTTGTTACGTTTGATGGGTCGCCGTCGCAAAAGGCTTTCGCCTGATTGCTACTCATGTTGACAAGAATCCTCTCGTCCCGTTGAATGAGTGATCGTTCGAGGACTTTTCTCTAACTCGTTAACGGGAGAGGACCCGGCTTTACCTATGATGCCTGGCGATAGGATCGCTTGGGGCTACCCTCTCCCTGACGAACTAAGGCACAAGGTACACCAAAGTTCCAGATTTCGCTGAGCAAGCCCAGCTACCCATGTCGACCAGAATCCTCCAGTCCCGTTTGATGGGTATCCGTTCGCGGCCTTTTTCACGTTCCGCTACCATGACAAGAGTGGGGACCTCAAGCTTTTAACCAGTGGTGTCTGGAATCACTTGAGGCTACCCCCACCCCGACGCCGTGAGTACATGGTGGGCCCACGGCCGGGCAACAATAACAGCTGATTTCAGTTAGGATGAATAATAAAGGTTCTCCAAGACATACGGAAGTAGGTATGACTTCAGCGCTCGACTCACTATAGATCGCCGTTCACATTGCTAAAGGGGATTGTTGGTTTGAACCCGGCCATCGGAAGATCATTTTCGATACCAAACATAAATGGTTTACTCGTTAAGCTTTCTTCCTCCTATCTTCGTACCCAAGAAGTGGTTCAAAATCCACTAGGAGCTATGTAGTCATTTAGCACTTCTCAACTGTACATGTACATTCACATTCAGACTTATTTTCAAAGTCTCTATTTTTTTATTCTATTTGTTTCCTGAATTCCTCTCTCTTCCACTCGTAAACCTTGGATTTTTCAATATTCGTGCTCTGAAAATTCGATTCTCATGCCTTTTTCTTACAAAATATGTTCGAAATAAATTCATTATCTGCAAGTTTTTCGTTTCTTGTTGGTTCTAAATTGAAATAAGGTTCTTTTCGATACTCGCTCAGTTTATAAATTGTGGGTTCGGCTCTTTCTCTCAATACGATCCTATTCTTCAACATCAAATCTTCCCTTCTGAAATGTACCTGATGAAAATGCGTTGAAAAATGTTCTATATCCTACCAAGAAATTTGAATACCTCGCAAATTTTGTGGCCTGAACCTATATTCCATGCCGACCGCATCATATTCTGTTTCCATTTTTGTAGAATTACGTTATCCGATGAAAACTCGTATAGAGTGAATCTTTCTCCTAATTCTTCATATTCATGTCATGTACGTTCGTGTACTGTCAGTTCCCGCTTTTTCCATCAATTTATTTGTGGTTATGTCTGATTGTCAGTGCTTGTCATAGTGTCCATACTCTGATATACAAAAAACCGTCAAAACAGCAGTGTCAAGTACATTTAGGAACTCTAAGATAGAGTAGGCCCTGTCTGAACGCGCCCAAAGTTTGTCTCTCACCATGTGATTATTCTGACTGGCCTGCGGCGCCCGCGCCTTGTAGCTGGGCGGGGGGCCCTGCTGCTGCGGCATCGGGCTCTGCTGCATCTCGCCCTTGTGGATGCGCATGTGGCTGTTCCTGGAATAGATGGTAGGGAAAGGGGTGTTGCAGATGAAGCAGACGAAACTCTGGCCCGGAACGTGCTGCTGTCGCGGCTCCTTCTCCCTCATTATCGAGTCAGGCAAATACACCTTGAAACCGTGAAATGTGAATTTAATATGAGAAAATTCGTTGGCTACCGAAACATTTGCAATAGGTACTTCAGGAAATATTGCAAAACTTTAGAAATTTTGCAAAAGTTCATAAAATGTTGAAAAACTACAAAACCGTGCAGTTTATTCTTATTTATTTATTTATTTATTGAAAATGTTCTGAGAATCAAGTTCTGGTATAAGGAAGTATAGTTAACAATAATACCTAAAACTATACAATTATAATAAACTCATAAATAATATAATATTTGAAAACATCAAGTATTAAATTTTGACAAATCATTTCATATTGGTGAGCAACAATCAATTTGAATATGAATCAAAAGTTGAAAAGAAAAATATATCGTCTATTTCGTTCAGAAATGATTTATTTTTTCAAGTTGGTATTCGAATTTTATTGTATTTCTGCAATTTTTTATATAATCTGGTAATTTGTTATATTCAAAAAAACAGCGTGGGTGAATCTTTTTTGGCCTATAGAAGAATTAGCGATATCAAGATGAAATAAACCATGTTGTCTAGTATGATAATTATGAATTTCATTGTTTCGTGTCAAAATAAAATTGGATTTCAATCTTTTATTTATGATATTGTATGAAATTTTTAGTCTTTCAATATTGAACATTTCTTCTAATGAGAATGATTCACTTATTTTATATAATTGATTTGTTGGTTTATCATATGGTAAACAATACAGTACACTCAATGTATTTTTATATAATGCAGATAATTTATTAAACTTGTTTTTTGAACAGTATCCCCAAACATTTATCAGATGATTAATACGACTGAGTATATGAGAATATAGAATTATATTTGCAACTTTTTTATCCAGCTTGGGACATCTTCTTAGGGCTCCAATAATAGGAGATATTTTTTTCGTCAAAACATTTATCATCAAACCAAATCCCAAGATACTTTTTCTCATTAGTTTGTTTCAAAGATTCATTTTTAATTCTGAGATTCAAATTTATATTTTGTTTATTTTTTTGTTGAAAAGTCACATATTCAGTTTTATCAGTATTTATTGATAAATGGTTTGAATGCAGCCATTTTTCAAATTTCATCAATCTCTGTTTATTATATTTTCTAAAATGATTTTTATTTTCATATAAAAGTACCGTATCGTCTGCATAAATAGTGTAATTACTGTCTGTTTAAATTTTCGTGTTATTTTGAATATATAATGAATGTAAGATTGGTCCTGTAACAGATCCTTGAGGGACACCTTCAGTCATCGGTAGTCTATGAGACTCTTAGTAGATTTGGAACTGATTGTCATATTTTGAAGATACGAATCTAAAAGGTTCCTTATCATGCCTTTGAGTCCCATTGATTCAAAATTTTCCAAAAGTGTTATGTGGTCTACTGTATTGAAAGCTTTTTTGAGATCAACAAAAATTGCTATCACGGGAATTTTGTAAAACCCCCTAACATCTGCAAAACTTCATAAACTTTGGGAAGATTATTCACTGCAACGCTCTTCGAAAAAGCTGCAAAATCACGAAGTTTTGCAAATGTCCCAATATTCTATTCAACAGACTGTTCATTGCTCAGCGCTCAGCTCCTAAACATTCTGAAAAATCGGGAGAAATCTTTGGAACTTTGCAAAACTTTTCGGAATTTTGCGTAACTAAGGTATTTCAGCACACATTGTTCATCGCAAAGCTCCAAACAAGTCTTCAAAATGACAGAAATCGTGAATTTTGCAACACTTCTCGCGCCTTTTTTAATGTGAATAATAAGTCTATGCCATGTTAAAATTTGTTAAACTTCAGAGCTCATTCCAAACGTACCGACATGGTCGCCATTTTGCGATTCGCCGAATAAATGGTGACGTCAGTTTTTACGTTGTTTCGATATTGGTCCATTTCCACTCAGAAAGCAAGGTCAAGTCACCAATTATAATCAATTTATCAAAAAGATTAGAGTCCTTAAAGCACGAGATAAAACATAATATGAGGAAACCATGATATTATAGTTCATTATTGACTTTTTAGAGCAACCAGCATGTCCAAATATTTCTAATACTCCATAACAAAATATCATGTTGATGTTGGAAGACTTGGCAACAATGTGCGGAATGCTGAGAACTGACAAGACACCGCCCACAATTCCTGCGCCGTGTTGTCAAGTTTACCCTCAAATGTCTTCTAGTGTGAATTAATATAATAACATTATCATCAACACAAATGTATTATAAGCAATGATAAGCCACAACACATGAGGACATATTTTTTAGACAATTGATTCTTTGTTTGTAATTAGGAATATAACCAATACATAATCTAGAATTAATGAATTATTGAATAACTAATATTTCTGAACTTCCCAATCGTATTTCAACATATGGCAACTGTGCTATGGTCTGCCCCTAGTTAAGAAATCGTGGCGTCAATTTTTACTTGCCGTGAATTTCTAGCCGTTTGAAAATTACCGTGGCATTATTGATGACTTTAGCACCTTAAAATCGAACTAAAATTCTTGAAAATATTAAATTGAAAGGTATTTGAGTGATTATTCTATTTAGGAGATAAGGAAATCCGGAAGGCAAACCTTGGGGAAAGGGGAGTAGAATTGTTTTTGTAAAACTTACAAAAATTTTGCAATACTTCAAAACATTTTGCAAAACTTCAGAAATTTTGCAAAAATTCATGAAATGTTGAAAAAAATTCAAAACCGTACGTCTGTTCTATACAAAGCACCTGAAAATTCAGGAAAATCACAAGAATTTTGTTAAAACCCGTGGTAACAGCAAAAATTCATACATTTCGCGATCATTCACTGCAAGGCTCCGGAAAAACTGCAAAACCATGAAGTTTTTCTAATCTCCCACATGTTTCACAAAAATTCATACTATTTTATGAAGCTTCAAATTTTGATCGTTCATTGCCCTGCTCCCAAAAGAAATTTTGCAAAACTTCATGAAATTTTGCGTAACTACGGAATTTTTGGACACATTTCAACAAAATTGTTGCAATTATTCATTGCAACAACAAAAAAAAGGAAAATTATGAAGTTTTGCAAAAACTCTCAAATGTTCACAAAACTTCATTAATTTTTATAAATCAACGAAATTTTTCAACACAATATTCATTGCAAAGCTCCAAACAAGTCTGCAAAATGACAGGAATTGTGAAAATGCATAGAAATTTATTAAAACACTAAAATTCATGAAATGAAATGAAAACTAGGAAACTGCAGTTTGTTCAGTCCAAAGCTAACAACGAAAATACATGATAATTCTGTTGAATCTCCTGACATTCTGCAAAACTTTGGTTGAAATTCCGCAAAACCACGGAAGTTGAGACAAAGTTAAAATAACATGCAAAACTACGGAATTTTTACAAATTATTATTGTAAAACATAAACAAAAAAACTACAAAACATCGAATCGAAATTTTTGCACATATTGTTCAGTGCAAAGCAACAAGAAAATTCGTCAAAATGACAGGATTATTTAAAACTCCTGAACTTTTACAAAACTGTACGAAATATGGCGAATTTAGGAAATTTTTAGGAACTACAATTCTCAAAATCCTTGTAAAATTTTGCAAGACAACAAATTATTTGTGAAGGAGGATAATTAGGAAAAAACCTTAGAAATTTCTTTTGTCAAATCAAGATTCATTTAATTTTATCTCGGATTTTTAAGGGTCCCAGAAATTCTTTTTCAATTTCATTACCTCATCTTTATAAGGCCCAATTTCTTTGGTACAATTTCGCATTTAGAAATTTCTTTTGTCAAATCAAGATTCATTTAATTTTATCTCGGATTTTTAAGGGTCCCAGGATTTCTTCAAAGCAATTTTCAATTTCATTACCTCATCTTTATAAGGCCCAATTTCTTTGGTACAATTTCGCATAGGCCTACCGGCGGGAGAAACTTCCCCGTTCTTGGGGGGGCCGAAGTTCGGCCTACCCCCCGAATTCCGCGCTGGGAACTGGTGAAAGTCACAGTTTTTGCTATGGATGTTGAATTCGTCCAACTTGAAGAAAACCTTGAAAAAAAAGAACATCAACATTTATAAAACAAGTATTCTCGGTTTCTGTTTTCAATAATAATGCGTCAGAAGATGACTAAAATATTCAAACTGAATGATGAATAGTGATTGAGGTATAATTTCGAAATTGAAATGAATGGATGGAAAAGTTTCAGATGTACCTTGTAGCATTTCCGGCAGAAATAGGCCTGGTTGCCAGACTTGGACTGGGAGGTGATGAAATCTTTGGAGTCCTGGGGCTCCTCTTTGATCTGTAAATTCGGCTGTAGACTACGCCTTTCCATGACATTTTTCATCTGCAAAACACAAAAAATAATAAAATTCATCATTCCACAAACCATGAGACTTTTGCCAGAGACAACATACTAGTACTAGTATGTTGCCTCTGATTTTTGACATGAATCTGAAAGAAAAAACGAAAATATGAAACAAAAAATAAGAAATTTCAAAGGAATACAGTCACCGGCGAAAAGAACAGCCAGAAAAAAATTGTTCCTCCTGTAACATTTTTAATTCTTGCCCGATTCAGATGAAATTTCTCCAAATCGTATTCTTTTTTGGAATGTCTGAAGGCTTGATCATTATACATGGAGAAACAAAAGTTATTTTTCACCCTCAACGTCTTAACGCCCTGTGGCAGAAGTGAGTCATCAAACAAACATTTATATTTTTTGGTAAAGTATTATCTCTTATGGTTTTTGATTCACGTTGATATCTTCTCTTCAAGATTTCATTTATTCCCAATCTGGCACATTTTTTCTGGCCGGTTTTTTTGCTGGTGAATGTGTCTATTAATGTCTATCATGGGGTAAAGTTGATGATGGTTTTTCCGAAACGAAACTTCGTACGCAAAATCTCTCAACGATGTCTTGTAGAGCTTAAAAAGTGGCAATAAGAAAGTGTCTTTTTTCTGCACCGACACAAAAGTCGTCCATTTTAATACCAAAATTAGCTCTTGAATTGACGTTTCTATTACATTTTTATGATCGGTTATTTGGGTTGGGACGCTTTCCTTATTTGTTCCCGATTTCGGCAGATTTGGCATTTCGTACCCATGCTGGAAATATAAATACACCATATTATAGCCAAGTATTTTTGTTTTGATTAGAAAAGCCTTCAAGATTCACATCCTTGCATGATCTGTATTTCATTTATTCTCCGGATCTGAATATCTTGTTTTTGGATGATCACGGCCAGCAATACTTTTTTGTCTCACACAACGATATTGTTCATAATCATTTGATTACCGAGCCAAACACAGTGGCATATGGAGAGAAATGAATAATCGCTATCATTATCGTTGATATGCTCACTAACCTAACATTTTCCACTTCTTTTTCCTATAACTGACACTGGCGCGGTATTTGCAGACACCTGGTCCAAATGAATTCATCGATTCAATATAATACACAAATGGGTCACTCTGTGGTTGTATTTATATTGAAACTACAATTCGAACATCCTTGAAATTCGAATAAACCTGACCTGTAAATGCAGGTAGAATATTCCCACCACACGGATTATTTGTGCATTGCATACATATGGCACGACATCCACGTTTCCGGTATAGTATTGAATTCGTGCCTGTAGTATTTGATGATGCATGTCAAGAAAAATTGTAACAAAGTAAATTCATCGTCCACCAATATTTTAATGTGATGTAGTCTGAGGTCTTGCTTCTATCTATTTACCTATATTATTATAATAAAGGTGTTATAATAATCTGCCAAGTAAGTCACATTGGTGGTTACTTCACATATTTATTTTAGTTCATTCTTTCGGTTGCAGACAAAATAGCATGTTTCATTCGGATCAAAAGTGACTTTGGTTGACTCGCAAATTTTGCATTCGCTCGGCTTCGCTAGACGCTCCGCCTCGAAAATGCAAAATTCGCGTGTCATAAGTGTCACTTTTGATCCAAATAATGTCAGAAAAAAAAAAGATCCCCATGATAGACATCCTGATATCTTAGACATAGTGTATACAGTGTGCCCCGCTTTTCATGAATACACCCTGATATCTCAGTTCTAAATGACGCTATTCTCTTGAAATTTCAGTGGTGATTGTATGTTAGAACAATGAAGTATTTAGCAGAGTGAACAGTTTCATTCACCATTGGCGTGCAATGTTGAGGGGTACAAAAAAGACGATTATTCGAAAAAAAGGATATTAGGCCTTATTTTACATAACTGCTCTCATCACATTCAGAATCAGTATCCCCAAACACTCGCCAATTCATATTTTCAAAATCTCAAGAAGAATTCAAAATCCCACTTTTCATGACTACGTCCCAAAATCTCAATTATTAATGATGCGATTTTCTTGAAACTGTGATGGTGATAGTATGTTATGTTTTTAACATACAATCACCATCAAAATTTCAAGAAAATAGCATCGTTGATGACTGAGATTTAAGGGTGTTGTGATAAAAAGCGGGATTTTGAATATTTAATTTTAGCTCTTGAGATCTTGAATATATGAATTGGCAGGTTTTTGGGGATGATGATTATGAATTTGATGAAAAAAGTTATTTAAAATGAGTCCTGATATCCTTTTCCCAAATAAAGGCATTTTTTGTACCCCTCAACATCGCACGCCAATGGTGAATGAAACTGTTCATTCTGCTAAATACTTCTTCATACCAACATACAATCAATATAAAATTTTCAAGAAAATCGCACCATTAGTAATATTCTTTTTACCAACTTTGACTGAGATTAACCAAGATTCTCAGTGCAGCTCAATAGCTAAGTTGTATAACATGTTTCATTTATTAAGTCTGAGTTGTCTTAAGAACTTATTGAGACTATTTCTTCCCCCTCACCCCAACTAAGCTTGCTATTCATCTGGTGTTGAAGTGAGAAAGAGGTGAGACTGGATTAATTCTAGTAATTCTGTGGTTGTGTGCTGAAAATTGTGAGGTTATATTTTCATTTTGACATGCTTTCAGCTTTGAAGTTTCAGTCCACGGGTTAATTCTTTTGAATACTCACTACAATATTTCTATGCTCCTCATTAATTTCCTCAGCCATATCCCATTAGGGTTGAATAATGTTGGGTTATGTTTTCTTCCCTTGTCCTTCCTGACAGATTTAAAAGTGTTCTTTTTACTCAATGGACAACTCAGATCCGTCTCACCTCCTTCTAACTCAATGGGCCTGTTTCAGTGAAAAATTTTATTTCATTATTTCGAAGTACTAACCCTAACTAGTTCACTGTCGCGAACCGTTTTTTCCCCAGAGCTCTGTACATTTTTTAAATAATTATTGAAATACACGATATTTCGTAACATGAAAAACGCGGGAAAGCGCGTGACGTAGGCAGCCGGTGAACAATTCATATAACTTTCGACATACATATCCATTCTCTCTCTCTTAGACAAGTGCAAAATTATTTCTGATTGTCATTTATCAAAATATGTGAGATGAATATTTTGGTAATGACTAAAATTGGAGAAGAAGATTGCGTATAACCTAAACTATGGTAGTCGTATATTTTATACCGATTTGTCAAAATAGTAGTGAGAATTCGCCTGAAAAACTGTTTTCGACCGTCCCTGCTAGTACCCAACGCAGGAAAAACTGGTAGTGCATCTGGAACTTATTTCAGGACATGACCTCTACTGCTGTGAGGATCATTTCAATGTGAGTTCCCATTGTGAAATGTGATATCCTTGTCACTTTCCGATATTCCAGCTTGAAGACAATTCAGTTAATTGCATGTTTTCCAAAATCATTGGAACAACACTCAAGCTGAAACCTGACTGATAAGGGAAACAAAAGGAAAGCAGAGTTGCTGGAAAATGTTTGGAAGAAACGAAAAATACAGCTATCAGATTATGCAGAACTAAGTGCAGAACCCTCATCATCCAAAAATGTAGCAAATACATCTATATCAGTTCCTGACATCATTGAGGTTGAGGAAGCAATAGTTATTCAGACTAATATAAAAGGGCCATTCAGAAGTAGAGGTGTAAATATGGGAAATAAAACTTTTCATGATGTATACCCAACCAATGAATCATATCAAGTTGAGGGAGAAGAGTGTGATCAAACCTTGTTGTATGAAACCTTCATTTTCAAGTTCATATACAATATCTGAATCTCTTTCATCTCCTACAAGGAAATATGAGCTAAACAGTACAACTGATCTTGATGAGATTGCTGAGGAGATTAGAGACAGACATACAAAAGCCAGTTATAAAGAAACTGCAATTAATGCAATATAACTTTATCAAGATTGTTTCTTGGAAATCCAGGGACTTATATAATAGTACATCTTATTTATGAAGAGGGAAGCATTTCTTGTGAAGAGTGTCTGATTACTTTGAAAAAAGTGAGAATTCAATGATCAACACCAAAGATTATCTTTTGATTTTGGAGTTAGTATTAGCAATATCCAAAGAATTTTTACCAAAGATGGCACATGTATTGCAGAATTTTGTATTTCAGCCTGACATAGACAATAGACATTCAAAAAAATACACCAATCACATTTAGAGCAGTGACATTCCTTTTATCTTGTACTCCAAATGGATTCATCAATTTCATACCTAAAGCATAGGTATGGAGGAAGGATATCTGATACAAAGATTGTGAAAACATCTACCAATTTGAATGAGTTACCCACAAATGTATCTATTTTGGCTGATAGAGGCTTTAAACATATTGCCACACTGAGAAAGGTTGTGAGTTAGTTAGGCCACCAAGTGTATCATCACAAATGAAATATACACCACAAGAAGTACGAAATAGCAAAATAATAGCATCACTGAGAATTCAGGTTGAAAGAGTTATTAGAAGAGTACATGCAAAAATGAACTATTGTTTTTTTTTATATGTCCATGGGTATAAGTGTTCTAGTGCTTATGAATATTTGTGACAGTGATGAAGTGAAATTAAATGGTTCCATTTTTAATATGTATATATTTTAGGTACACCAAAGTTGGCATGGTTTTGTGAATTTTGATTTAACAAGTTCTATAAAAAAATATCTACCTATTTATAATATATCATTCTACCATTGTTCATTTTTGTTTCAATCAGATCACTAAATGTTCCATGAAGATTTTTTCATGACCTATGTAGATCTCTTGTAATATACATTACCTACTGTGGAATAATACTGTATTTTTCATTAATTGAATATTACAATTTTGATATAAGTACTTACTATATTTGTTTTTCATTTATAATCAATAAAAATAAATCACAATTAACTATAATTTGTAAAAGTATAATATGGAATCTATTGTAGATTATTTTCACCTCATTTTCACCAATTATCTCTACTATGTCTTCATCTCCCAGACACTTTCTTCATTACACTAAAATGAATATAAAATGTTACATATCAATATACCTAGTTTACTAATAAAGCAAGGCTTCATGATTAAAGTGAAGTAGATAATTAGATGTTTTCTTGGGAACATACCAGGTCTCTTGGCTCAGATGCTTTATTACTGGATTTCTGATTTAAACCTTTTCTCTGCTCTCAGTGTTTGATCCACATCAGTCTTGTGTTTTGAATGGGCTAGAGATTGATGATCCATATTATACTGCCCAGGCTGGATGATTTTCATCTTTCAGGCACTAGGTTCTCCTACAAGGTAAATAAATTATGTGTTTATTGAAAACATGATGTTTCCAAACCATGAAGCGCCATCAAAGGTAATGAGTATTGGCTTCTCTCATCAAAAAGAAAAATGATATATGTTAATTTTCAATAGCATAAAATACTAAATTCATCAGTTCTAGAGTAGGTAGGTACATATGAATAATATTAAAATCCTTTTTCTCAAGTACCTGTTATGAAAATAGTGTCTGCTACATATCCTCTGGTTTATTATGAATGTTTCTGTTGTTGATTCTTTCTCTTGATGGCTGCTATCCACATTTCCCTTATTTTTCTTGATAGATCCTTCATCTGTGGGTAATGCACAGAGTTTTTCACAGTATCACAGTAGGAAAGGGAATAAACATCAAATGGTCCCACCACAATACATGTTACTGGCATTTTCTTCTCAAAATCACAGTGAGTTTTCATTATTCATAATCAATCTGAACAAAACTTAATATACTCTAAAAGGCTTCCAAAACCCACAAAGTCCTCAAGTAAACAAACGTGTCTTTGATTTGTTTTTGTTTACCAACCAGACGGCCTACGTTAGGTTAGGTTAGAATAATTCTTCTTCTCAATTGATATTTCGACGATTGCGCTGTTGCCAGACTCACAAAAAAGTTTGTGTTTGAATAAAACTATGATCATTATAACGAATATTAGGATATTATTACTGACACTGAATCATCATCTTGCAAGGTATATAAGTATTCATTTAGTGATTATCAGGAACAGGTGGCCACATTGTCTTTTGCGAACGTAAATACTCTGTCATTGGTGATATTGAATCTCATATAGGTAATTACTGGCTATAAATTTGGCAACGATGACTATTCTCCGTGCCAGCAGGTTGATGACGTCACGAAACCTGGCGTTTTTCGAAGGTTCTGATTTTCAATTAATGAAAAAACGTATTTTGGATGATTTTAAATAACAACTGATAGCATCAATTACTATTCACACACGGACTGATCAATATAAAATGGGTATGTGGCGTGAATTCGATTAGAGTGTACAACCCCATTGATCTCAGTAGTGAGAATGTAACAAGGTAAAATGAATATTGCTAAATCGGTAAGAGAAATGGTTGTGTATACTTAGTATAATAATCAATATTAATGAGTAAGAGTCAGGCTATTATACAATTTCATCATTTAATAGCAACTCGAACGTTTTTGGCACTAGGCCATCATCAGGAGAGTTCTGAAAAGTGAATGTTCCTTTCACAGGTACAATCAGAAATCAGAAAATCCTAACTTTAATTTTGATACAAATATACATGTATTAGATAATGTCAAAGGAAACAATCTTCAACTGGACCTCCTTGAGGATCGAGATAACAAAAGAAATGCAAATTAATGATCAGTGTCTAAACACACAAATACATCTCAATCAAACCCGCTTCAAACCAATTTTCAAATCTCTTAAAAAACATTTTATTCCATCCAATAATCAATAGGGATATATACCCCGTAATTAAAATCCAAAAACATTTTTCCTAATTTGGATTGCTTATCTGTGTTACACAACCTTGTTTATATTATTCATATAACACATTCAAAATTGTAATTTGTTAACTTAATTTTCAGTTACTCCTACTGATTTGACAACAATGTACGTCACTCATTTCATTATTGTTTCTGTCTGGCTTGTCATTATTTTGAATAGTTCCGTGGTCACTGTCAGTCGTCATCATTTCCATTTCATGTCAATTGTACTATCTCAATTTATCAATGTTTATGTTTTATGTCTTTTCTTCCCGAAAGTAGAGGGAACAGCACTTCACTATTGTGCCATTTCAATATTTTGGATAAATCCAAAAACATCTTATGAATTAACCAATGTTGTTCAATACATTTACATGGTTTTTAATGCAAGAATACATGACCAGTGAGTTTTTGTTCTATTCAACGTTTTTATTCTGACATAATTTAATTATTTCTAACCTCACATTTTTACATAAATTGTACATGTAAAAGTGAAATTCACTTTTCAGATACTCTCCTGATGACGGCATAATGCCGAAAATGTTCGAGTTGCTATTCGCGGGAATCAATGTTACCAGGTGGCGCTCGGTTTTCATCGTTCCATGTCAAAACTGGGGGAAAACAAACTCAATCCTCACTCAATTCCATCAGTGCCATTAGCTTGTGTACTGTGTACTGATTAGAGTGATGTTTTTAAATTTCTTGACATTAATTGTCAATATTTGAACGAAAACGCTGATAATGCCTGTTGTAGATGTTCTTTTTGCAGATATTTCGCTCTATTTAGATGGAAAAAGCTTCTAAATTCGAAAAATCAGGGGTATACAAACTCAAATGTGGATCTTGTCCTAAGGTATATATTGGTCAGACAGGTCGTACGTTTAATCAGCGCATTCATGAACATAAGATGAATTTTATGAAAAAGAAAACAAATTCAACATACGCCAACCATATATTAGAAGGAAACCATAGTTTTGATGATAATTTCGAAATTCTGCACGTAGAAAATAAAGGACTGAAACTCAATCATTTTGAATCATTAGAAATCAACAAACTCAAACATTTTGACATTCTACTCAATGATCAATTAGACCTTAATAGTTCACCACTGTTGAATTTGTTTTCTTAGTAAGTAATAATATGTATTTGATATCAACTCTTTCAAGTTAATCCGGTATACCGTAATTTAATGTAGATATTGTGCCTAATTTCCGAAAATGGAGGTTTATCGTACCGGTCCACAGGTAACTAATCCTTCAGGTTGGGTAGGTAAGATATATAAAAGTTGAGCAAGCCAACGTTAGTTTAGTTCATTGTACCAGTATATCACCTGACGAAGCTACTGTGTGCGAAACATGAAACATGTCGTGTGTTTAATAAATTTTGTGGAAATCTTATCGTTTGTGAAGTTTTTACATGTAAAAAAAATAACCAACTCAACCATCATCACTACCAACAGTGCCAACACTTCATGTCATTGACAAGTTTGACTACAGCTACAGCAAGCTGAATGCATTGTAGTCTATGCACTTTAAACATAGACAACAGTTTGGTTTCCCCCAGTTTGAAGTTCGTATTATGTAACCTAGATGTCGCCCACTTCGTGAATCTAACGAATTAAATGATTAAAATGTATACTATAGCCTGAGTCTTACTCATTAATATTGAATATGAATGTGTTAATAACTGAGACATCAGGGTGTATTCATGAAAATCGGGACACACTGTATAGAAAATATTGAAAAGCCACCTTCATCTGCTGGTTAAACGCCGGACTGTTCTGCCCTTGGGCCCCGAACATCTCTGGCGACGGATTGTGCTGCGTCACGACGATCCTTCTCGGCTTAGGAGGGTGCAGCACCTTCGGGATGACGTTGCTCAGCTTGCTCGCCGCGTACACCTTCGCAGACACTTCGTGCTTCTCCGCCTTGTGCTCGTCCACGTGCTCCTCGAACTTGTGCCGCTGCTTGTTGAAGCGCATGCCGCAGTAGCGGCACGTGTAGAAGCACGCCAGCGAGAAGTAGTGGCTCTCGATGGCCCAGTTGTCCTTGAATGTGTAGCTAGGAGGAAGAATGCCTCATATGACAACGATAAATAAGAATTGAATATCTATGGTGAAGATTCTTCTTTGATTTTTCACAGCAGAACACAAAAACCTTCCATGTCAATGTCAGCAGATTTGAACTGTCAGTATCGAGTGTTCGCTAAAAATTCCTTCTTTGTCAGTGGAAGAAAACTTCTATGTCAAGGGAACAGGAGAAACATCTCTAGTGAGACTAAAGATAGTTGTAGCATGCATATTAAGCACTATTCACAATAAAGAGAAACGGCTGTTTCAGACCAAGAAGAGTAATGCGCCTGCTCCAGAAGGAGCAGAGGCTTTCGATGGTCTAGTTGTCCTTGAACATGTAGTCGAAGGATCTCTTGTCTTTATAAATGTCTTATTATACCATTGGTGAAACCATAACTAAGAATTGAATAGCGGTGCTAAAGATTATTCGTCATTTTCCATAGCAGAACACAAAAACCTTCCATGTCAACGTCCGCATAGCTGAAGAAAGGATGTTTCGCCTTTATAAATGTCATATTATACCATTGAGAACTAGAGTAGAATAGAAACTACGTGTTGCTAGAGGAAGAATGCCTCATATGACAACGATAAGTAAGAATTGAATATCGATGGTGAAGATTCTTCATCATTTTCCACAGCAGAACACAAAAACCTTCCATGTCGGTGTCAGCAGATTTGAACTGCCAATACCAAATGAAGTGCAAACAAGTCTCTTTTCACGTAACAGAATATTCCTTTATATCGAAGACTGGAACCTTTGGCAGGATAATACACTACACACTGTTTTATCACTAACCAAACCGATTTTTTAAGCCTCCACACATGTTTTCACCAACTATGTTAGCATCTTCAGGGGAAGATTAAAACTAACTATAATCTTTTCCTGAAGATGGTAACATAATTAGAGAAACACGTGTCGAGGCGTAAAGAATAGGGTTGGTTAGTAGTAAAACAGTGTGTAGTGGAGAATATTCCTTGTCGACAAAGAATTATAATGGGTTAAGCCAAACTTCTGTGTCGGACAAAATAAAATAACCTCCTAAGGCACATAGAAGGTTGTCGACATTTCGTGCTTCTCCGCCTTGTGCTCGTCGACGTGCTCCTCGAACTTGTGCCGCTGCTTGTTGAAGCGCATGCCGCAGTAGCGGCACGTGTAGAAGCACGCCAGCGAGAAGTAGTGGCTCTCGATGGCCCAGTTGTCCTTGAATGTGTAGCTAGGAGAAAGATATCTCATCAAGGTCAGCCATTTGTTGCGGCTCTGGGCGAAGGGCAGATGAACAGAGCTTTTTTCGAATTTATTTGAATACACTAACAGATAACAAGGTCCATAGTGAGTTTTTTTTGTTCTGGTTCCCACGAACAGGGATATCCTGTAATGTTCAGAGAACATCGTGAGAACCAAGGAAAATAAGGTGGGAATTGGTGTTCTTCTTGAATTTCTGGAGGTTATATGCCTCGGGGAACACCTCCCTTGCTGTTCGTTGGATGAACGAGTCTTTGAAAAGAGATAGAACATCTCAGGTCTCCAAAGTGACCACGAAGGGGTGCGAAGCCTCAACTCGACGGGTAAATCTCGCGGGGACTGCCAAGGGAGGAACAATTGTTGATATTTCAGAAGAGCATCGTCCATGGAAATATCTATAAAATAGAGACAGATCGCCAACTTTTCTATGGTGTTCCAGAAAAGTGAGTGAGTTTGTGAGCGAGGCCTCACCCACGAGACGAATTGCCCTTTTTTGGACAGAATCCAACAGTTTCAGGGTATGTCTGGATGCTGCACTCCAAATATGGGAACAGTATTCCAGAACAGCTCGTATCTGTGCCTTATAGATCATAAGCAGCTGACTGGAAGTGACATAGCTCCTGGCGCGGAACAGAAAACCAAGTTTTTGGGATGCACTCTAGGGAGACTGAAGAGAGTTGTTGCATCCATATTAAGCATTATTCATAATAAAGAGAAACGGCTGTCTCAGACTAAGAAGAGTAATGCACCTGATCAAGCGCGAAGCAGAGGCTTTCGATGGTCTAGTTGTCCTTGAATATGTAGCTGGAGGATCTTTTGTCTTTATAAATGTCTCATTATACCATTGAATAGCGTTGATAAAGATTATTCGTCATTTTCCATAGCAGAACACAAAAATCTTCCATGTCAACGCCCGCATAGCTGAAGAAAGGATGTTTCGCCTTTATAAATGTCTTATTATACCATTGAAAACTAGAATAGAATAGAAACTTCATGCTTCTCCGCCTTCTGCTCGTCCAAGTGCTCCTTGAACTTGTGTAGCTAGAGGAAGAATGCCTCATATATTATGACAACGATAAATAAGAATTGAATATCGATGGCGAAGATTCTTCATCATTTTCCACAGAACACAAAAACCTTCCATGTCAATGTCAGCAGATTCGAACTGTCAGTATCGAATGTTTGCTGAAAAAAACCTTCTTTGTCAGTGGAGAATATTTATAGAAGACGCAAAACTTCTATGTCAAGGGAACAAGAGAAACATCTCTAGTGAGACTAAAGAGAGTTGTTGCATCCATATTAAGCACTATTCACGATAAAGAGAAACGGCTGTTTCAGACTGAGAAGAGTAATGAACCTGCTCCAGCTAGAAGCAGAGGCTTTCGAGAACATGTAGCTGGAGGATCTCTTGTCTTTATTAATGTCTTATTATATCATCGAAAACCATAACTAAAAATCGAATAGCGTTGCTGAAGATTTTTCGTCATTTTCCACAGCAGAACACAAAAACCTTCCATGTCGACGTCCGCAGATTTCAACGCATAGCTGAAAAATGTTTCGCCTTTGTTGCTAGAGGAAGAATGCCTCATATGACAACGATAAATAAAAATTGAATATCGATGGTGAAGATTCTTCATCATTTTCCACAGCAGAGAACAAAAACCTTTCATGTCGATGTCAGCAGATTTGAACGTGTAGCTGAAAAAAAGATGTCTTGCCTTCATAGTAGTATAATCTGGTGAATACCGACGGTGAAGATTCTTCGTCGTTAGATTTGAACTTTTAGAGTGAAACAATTTAAAAAAGAAATCCTTTCAAGTGACAAAACGTTTCTTATTGATAAAGAAAAATAATTGAATAGCCAAAACTACTGTGTCAACGGTTCAATTGGAATGAATGTCTGACTTCAAAAGCATGTGGCTCCAATTCTTTGACGAGAACCATCTAATAGGGGTGCAAACAAAGACGTTTATAAGCAATACGTTGAATGGAACGCCTCGAAATGCCAAGAACGCCTTCCTGTTTCTGAATGGGAGATTGTTGAATTCCAGTTTTGATGTATTCTTTCATAGACATATTCCTGGTACCCTGAAATGCATTGACCCACATAATAATTCCATTTAGATCAGGAATAAGAACCTTAAACTGAATGCAAGGAACAGGTATGCATACAAAAAACACTCCATTTTAGCGAGTTAAACCTCTCAAACCTGTCCAAGGAAATATTTTTATTATTAATACGACATTATCTGATTCTGTTTCGGAAGGATGGTAAAATGTGCTGCGTTAGGCTGCATCAATCAGTTGAATGGCAAACTTGAATTTGTCAGCTTTCCATCAAATGCAAATAAACTTAGATCATGGAAAGTGAAGTGACACATTAGTTTGAATACCTACACATTTGTCACCATTTCTCAACCATAAGGCTTATTCTGAAATCAAAATTAATTTATTGATAGGTACTGCCTAAGAACAGTCCCATTTGGTAAAACGTATTAAACTTTCAGAAAAATTTGCTCACTGCCTCACAAAGATTATGCTGGAGTTGAAAAATCAAAAACTCGAAAATTGGATATAATATGTAGAGTTGAATGAGAAATTACATGTGGAAATAACGTATGTTACGCCAATGTCCTTAATATAACCTAAAACACAACAAATGTCAGAAATCTAGTGTTTATAGGTTGCGTGCAAGATCTGTCAGATGGCAGATCCTGGAGGCAAAACATTGACACAAAACTTAACTTTTCTCATATGTTTACGAGATTGAAATAGTTTTTCACACATAATTTGGCATACGAATCGTGTCTCTCTCTGCTCTTTATTAATTCTAGAATGCCATCACATTGTGCTGTTGTAAAATGCACAAAAAATGCAGCGAGAGACGAAGTAATCCGATTTTTCAGGTTGATACATTATTATTTAAAAGTACTATATATATATTCTATCTGCAATATTCGTGAAGTTTCTAAAAGAAAAGAAGAATAGAAGATTGGATTCATGTAATCAAACGGGAGGACTGGTCTGACATGCTGACGAAATATGATCGTATCGTATGTGTTGTAGATATTTTAACTCTATTAGCAGTAGCTTCTATTGATGAAAACTATGTGAGATCACTATTCACCTAAAAAATCGTGTTCCTTCGTCTCTCGCTGCATTTTTTGTGCATTGTACAACAGCAAAATGTGATGACATGCTTGAATTGATGAATAGCCTAAAAAAACACGATTGGTATGTTAGAATATTGTGAAAAACTATTTCAAACCTTTGATTTCTTTGTAAACAAATAAGAAAAGAGAGGATGAGGTAGTATTTCAATGTTTTACAGAAGAGTGAGGTTGTGTTTCGATGTTTTACAGAAGAGTGAGGTTGTGTTTCGATGTTTTACCTCCAGGGTCAGTCATCGTGCACGCGACCAATTCCCACTTTGGAATGAGAGGAGACGAGGATCTGTCCTTACCCTGTTAAGATGACAAATACGTCGAAGGTACCTACCTTTTGAAAGTCTATGAAAGAATGTATAACGGTCAACTCACCGACACAGCGTACAGAACTTCTTGTTCACCCCCGCTATCCGCATCGACTGGTACAGCAACTTCCTGTCATCCTTTGCATAGTCCCCCAAATAAAAACCGTTCACCGTGGGCTGCGTGCCAGCCAACACGATCTTCTCCTCGCCGGTCAGCTTGGGCGCCGTCTGCCCTTCTGGCACCGGCCCCCCCAATGCCCCACTCGCCCCCCCAGATGTTCCCTCCGGCTTGACCATTTCCGGGACGGGGACGAGTAGGTTGGAGGCTGTGGGGTCGACCGTTTCGACGTCGACGTCGACTTGCTCGTCGATGACGATGTCGTCGTCCTCGTAGCCGTTCTCGTCGAAGAAGGTCAGCCATTTGTTGCGGATCTGGGCGGAGGGAAGATGAACAGAGCTTTTTTTGAAATTATTTGAATACTCTAAGAGATAACGAGGTCCATAGTGAGTTTTTTTTATGTTCTGGTTCCCATGATAAGGGATATCCTGTAATGTTCAGAGAACATCGTGAGAACCAAGGAAAATAAGGTAGGAATTGGTGTTCTTCTTAAATTTCTGGAGGTTATATGCCTCGGGGAACACCTCCTTTGGCAATGTGTTCCAGAGCCTCGCTGTTCGTTGGATAAACGAGTCTTTGGAGAGAGATGTTCTGCAGGTTTCCAAAAAGACCACACAGGGGTGCAAAGCCTCAACTCGACGGGTTAATCTCGCGGGGACTGCCAAGGGAGGAACCATTGTTGATATTTCAGAAGAGCATCGTCCATGAAAATATCTATAAAATAGAGCCAGCTCGCGAACTTTTCTACGGTGTTCCAGAGTAGTGAGTGAGTTTGAGAGCGAGGTATCACCCACGAGACGAATAGCCCTCTTTTGGACAGAGTCCAACAGATTCAGGGCATGTTAGGCTGCTGCACTCTAAATATGGGAAACGTATTCCAGGACGAAGCAGCTGACTGGAAGTGAAATAGCTCCTGGCCCGAGACAGAAAACCCAAGTTTTTGGGATGCACTTTTAGCAATTGATCTCACGTGATTTTCTTAAGAAAGGTTATTGCTGATAGTAATACCAAGCATCGAAATAGATGTCTTCAAAGTTATGGTTACTCCTGACAAGCTTATGTTGGGCACAGTGAGATCGGCTTTTCTAGAGAAAAGGCATGCTTGTGTGTTTTTGCATTGAAATCTACCAAGTTATTGGATCCCCATTCGAGAATTGTTGCCAAGTCCATATTTCTGTTGTCAACATTTCTCCCTCGTTCGTTTCTGATTTGCCTTGCTGGTATTGGAGCCCGTATAACATATTGCAATTATATGAGAATTATATAACATATTACAATTATATGAGTGACAAAAACGTTCCAAAACTGAATGATTTTGTTGAAGAATTTCAAAAGTGCAGTGATGAAGAGGTACCTACCTATAAGTATTATTAATTTGTAGTTTTGAAAACATCATTGGATGCAGAGAGATACTATGCATAAAAATCAACTGATAGTTTTAGATAATGAACATTATATTCCCAAGATATAAAGCATGATGGAAGAATGACTATATCTACTTTTTATTTTTATGGCATGATTGATCAATTTGTATGTACTTATTACCTATAAAGAGTATATTATTGAAAATTATATTACTAATGTATAGGGTTGCTGAAAACAAATCGACCACAAAAAAATTATTGTAAATGTATATTTTTATTTGACGTTTCAACATTTTATACGAAATTGTAGGTCTGTTCAAAAACCGTCCTAAAAGTGCAGTGTAATGTAGGAAGTGTAATGGAGTCCCAGTGGGATTGCACCAGTGCAAAACTGATACAGTGTCAGTGCAACACCAGTGCTTAGTAAATGCAGCACTAGTTTTTCCAATGGTTGTAACGATAAATTTGGCATAATATGTTTGTTCACTCTGTATTAGTAAAAAGAAGATATTAACGTAACTTCTAGACTATCCGGAGTTAATAATACTGTCAAACATATTGCGCGATCTCCAGGAATATTTTCTAACCACCAACGAAACTATTAGACTGTTGGCCTGCGACACAGGGTTTATCGATGTTCTAAGTCGGTATGCCATTTGAGGGACCCACTCACTTAGTCCAAGTTAACAGGAAGAAGTGCTTCGGAGAGTCGCAAGTCCTTGCCCCGGCCCTGACCTCACCGGTTGGAAAAAAGTTCAAAATTTTGTTTAAGAAGAAGCTCTCTGGCGAAACAATAAATTTGGACCCATTAATCAGTTTCCCGACATTTGCATATGATTCCGGAGAGGGGAGCTCAATTTATTCGAACATCATTTGACTGGATATTCTTCAAAGGTAACGTTACTGCGGGTAAATTGAAGTCTGATAAACTCTTATATGGAGCACAATATACTTCTGTTGAAACCACAATTGATTTCAGATTTTATTTTTTTATTTCTCAGTTCAAAGGCATACAACTGAGTGGTGCCTATAAAAAGAAGGTACATACTGTGTTGGATGAAAATAAATAAAACTTGATAATCCTTACCTACGACCCTGCCACCAGACAATGAGCACCAGGGCGATAGTAACCCCAAATTGAAAGAAAGATAAGGTTACATGGTATTCACTATAATTTGATGGAAATTGGACATTTATTTCGATTGGTCGCTCACCTCGGCGTCGTCCCTCGACGAATGCCACGGAATCGGATTGTCGATCTTGTCGCCCATCTCGACGTCCAAATGGCCCACCTCGTGCACCGCCAGCATCTTGTAGTTCTGGAACCGGGCGCCGCAGTAGTTGCACTCCGGGTAGATCGTCTCGCAGGTGTACTCGTCCGGCTCGTAGTCCGGCACGTTCATCACGTTGATCGCGTTCAGGGCCAGCATCAGCAGCGTCAGCGGTTGGTATCTGCAAGTTTTTTTCTTCATTTTGTTGTTATTCGATTGCATTCAGAATGTTTCAGAATACTCTGTATTACACTAATTTAGAAATCCCCTTGTTTCAGATCCGGCTCGAAGGACCATAAATGTTCAGTAGTGATTCGTCGAGAAGCTCGTCTATTTCTTGAATACTACTAATGAAGACCTTTATTTGTCCCAAAAAACTAGGACAAGTTTATGAAGGGACACTGCAGTAGTCTAATGACTCGAAGGTACCTTCGTAAAGTACTGAATACATTCATTTTTAACAAAATTATTCATTTCTGAGGAATTTTCTGAAACAAATCGGTTTTTATTTTCAATTTCATCTTGTAGTATTGGAATTGGGCGCCGCAATAGTTGATCGTCTCGCTGGTGTAGTCGTCCGGCACGTTCATCACGTTGATCGCGTTCAGGGCCAGCATCAGCAGCGTCAGCGGTTGATATCTGCAAGTTTGTTGTTTCAGATCCGGCTCGAAGGACCATGAATGTTCAGCAGTTACTCGTCGAGAAACTTGTCTATTTCTTGAATATTACCAATGAAGGCCTTTATTAATATTTTGTAATTATGGTCAGATTCTATTCAAAATTGGTATCTGGAGGTTTTAGAGGTCGGAGATATGAATCATTTGTCAAAATGGGGATATTCAAGATGTCGGATCCAATATGGCGGACGACTTTTGTAATTATAGTCAGATTCTATCAAAATTGGTAACTAGGGGTTTTCGAGGTCGGAGATTATGATTCCTTCGGCAAAATTAGAAAATTTGAAATGGCGGATCTAATATGACAGACTCGTTTTTTCAATATAACTCTTTCGGAAAACTATGTTACTGTTTTGTCAAAATGTGTTCAGCATAATGAAATATACCGTTTAGCTAATATGTTTATGGAACTGAAATGAAAGATAAGTTTGTATTTTTGTGAAAATAATTTGTTTTCAAAATGTGGGGCGTATTTCACTGGTTTACCCTACTACAATTTATTTCTCCAGCAGCCACACCCTTACCTGATCTCCTCCTCGTCGGCGAAACTATTCTCCACCCCCACCTCCTCCTCGTTCTCCTCCCCGTTCTCCTCCACGTTCCCCTCCCCGTTGATCTCGTCGGGGTGCCTGATCGTCAGCCCCTCTCGCCCCTCCAGTGCCAACGGGTCTACAGACGCGCCGTCCTTGTTGCTCTCGTCGTCTTTGTTGCTATCGTTGTCCTCGTCCTCGCCCGACTCGATGCGACGCCTTTTCGTCGGTCGCTGCGCCTCGTCCGAGTCCGACGACGACGAGTCGCTCGGTTCGTCCAAGCCCTGGAAACATCAAGGGTTTAGCAATGAACTCAATATAAACAACTGGAAGGGAAACGGCCGTTCTCTAGAATAGCACAAAGTGTGTCAGGGGCAGCTGCAACAAAGATAGCATGATTTACGGTAACCTGTCTCTTTCCTACTCGTGTTGTTTAATGGTTGATTGGTGTTTACGTTTTCTTTTATCTAATAATAAAAGTACTTTAGATTTTTTTCTCTCATCTGAACAGGCAAGAAAGTGAAGACATACGTTCATTGTCTTTGTTTATGTGAAATATCTATTCATTTGGCCTGTTTTGTTTTATAAAAAGGACTGAATTTGTTGGTGTGAACACTGGGAACTGATTGTTGAGAAGGTTTTGATAAACAGTGGTGATTTATTGTGTCGCCTTTGGATGCAAGAACTAGCAAGACAAAAGGAAATTGTGGATTTTTGGAAAATATTGTTCTTGAAATGTTCATCTATGTTCAAAAACTTCCATGACTTTTCCATAAACATATCAAGTAATAATATTTGTGGCAGTTTTCCATTCAGACATTCTTGAATTATGGATTAAGGCAGTTCGTAGAGAGTTGGACTCCATCTAAAACCAGCAAGCTTTGTGGAGAACATTTCCTGCAAAAATTGCGAAAATTCCTGAAAATTGGAAAAATTCCTGAAAATTCCTGAAAATTGCAAAAATTGCAAAAATTACTAAAAATTGCAAAAATTACTAAAAATTGCAAAGAATGCAGAAATTGCGAAAATTCCTTAAAATTGGAATGAATTCTTAAGAATTGCGAGAATTTCTGAAAATTGCAAAAATTCCTGAAAATTGCAAAAATTGCAAAAATTCCTGAAAATTGCAAAAATTGCAAAAATTCCTGAAAATTGCAAAAATTGCAAAAATTCCTGAAAATTGCAAAAATTGCAGAAATTGCGAAAATTCCTGAAAATTGGAAAAATTCCTGAAAATTGCAAAAATTGCAAAAATTCCTGAAAATTGCAAAAATTGCAAAAATTCCTGAAAATTGCAAAAATGCCTGAAAATTGCAAAAATTGCAAAAATTCCTGAAAATTGCAAAAATTCCTGAAAATTGCGAGAATTGCAAAAATTCCTGAAAATTGCAAAAATTGCAAAAATTCCTGAAAATTGCAAAAATTGTGAAAATTCCTGAAAATTGAAAAAATTTCTGAAATTGAAAAACTTGCAAAAATTCCTGAAAATTGCAATTTCTGCAATTTTTGCAATTTTCAGGAATTTTTGCAATTTTCAGGAATTTTCGCAATTTCTGCAATTTTCAGGAATTTTTGAAAATTTTTGCAATTTTTGCAATTTTCATGAATTTTTGCAATTTTCATGAATTTTTGCAATTTTCAGGAATTTTTGCAATTTTCAGGAATTTTTGCAATTTTCAGGAATTTTTCCAATTCTCAGGAATTTTCGCAATTTCTGCAATTTTTGCAATTTTCAGGAATTTTTGCAATTTTCAGGAATTTTTGCAATTTTCGCAATTTTCAGAAATTTTTTGCAATATTTGCAATTTCCAGGAATTTTTGCAATTTTTGCAATTTTCAGGAATTTTCGCAATTTTGGCAATTTTCAGGAATTTTTCCCAATTTTCAGGAATTTTTTCCCAATTTTCAGGAATTTTTTGCAATTTTTGCAATTTTCAAGAATTTTTGCAATTTTCAGGAATTGCAAAAATTGCAGAAATTGCAAAAATCGCAAAAATGCCTGAAAATTGCAAAAATTCCTGAAATTTGCAAAAATGGCAGAAATTGCGAAAATTCCTGAAAATTGGAAAAATTCCTGAAAATTGCTAATGTTGCAAAAATTCTTGAAAATTGCAAAAATTGCGAGAATTCCTGAAAATTGCAAAAATTCCTTAAAATTGCAAAAATTGCAAGAAATTCCTGAAAATTGCAAAAATTGCAAGAACTGCAAAAATTCCTGAAAATTGCGAAAATTCCTGAAAATTGCAAAAATTGCAGAAATTGCGAAAATTCCTGAGAATTGGAAAAATTCCCGAAAATTGACAAAATTGCAAAAATTCCTGAAAATTGCAAAAATTGCAAAAATTGCGAAAATTCCTGAAAATTGGAAAAATTCCTGAAAATTGAAAAAATTTCAAAAATTCCTGAAAATTGCAAAAATTCCTGAAAATTGGAAAAATTCCTGAAAATTGCAAAAATTGCAAAAATTCCTGAAAATTGCAAAAATTGCAGAAATTGCAAAAATCGCAAAAATGCCTGAAAATTGCAAAAATTCATGAAAATTGGAAAAATTTCTGAAAATTGAAAAAATTGCAAAAATTCCTGAAAATTGCAAAAATTGCAGAAATTGCAAAAATTCCTGAAAATTGCAAAAATTCCTGAAAATTGCAAAAATTCATGAAATTTGGAAAAATTTCTGAAAATTGAAAAAATTGCAAAAATTCCTGAAAATTGCAAAAATTGCAAAAATTTCTGAAAATTGCAAAAATTGCAAAAATTCCTGAAAATTGCAAAAATGGCAGAAATTGCGAAAATTTCTGAAAATTGGAAAAATTCCTGAAAATTGCAAAAATTCATGGAAATTGGAAAAATTTCTGAAAATTGAAAAAATTGCAAAAATTCCTGAAAATTGCAAAAATTGCGAAAATTCCTGAAAATTGCAAAAATTCCTGGAAATTGGAAAAATTCCTGAAAATTGTAAAAATTCCTGAAAATTGCAAAAATTGCAAAAATTGCAAAAATTACTAAAAATTGCAAAAATGGCAGAAATTGCGAAAATTCCTGAAAATTGGAAAAATTCCTGAAAATTGCTAAAATTGCAAAAATTCCTGAAAATTGCAAAAATTCCTGAAAATTGCAAAAATTGCAAAAATTCCTGAAAATTGCAAAAATTCCTGAAAATTGGAAAAATGTCTGAAAATTGGAAATATTGCAAAAATTCCTGAAAATTGCATGAATTCTTGAAAATTGGAAAAATTTCTGAAAATTGAAAAAATTGCAAAAATTCCTGAAAATTGCAAAAATTCCTGAAAATTGCAAAAATTCCTGAAAATTGCAAAAATTGCAGAAATTGCGAAAATTCCTGGAAATTGGAAAAATTCCTGAAAATTGTAAAAATTCCTGAAAATTGCAAAAATTGCAAAAATTCCTGAAAATTGCAAAAATTCCTGAAAATTGCAAAAATGGCAGAAATTGCGAAAATTCCTGAAAATTGGAAAAATTCCTGAAAATTGCTTGAATTTAAAAAATTCCTAAAAATTGCAAAAATTACTGAAAATTGCAAAAATCGCAAAACTGCCTGAAAATTGCAAAAATTCCTGAAAATTGCAAAAATTCCTGAAAATTGCGAAAATTGCAAAAATTCCTGAAAATTGCAAAAATCCCTGAAAATTGCAAAAATTGTGAAAATTCCTGAAAATTGAAAAAATTCATGAAAATTGAAAAAATTTCTGAAAATTGAAAAAATTGCAAAAATTCCTGAAAATTGCAATTTCTGCAATTTTTGCAATTTTCAGGAATTTTTGCAATTTTTGCAATTTTCAGGAATTTTTGCAATTTTGCAATTTTCAGGCATTTTTGCGATTTTTGCAATTTTCAGGAATTATTCCAATTTTCAGGAATTTTCGCAATTTCTGCAATTTTCAGGAATTTTTGAAAATTTTTGCAATTTTTGCAATTTTCAGGAATTTTTGCAATTTTCAGGAATTTTTCCAATTCTCAGGAATTTTCGCAATTTCTGCAATTTTTGCAATTTTCAGGAATTTGTGCAATTTTCAGGGATTTTGGAAATTCTTGCAATTTTCAGGAATTTTAGCAATTTTTGCAATTTTCAGAAATTTTTTGCAATATTTGCAATTTCAGGAATTTTTGCAATTTTTGCAATTTTCAGGAATTTTCGCAATTTTCAGGAATTTTTCCCAATTTTCAGGAATTTTTCCAATTTTCAGGAATTTTCGCAATTTCTGCAATTTTTGCAATTTTCAGGAATTTTTTGCAATTTTTGCAATTTTCAAGAATTTTTGCAATTTTTGCAATTTTCCTGAAAATTGCAAAAATTGCAGAAATTGCAAAAATCGCAAAAATGCCTGAAAATTGCAAAAATTCCTGCAATTTGCAAAAATGGCAGAATTTGCGAAAATTCCTGAAAATTGGAAGAATTCCTGAAAATTGCTAATATTGCAAAAATTCCTGAAAATTGCAAAAATTGCGAAGATTCCTGAAAATTGCCAAAATTGCAAAAATTCCTGAAAATTGCAGAAATTGCAGAAATTGCAAAAATTCCTGAAAATTGCAAAAATTGCAGAAATTGCGAAAATTCCTGAAAAATGGAAAAATTCCTGAAAATTGGAATAATTCCTGAAAATTGCAAGAATTACAAAAATTTCTGAAAATTGCAAAAATCGCAGAAATTCCTGAAAATTGCAAAAATTCCTGAAAATTGCAGAAACTGCAGGAATTGCGAAAATTCCTGAAAATTGGAAAAATTCCTGGAAATTGCTAAAATTGCAAAAATTCCTGAAAATTGCAAAAATTGCAAAAATTCCTGAAAATTGCAAAAATTCCTGAAAATTAGAAAAATTCCTGAAAATTGCAAAAATTTCTGAAAATTGCAGTTTGCAAAAATTCCTGAAAATTGCAAAAATTGCACAAATTCCTGAAAATTGCAAAAATATCTGAGAATTGCAGAAATTGTAAAAATTGCAAGAATTTCTGAAAATCGCAAAAATTGCAAAAATTCCTGAAAATTGCAGAATTTGTAAAAATTTCAAAAATTCCTGAAAATTGCAAAAATTGCAGGAATTGCGAAAATTCCTGAAAATTGCAAAAATTCCTGAAAATTGCAAAAATTGCAAAAATTCCTTGAAATTGCAAAAATTGCAAAAATTCCTGAAAATTGCAAAAATTCCTGAAAATTGCAAAAATTCCTGTAAATTGCAAAAATTGCAGAAATTGCGAAAATTCCTGAAAATTGGAAAAATTCCTGGAAATTGCCAAAATTGTCAAAATTGCAAAAATTCCTGAAAATTGCAAAAATTGCAAAAATTCCTGAAAATTGCAAAAATTCCTGAAAATTGCAAAAATTGCAAAAATTGCAAAAATGCCTGAAAATTGCAAAAATCGCAAAAATGCCTGAAAATTGCAAAAATTGGAAAAACTCCTGAAAATTGCAAAAATCGCAAATATGCCTGAAAATTGCAAAAAGTGCAATAATAATTGCAAAAATTCCGGATAATAGTAAAAATTCCTAAAAATTCCTGAAAATTACAAAAATTGCAAAAATTCCTGAAAATTGCAAAAATTGCAAAAATTCCTGAAAATTGCAAAAATTGCACAAATTCCTGAAAATTGCAACCATGACTAACATCAACTTGGCGGTTATTGTCTATTCACGGTTGGGTGAATATATACCTAGGATAGATAATTGATAATTTAGTTTTGATCCTCTCCTGAAGATGCTAACATAGTTAGCGAAACACGTGTCGAGGTGTAAAAAATCGGTTTGGTTAGTGATAATACCACAAGGGATACTATTTTGCCAGAAATATTCGGCGATTGTTAGGACAGCTTGATGCCAATGAGGTAGCAAGCTGGAGTATATACATCGACGGATATTTCCAGGAATGAATATGAATATTTCATGCTTGAATCATTAGACAATAAATGATAATAACAAATCCGTACCGTCAAAATTAAATACTAATTATAACTGATGTTATAAACGTCAAAACTTTCATCTCTGCAAAATGATGTTGATTGGTCACGTGTGAGTCAATTCAGGTTCTGTATTGGTAGAGCAAGTCCGATAATTTTTAGTAAACAAAAAATATCTCTGTAATATAGGCGAAACCGTTAAAATAGTTATTGATTGGTTCTCAAGAACAAGAATAGAATACCAGAAGGTAATACCACTCCAAATTTAATCGATCAATTTTTCAATTTTCTACAAAGATGGCGGACACTGGTAAGTCAGATTGAATTTGCTAGTTCAATGTAAACAAGGTTTCATCAAGGACCATGCAGTGTTATCAGTATACTACCAAATAATTGGATAGAGTTACGCATTGCTATTGGTTGATATAACGAAAACGTCACATTTTGACATGTGGAACAAATAATCCTCCTAAAATGTCCGGCTTTTGATACATCTATATTCATGTGCCGAATGCGAATTTTCCAACAGTCCCTTACCTGAGATCCTTCCGTGTTGTACTCCGTCAGACTGCTGCAAATGGAATCGTCCAGCTCATGATAGAACGGCACCACTTTCCTCTTCCGCAACGACTTCTCGTCGCTGGCCACTTCATTCTTCACCATCGATTCGGCGATGGCCTTGTGCAGATCCGTGCACAGCTCCACTTCTCCATTCACCTCGCTGCCGTCCCGGATGGCTTTTTTGCAGCCTTTACAAAGGACTGTGAGATCTTCGGTCGAGGTGCTAGCATCTTTCAGTTCGGAGGATTCGTCCTAGATAAAGGAAGCGCCAATCTCAGACTAAACAACAATATATAGACACCGAGATTCATTCATAAATCATTAAAAAGTAGGTATAAGCCGACGATCAAAAACGCAAGATAAATGAATGTTTTCGCGAATGGTGGGGATAATATTGCGTAACCTTCCATGTCGATGTTAGTAGATTTAACCATGTAACTGGAGAAAGGATGTCTCGTCTTTATAAATGTCTCATTATACCATTGAACAACCATAAGCTACTCACTGGTAAGATTCATTTTGGATGTTATGCATGAGAGTGATTTCTAGGGAATTATGATTCTTCACTGCCAAGATGGTATATTATTCACTTATAGATTCCCAATTACGATATGGAATACCTTTTTGGGGAGTGTGCAGCCCAACGCCTTTAAAAACTCTGTTTATTCTACAGAAACGAGTGATAAGGCATTTATGTAATGTCAAACCTCGATATTCTTGCATAATTTTATTTTAAAATAATAAAATATTGACAGTGATTTCACTATTCATTCAGGAATCTGTTTGCCTGATAAATAAGCACAAGTTAAAATTCACTATAACTCCCATCCATCATAACACGCGCAACAGAAATTTCAGTTTGAAATTTCCTCTACCCACAAGAGAGTTTATTGAAGATTTCATATACTATAATGGTGAGAAAATGTACAACCACTTGCCATTTGAGATAAGGTCAGCAAGTCTGAATGACTGTCAATTCAGGAAGAAAGTCAAAAAGTTCCTCTCTGATAGACCCTATTACAGTTTGCAGGAATATTATAGTGATACGTTTGAGTTGTGATATTTTAGTATTTCAATGTGGTATTTATTTTGACTATATTGTCTCGTGTTTTTATGTCGTTATATTTTAATCTTTTTTACAATATTATCTGACCTAGCTTTATCAACAAGAATCTTCTTCAGACATAAAGCATATATTATTATTATTATTTATGAATACGAATCGAATAGCGATGGTGAAGAATATCGAACTTCTTGCAGCCCTTTCAGTTCGGACTGTTCGGAGAATTCGTCCTGGACAGAGGAAGCGCCAATCTCAGACTAAATAACAATTGATAGATACCGAGATTCATTCATAAATCATTGAAAAGTATACGTGACCGTGTAGCTGGGATGTATCGTATTTATAAATGCCATAAAGCATTGACAACCATAGAATCAAAAAGGGATGGTAAAGAATAGCGAACTATTCCTCTTTCCCAATGACTTCTCGTCACTGGCCACCTCATTCTTCTCATTCTTCACCATCGATTCGGCGATTCCGTGCACAGCTTGTACAAAGGACTGTGAGATCTTCGGTCGAGGTGCTAGCATCTTTCAGTTCATTCGTCCTAGATAAAGGAAGCGCCATTCTCAGACTAAATAACAATAGATAGACACCGAGATTCATCCATAAACCATTAAAAAGTTTACGCCAACGATCTTCATCGCCAGACAAGGATAAATGGATGTTATCGCGAATGGTGGGGATACTATTGCGTAATCATTGCCCTTTCATGTCGATGTTAGTAGATTTGACCGTATAACTGGAGAAAGGATGAGTGATAAGGCATTTATGTAATGTCAAACCTCGAGATTCTTGCATAATTTTATTTTCAATGATTTCACTATTCATTCAGGAATCTGTTTGCCTGATAAATAAGCACAAGTTAAAATTCACTATAACTCCCACCATCATAACACGCGCAACAGAAATTTCAGTTTGAAACTTCCTCTACCCACAAGAGAGTTTATTAAAGATTTCATATACTATAATGGTGGGATTATGTACAACCACTTGCCATTTGAGATAAGGTCAGCAAGTCTGAATGACTGTCAATTCAGGAAGAAAATCAAAAAGTTCCTCTCTGATAGACCCTATTACAGTTTGCAGGAATATTATAGTGATACGTTTGAGTTGTGATATTTTAGTATTTTAATGTGGTATTTATTTTGACTATATTGTCTCGTATTTTTATGTCGTTATATTTCAATCTTTTTTACAATATTATCTGACCTAGCTTTGTCAACAAGAATCTTCTTCAGACATAAAGCATATATTATTATTATTATTTATGAATACGAATCGAATAGCGATGGTGAAGAATATCGAACTTCTTGCAGCCCTTTCAGTTCGGACTGTTCGGAGAATTCGTCCTGGACAGAGGAAGCGCCAATCTCAGACTAAATAACAATTGATAGATACCGAGATTCATTAATGAATCATTGAAAAGTATACGTGACCGTGTAGCTGGGATGTATCGTCTTTATAAATGCCATAAAGCATTGACAACCATAGAATCAAAAAGGGATGGTAAAGAATAGCGAACTATTCCTCATTCCCAACGACTTCTCGTCGCTGGCCACCTCATTCTTCTCATTCTTCACCATCGATTCGGCGATTCCGTGCACAGCTTGTACAAAGGACTGTTAGATCTTCGGTCGAGGTGCTAGCATCTTTCAGTTCGGAGGATTCGTCCTAGATAAAGGAAGCGCCAATCTCAGACTAAATATCAATAGATAGACACCGAAATTCATTCATAAATCATTGAAAAGTAAACGCCAACGATCTTGATCGCTAGACAAGGATAAATGAATGTAATCGCGAATGGTGGGGATACTATTGCGTAATCATTGCCCTTCCATGTCGATGTTAGTAGATTTGACCGTGTAACTGGAGAAAGGATGTCTCGTCTTTATAAATGTCTTATTATACCATGAACAACCATAAATAAGAATCGATTAGCATTGGTAAAGAATATCAAACTTCTTGCAGCCGGAACAAAGGACGATGAGATCGTCGGTCGAGGAGCTAGCATCTTTCAGTTGAGACAGTTCGGAGGATTTGTCCTGGATAGAGGAAGCGCCAATCTCAGATGAAATAACAATAGATAAACACCGAGACTCATTCATGAATCATTGAAAATTATACGTGACCGTGTAGCTGGGATGTATCGTCTGTATAAATGCCATCATTGCCAACCATAACTAAGAATCAAAGAGGGATGGGAGAATAGCGAACGTTTCCTCTTTCTCAACGACTTCCCGTCGCTGCAGATCCGTGCACAGCCCCACTTCTCCGTTCACCTCGCTGCCGTCTCGGATGGCCTTTTTGGACTGTGAGATTTTCGGTCGAAGTACTGGCATCTTTCAGTTCGGAGGATTCGTCCAAGATAAAGGAAGCGAAAGATGTCTCATATTCAAAAATGTGGTATATTATACGGATGTGGAGACATATAACAAAAATCATCGTAGGTCGTCACATTGACAACCATAACTGAGAATTGAATATAGATGGTGAGGATTCTTCATCATATTCCAGAGCAGAACACAAAAACCTTGCATGTCGATGTTAGCAGATTTGAACGTGTCTAGAGAAAGGATATCTCGTCTGTATGAATGTCTTATACCACTGACAACCATAACTGAGAATTCAATAACGATGGTGAAAAAAGCGAACTTTTTCGTCATTTTCCACAGCTGTAAACAAACTTTCCATGACGATGTCAGCAGATATTAACGTGTAGCTGGAGAAAGGATGTTTCTTCTTTATGAATGTCTTATTATTCCATTGACAACCATACTAAGGATCGAATAGCGATGGTAAAGAAAGAATAAATATACAACGAGATTCATTCATGAATCATTAAAAAGTATACGCCAAAAATCCTGAACGCCTGACAAGGATAAATGAATGATATCGCGAATGGTGGGGGTGGGGATAATATTGTGTGCCGGTGAGATCGTCGGTCGAGGTGCTAGCGTTTTTCAGTTCGGACTGTTCGGAGGATTCGTCCTGGATAGAGGAACCGCCAATCTCAGATTAATTAACAATAGTTAGACACCAAGATTCATTCATAAATCATTGGCAGAATCTACCAGGACTGGCTATACAAGGAATGTATACATCCTTCGAAGAATTTTACCAAACAACAATAGATAGACACCGAGATTCATTCATAAACCATTAAAAAGTATACGCCAACGATCCTAATCGCCAGACAAAGATAAATGAATTTAATCGCGAATGGTGGGGATAATATTGCGTAATCATTGCCCTTTCCTTGTCGGTGTTAGTAGATTTGACCGTATAACTGGAGAAAGGATGTATCGTCTTTATAAATGTCTTATTATATACCATTGAAAACTATAAATAAAAATCGATTAGCATTGGTAAAGAATATCGAACTTCTTGCAGCCGGTACAAAGAACGGTGAGATCGTCGGTCGAGGAGCTAGCATCTCTCAGTTCGGAGGATTCGTCCTAGATAAAGGAAGCGCCAATCTCAGACTGAATAACAATAGATAAGACACCGAGATGCATTCATAAACCATTAAAAAGTAGGTATATAATATATTGCCTTTCATGTCGATGTTAGTAGATTTGACCGTATAACTGGAGAAAGGATGCATCGTCTTTATACATTTATTATTATAACATTGAAAACCATCAATAAGAATCGATTAGCCTTGGTAAAGAATATCGAACTTCTTGCAGCCGGTGATATCGTCGGTCGAGCTGCTAGAATCTTTCAGTTTCATCCTAGATAAAGGAAGCGCCAATCTCAGACTAAATAACAATAGATAGACACCGAGATTCATTCATAAATCATTAAAAAGAATACGCCAACGATCTTGATCGCTAGACAAGGATAAATTAATGTAATCGTGAAAGGTGGGGATACTATTGCGTAATCATTGCTTTTCCATGTCGATGTTAGTAGATTTGACCGTAAAAACAACTCATTGATTAGCGGTAGTGAAAAATACCGAACTTTTAGCAAATGCTGCAAAGGACAGTGAGATGCTAGCATCTTTCAGTTCGGAGGATTCGTCCTGGTTTAAGGAAATGCCAATATTGATCAACACAGTTTTTCAACCTATCAATCAAATTCGCAAGAAATAATAATGGGAAAGACATGCCTGAGCAATTATGTCACAACAAATATAAGGATTTTCTTCAAAAAAGTTAATAATACATAAGACATGGTAACATCTGTTGAAACAGCTAATGTTACATTACACACAATTTCATTGGTTTTGAAGCACTTCTTGAATGAAGTAATGTTATATAAACAAACATTATCATGTGACATAAAGTATGTTAGCCATTGTGATGTTTCATGAATTACCATTTTTATCAATCTTATACTTGTAGTTACCATATTGTTATTATAAATATTATTATTGTAATCATTATTATTTGACTGAATTTGTGTTCCATGTATTGATTGTCATTAACTAGTCATTGACTAAATAAAGGACATACATAAATACATAATCAATGTGAAATGACCAAAAATATTGTTATACACAAAGGAGCAACTTATAATAGCAAACAGGGTGAGACACTTGTGAAGGAAAAGTTATATTTCTTTAAACTAGATTGATGAAAACTGAGGTCAGTGCCTGAGGATCATTCTCTATAAGAACAAAAAATTTGGAAATGTTTTTCCTCATTGTAGTTTCTTTTGGACTAATGAAGTTAACTGTAATTGATATTCATAAAGTCACTCATTGAACAAGCCAAAATTGAAGATATGCAGATATTCTAGTAGAAAACCAGCAAATCATAGGTGGAATACAATGAATTTTTGTTCAATGGGTTTTAATTAGTTAGTGAATCATTCCAGATTTATATGCTGTTTTTTTACCAAATGAAGTATTCCCAACTGCTTAGATGAGAAAGTGCAAGTAAACATTTAGAGGAAGATCAAACTTCATATACAACAAAAATTCATTAAGGGACAACTACAGTCCTGATGCAAAAAATTAACAAATTTATAACCAATTATTTCAATTTGATTAGAAGGTGAAATATTAGAAAAAGAAAAACAGAACATGGCATAAGCCAGGAAAGTAATTGTTTTTCTCCTGAAATCTACCACTGTTGTTTGATTGATTGTCTTTATTACCACAATAGGCCAATGGCCGCAGTGGAGGGCCTGACAATAGGCCCACTCACGTTCAACCTAACCTACCCCAAGAAACATTTCTGTTCATGATAGGGATACATAAATACATATAAAAAATAATAATAAAGGGTAAGATATATATCAGAAAGTTCACATGAAAACTACCATTTATCACAATATCTAATGAAACTAGTCAATAATGTTAGATTTAGTCTAGTGAAAATATTGTTATCAGAATATTTTGTTGAGGACTGATCATGGAGAATCTAAAAATATGGGGTGGTCCTTTCAAACTATTTGAATGGGAACTCCAGGCATGCAGTGGTGAATGTCATATGTAAATATGTACAAATATGCTCCCCCACACTAAATTTCAGTATTATTGCCTCAAAACTGCATTATTCAAAGTGGCTGTTCAAATTGGAACACATTGTAAGTATACCAATATTGTATTACATCTCAAAAATAAAATTCATATTCAGATACCAATTTGATACCATCTAGAACTACTGAATAAGTTACTGTAAGTAGTTCCTAGTGGTTTTCATTGAAAAAAATATATTAGAGGTGTCCATATTCTCAGAAAATTGGTATAGCAGTGATAAATCTTCAGGGAATTTGTTGGTATTCTGGAGAAATAACATGGCTGCCTGCAACTTGATAGAGGAATACCAGTGTACCTAATTCAGACTGGTAATTTATTCCTTAGTTTCTCAAATTCTGGTTGTTGGTGTGTCACTAATATAAGTAAATTTCATGCAGATATATAGGATAAAAGTTTGGATGAAAGATAATCCATTGAGCTAGGCTTACTGTAATATCTCCACACTGTAGAAATAATTGGACTACTCTGGTATTTGCTTCATCACTGGATCTGAGTTTGTCCCTCTGTTTTTCAGCAATTTCTTCAGCGTTCCTTCTGAATTTGCTGAGGGTGTCCAAACTTTCCAAACAACTTTCACATATTTGTTTTGATAATGGGTCAGTTCTATAAATCTGAAAAATAATCATTCAATTTCATACTTATCACAATAAAAATGAAAACAATGAAACAGAGGGTCGAGACTCACTATGATCTGCAAACATTCTTTTATAAGTTGAAGGGTTTCAATGCCCTCTTCGTTTTTGTCGAATATGCTAAACATTTTCTCGCTATTATCGTCGCATAATCGACATATTTCCTCTGATTTGTCGGGTTCCTCCATTTTCAATAAAATTGTTTATAAACCAATCACAATAATATTAGGTTAGAATATATTATATTATTTATTTTTTACAACCAAAGACCCATATCAAACAAAACGCCGACTTCTTGACATATTATTCGCGTATACCGCCATCTTAGAAAATGTTCGCAAGTTGCAAGAAACGACAGAAGAAGGCGCCAAAGTCGACATGCGCAAAATCTTTCGAGCAAATGCGCAAAATGATAATGTTTCGTGGTCCGTAAAGGTTCGGCCCAGTCAATGGCTCGGTACGTTTTTGCTGTGTTCGCTTATAGTTAGATCCGATTCGTACACCGTGCTATGAGTGTTATGGACCATGTCAGATCGCTGGCGAGTGGCAGTAGTGGCCAGTGTTGCCAAGAAGAACTATTGCGCTTTTCAAATTCCTTTTTCGCCATTGGGATTTGGGATTTCTCGGGAAAAAAATGCGCTTTTTGCTACTTGTAGAATGTAGAGCAACTTTACAGTTAGCAATTTTCCACAACAACTGCAGCAATTTTCATTGCGCGCGTGCTCACTAGTGTCTTTCTGAACCGTCGCAATTTTTCGTGAATTGCAGAAAATGGGTCGTGGACATGGTCTGGGACGTATTTTCTATTTTTAATGCGGCAATTCTCATTGATGGTGCAATCATTCTAGTGATAAAATGATGGATCTTCGGTATTTCACGCATTATTCATGCAAAAACTTCAAAAACGATAAGATTTCCACAAAACTCTCAAACACATGACATGTTTTGCTAACACAATAGCGAAACATGTCGTGTGTTTGAGAATTTTGTGGAAATTTCATCGTTTGTGAAGTTTTTACATTTGCCATGGGTTTCCATCAAGTAACGGCCGAGACAATTCAAAACATTAGATGCGAAAATTGGAAGCTGTAAAGCTGCTCTAAAGACTATCGAGTGTATTGCGTAGCTAACGCTCTTGATTGATATATTAGCTGTTGATTGATATATATTTTATGACTGTTAACGATTTAGGATAAATTTCACAAATCTCAGAATTGTGTGCAAAATTGTCCAAGCAGTAAACTAGCTTCATGAGCAAAATTTTCAGATAATGCACATGTGCAGATTTTCGTTCAACACCGGCAACACTGGTAGTGGCACGCCACTGCTGCCGCTGCCACTTGCAGGAATTATCAGCTGATAAATTGACATTGACAACTATGTTGTGTTTTTGGATTATTGGTTGATTTTTTATTGAATTTTTAATTGTTCATTTCAGTGATTGACATGGAATAATTTTCGTAAATTTCAGATAACGATTTCCAACTATTCTTCACCGCATTTTCATTTCATTCAAAATTCCAGTGGAAAAATCTGTCACCATGTCTTTGAGTGCAAAATATAATATGAAGAGCCCAGGTACCTAAATAAGTTCTCTCTCCACTATCTATTCCATTTTCCATCATCAATTGATATCTCAATTACCTCATTTTCAGTAGTTTTTATTTATACATGTTTCAATTTACTAGGTGTGAAACGGTTGATGAGAGAAGCTATGGAATTGGCCAACCCCACAGAGGAATACTATGCTTGTCCATTGGATGACAACTTGTTTGAGTGGCATTTCACTGTGAGGGGCCCTCCAGGCACCGAATTCGAAGGGGGATGCTACCATGGGAGGATCCTTTTGCCTTCCCAATACCCTATGCAACCACCCAACATAATTTTGTTAACAGTAAGTCATTAATTTTAGAAGACAAGGTGAAAGACATCAACTGATGAAATTTGAATTGATCAATTATTATTTTCTTGAGTTGCATACTTTGAGTGTCTTCATTTTTTATTCATTTAGGAACACATATTATCCAGAAAGTGTAGGTAGGTATACTTACTGGAGTATCACCATTGAGTATTCACACTAGTGTATTCACCTACCTACAAAAAATATATATTGGAAGTATTTTATGATAACATTCAACTAGCAAAATCCATGGTTTGTTCAGGAACACATATTTCAATTTCAATTCCAATTTTTCAATGGTTTGCTAATGATACTTTTTTTAATAATTTTTTCAAATTGAAACTACCAAATTAAATTGACCATATTCTTGATGGTTAGACATTTTATACTATGAATATTATCTGCACCAATGCCAAAATTATTGTATTTCTATCAGATCAAAAACTGTTGAGGTGTTGAATTATTGAAAATTAGTGCAAGAACTCATTGGACCTCTCAATGTTTCATAATAAATAATTTATAAATGACATTGACAAAGCCAATATACATTTGAAAAATGACACTCAATTTGACAGCAACTGCTGCCAAGAAAGAGACAAAATATCTATCCCTTTCCAACTGAAATTTGGTAAATTCTGGATTTTTTATTCTATCAGGAAAAACGGGCTCTGAAAGGTTGTGAAAACTTTGTATTTTATTGAACCTAACCTAACCTGTCCAGAGCATAATGGTTGAAAAATGGCAATGCAGTAATTTGCACAAAAATCTTGATTTGCCTCTGATGAATATTGCTTAGTAAAGGAGCAAATTATAGCATCAATGAGTACTATGTATTGAACTTGCTATATGAACTGTGATGAATTTTATTAATTGTCCTTGTCATATGTTATTAAATAGTGCTATTATTTTGTGAATCTAAATTTTTTGTACTGAGATGTCTTGTATTTTAGACTTGTACCTATACTTTGACCTATGGTGGTAGCATTGAAAAAAAACCCGCATTTTTTCAAGAAACTTGAAATGAATCTTTTTACTCACCGTATATATATGAAATGATTATGCGACATTCTCAACATTGAAGAATTTCTGATATATATATGACATGCTCTCCACTTTCCGAATAAAAAAACTAGGGATTGATGTACCCCTATTTTCGAACCACCCTGTATAGAAAAAAAAATGTCAGTAAACTTCGATCCAGATTGAGACAGTTCGTCCAGGCTTCAATTGGATCTTTAATTCTCATGAAAGAACTTACCCTGATTGGTTATTGAAATTAATCGAATTGGATTTTCATTTGTTCACCCTGTTGTAGAGCTCAAAACGTAAAATTATAATGGATACGAGATCCAGATGACATTGTACCATCACCAAAAATTCAGGGAATTTAACCGAAAGCCATTTTCCATAAGGAAAGTGCGGGGGTCCTTTCACACATGGGAGGAAATGGATACCTTTCCTCCCTTGATATATAAATAGCTATAACTCGATTATGTATCATGATTCCATCTGGGCAGCCTAATGGCAGATTCGAGGTGAACAAGAAGATCTGCCTGTCGATATCCGGCCACCACCCGGAGAGCTGGCAGCCCTCCTGGTCCATTCGCACGGCCCTGCTGGCCCTCATCGCCTTCATGCCCACCTCGGCCGCCGGCACGATCGGCTCGTTGGACTACACGGCCGAGGAGCGCCAGCTGCTGGCGAGGAAGTCCACCAATTGGGAGTGCGCCACGTGCGGCCGCGCCTCCGAGAGGTTGACTGCGGCTGGCGGCAGTCCGGAGTTGACGCAGGAGGAGAGCTCGCTACTAAAGCAGATCGCGCTCAAGGTACAGAAAAAGTTCCTTATTTGTACGTGGATTCTTGATAAAAGATCACCTATTTTGCTAGCATAATAGCTTGTTTCTTTCTGTATTGGTCCTTCGAGCCGGATCTACTCAAATCAAACTTTCAACCAAGTTCCTCACAAAGGATACAGAGCAGCATTCAAGACTACCTGGAGTAAAAGTGAATGCCAAGCAGCTGCAACTTTCACAGGAGGACATGATGTTGAAACATGAGATTGCAATACAAATAATTCTGATATCAATCTTCATTACATTTTCATTCATCATGTTCCCCTACAAATACAGTCCACTATCTATCAATCATCGAACATATTGGTCCATCGAGCCGGATCTATTCAAATCAAACCTTCAACCAAGTTCCTCACAAAGGATACAGAGCAGCACTCAAGACTACCTGGAGTAAAAGTGAATGCCAAGCAGCGATAGCTTTCACAGGACGACGTGTTGTTGAAACATAAGATTTGTCAATAAAATCAATAAATGATGAATTGCAATACGAATAACAATTCTGATATCTATCTTCATTACATTATCATTTATCATGTATCCATACAAAATACAGTCCACTGTCCATCAATCATCGAACCCATTGGTCCTTCGAGCCGGATCTATCTAAATCAAATCTTCAAGACTGTCAAGTGCCTGACGAAGGATACGGAGCAGCACTCAAGGCTACCTGGAGTAACAGTGAATGCCAAGCAGCTGGAGCTTTGATAGGTAGCAACAAGCAGTTAAAGCGAACTCTGATTTTTTATGTACTTGATTCCTTTGTGACATTTTGATATATTTAGAGTCTGGACACTCTGACAAGCACTGACAGTACAAACGTACATAAAATCAATAATTGCAATTTGTATTGCAATTCTACTATCAATCTTTATTTTATCATCATATATACATACAAATATAGTCCACTATCTATCAAGCATCGAACATATTGGTCCTTCGAGCCGGATCTATTCAAATCAAAACTGCCAAGTTCTTCACAAAGGATACAGAGCAGCACTCAAGACTACCTGGAGTAACAGTGTGTTACTTGAAGGTTGGCTAGCTAGCTGACCCCCCCCTCCCGCTTTTTTGTCATCGAACTTGTATTGAACAAAGTTTTGTAATGTTGAGTATATCTTAGTATTTACGGTTCGTAGGCCGAGGAAGATACCAATAGGAAAGAACCGAACGTTGAACAGAAGGAAGACAGTCCTTCATCACAGACAAATAGGGAAAACCCTGAAATTCGCCAAAGAGTCATTCCTAGTACAAACGATGTCGATTCAAGCCTGAACACTGCCGATTCCCTGTTGCAAGATTCAGTAGACAGGACCAACAAGTAAGTTTTTTTTTGTTGGCAATATTCAGGGGAATTTATTGATGGTTTCCGGATTCTCAAAGGAAAAGAGTTCACTATTATGAGATCATTTTTTTGTCCTTATATTGAGCGACGTATTGTAAATCTGAATCAGACTATTTTGTGCATAAATATGGTTTAGCAGTTTTCACGCAGCTGTAAAGTAACTTGAAATTTAATGTCAAGACCTTACAAATTGAGATTTGATTATTACACATTTGTAGAAATGGCAGTTCATTATGTTAATTTAATTTACCAATGGCATACCTTCGATTCTCTGCCCATGATTCCGCATATTTATTTTTATTTACCAATTCGTGTTAGACGTGTTTTTAATATGGCGATTACCTATTGTAATGTACTTCAGAAGGCAGTTTTTTTCATAATTCCTCATTTGTCAACAGGGACAAGATGTGGGCAGTAGTGATATGGTTACTGTTGAGTATTATCATCCTTTTATTGATAAGGCGACTGTTCTTCCTCTAGTCTATAGCTATTTATTGAAATTTATAAATAAATAAAATATATTATATATGAAATAGAGAATTTTATATTGTGAAGAAATGAATCATCAATTTTTGTATGTTTTTGTACCAGTTAAATTTCATTTTTGGTACTTTTATGAGATTCTTCACATGTCTATTGTTGAAATAATTCATAGACGAATCTAGCAAGATTTTTTTTGTATGATTCTGTAAATATATATATAAACAAATGGGAATAATAATATGTCGTTTTTTTACCCTTACCTTGTACCCAATTGTTTGTGGATCTACTCAAAAACAATATATAACTCGTACAACCAATGTTTATTCAAACAAAAATGTACAAATTACTTCAAAAAATAGAGCAAGACCCAATTCATTTTAATCCAACATAAAAAATAGAAAAAATCACAAACACTTTATAATTTAACACTGAAACTATCCGGAATCCTAATTTTTGTTGTGCATTATACCTACTCTATTGTTTTTCAATTCACATACAGGACAAAAAGCATGGAGAATATAAATTATCAACATAAAATCAGTACTAGATTGTAGAAAATTAATACAATAAAAATATCTCAAAGGTTACAATAATGAATGGAAAATAACAACAAGCACTAAAAACATGAATAAATAGTAGTTCATATGAATACCTATAGAATGTTCAAAAATGTTTTAGAAGAGAATAAATAAAACTAAAGCCATATTCCTATAAAATTTGAAGGAACATGAATAGAGATGAAGTTGAAATATATTTGGCGCTGTGTACTGAACCATAGTAATGATACAAATATAAAAATATTAAAAATAGTTGATGCAAGCTAATATAAAATGATTGATTTTTTACTTAGATAAATGATAGTTGCCACAAAAATTCCCTGTTGACAGGGTAATTTTAGTTTCAAGGAATAAATGATTTGACTTTTGAATTGGTCTCTCCGTTTGGAAAATTTCAAATCAATTCCAATAAGAAAAAATATGAAAAGCATGACAGTTCCCTGGAAAAATTATTTGTAGTTTCAGAAATGATATACAATAAAATCATCCACTTTTAGATCTGATTTTTTTTTATTTTTCTGCTTGTTATGACTCAACCAATTGTTTTTTGAAAAATTCCGAACCAATCTATAAACTCTATTCAAAGCCTAACTATTGTTTTGGTAAAAAAATGATTCCCTGTAATGGAAAAAAAACTTGTCCACTAGTTGAACACCCTGAAGTCAAACGAGGGTCATTAAACTCTCTTTAAACCACGAAAAACCTGATATGATTCATGAAATTTATATGCAAAATGAATACAAAAAAGCTCATCTATAGTACTATAGTAGAAATTTATTTGTGATAAAAGATGCCTTCAGTCAAAGTGATCCAAACAATAAATAATATTCCAGTGCAAAGTGAGATTCTGAAGTAAATAGTTTGGTGTGCCTCAAGAAAATCCTATAATTTTGGCAAATTAAGTGAAATGATTTTGTGTCACACGACTGGCCATTTTGTTACTAGAAAATTATAACATTCTCCGAATACAGACTGGAAAATTAACAATGATTAAAATATGTTTAAAATGTTCACACTTCCATAATAACATCTGAAATATTTGTTTTGGCAGTAATTACCCCGCTTTTCCAAAACGCTTTTGAATTAAAAAAATAAACTGGTCAACAAGTCACTCAATATTTAGCTTGTTTTGTTTCCATTAAAGATATCCCTGGAAATCGAAAAAACGGACAGCATTTTATTGTGAAAGAACAACTAGGTACTGAAATGACTTCTAAAAGCCATTGATTTTTCACCAGTTTATTCAAAAACTTCAACTAACCATGAGTTGAATTACTCTTAGATTTTATAGAGATTTTGTCGTTGTTGATAGGGTTGTAGCCATAATTGATAAATGGCAAATGACCGAGCATCAATTTTGAACAGGTCATTTTTTGAAAATGAGCATTCACGGTATTTTTTTATTGATAAGAATATGAAAAAGACCACTAGAGTCCCACTACGTTAACTTTGCGACAGCACACGGTCACGTATGCATTGAATATACATAAACATTGAATCACGTGGTGTCTCAAAGTTAGTCTGGTCGGACTTAGAACCTTTTTGAAATACGTTTATAAACTCTGAAAGTCCATCAATACCTTCAATGTCCAAATATAACCATAAACAATCATAAATATTTCTTATAAATGCTTCTAATGTTCACATTTGTACATTTTCAAAAATGTCTATAAAGGTCCAAATGTACCCATGAACATTCACAAATATTTATAAACTTCAATAAACGCTTTTAAGGTCGAAAAATGTTGATAAATGCTTCGGGAGGACCTCCAATATGATTATAAATGCTTCACTTAGACTTTCAGATTGTTGATAAAAACTCATGAATGACCGAAAATGTTTTATAATTCAAAATCTAAATTTGAACTTACATTATATGCTCCTGCTCTTCTGGAATGCCAAATTTCTTCTTTCTTCCATAATCGCTCATCAACAGTCAATAAACTCTTATAAGTTAGCAAAAATGCTCGTGAATGTTTATGAACGCTTTTAATACCCCAGGAATGTTGATGAATGTTTTCGGTAGACCTCTTAAGTGTCTAAATATGATCATTATAAATGCTTTACTTTGACCTTAAGATTGTTGACGATAGCTCATAAATGACCAAAAATGCTTCAAAGTTTGCAATCAATATCTAAATTTGAAGTAATGCTATATAAAACCTCTGAAATATCAAAATGCTTCCATAAACTCTTCACAAAAGTCGATAAATGCTCACAAATGACCAAAAATGAACGCTTCTAAAGTCCAAAAATGTCAATGAATGCTTCAAATATACCTCGGCCATAAATATTTCGGGCGGCCAAATATGTTTATAAATGCTTCCTTCGGACCTTTTCATTGTAGATGAATTCTCAAAAATTACCCAAAATGCTCAATATCACGTTATATGCACGTGGACCTCAGATGCTAAAATTCTTCCATAAACTCTCATCAACAGTCAATAAATGATCATAAATCACTAAAATTGCTCATGAATGTCCATGAAGGATTGAAGTATCCAAAATATGTTTATTAATGCTTCAAATATATCTATTGAAATTCCAGATATGGTCATAAATGTTCCGAGTGGACCTTTCAAGTGTCCATAAATGTTTCAATTGGACCTTTGGATTGTTGATAAAACCTCAAAAATGTTCAATATCCAAATTTGTGTCCAAATATGTTTTTGAATAGTGAAAAATGGCCATGAATGCTTCACACTAAGAACAGCGACAAAAAATGACCGGCCTCAAATTAAATGCCAACTTTTATAAATGCTCCACCCATCCTTTCACTATTCTCCCCAATACCTTACGCCTTGTTTCTGGCCTTGGTTCCGGAACCGGAAGCAGTCGTACAAATGACAGCCAAACCGGCCGTCAAAACCGACCAGAACAGCAGAGTGGCTTCCAGATGGTTGACCACGTATCGGACGGTGTCCAGGGTTTGTTTCCACAGGGCGTTCGCCTTTTCCTTGGGCGGAGTGGGCAGCAGGTTTCTCGCTCTGAGATAGTCGATCAGGAAGGAGGAGTCCTTGGAGAGGACCGGCAGGTATTCTGATGTTTTTTCGCGGGTCCACCAACCGAATTGGTTTCTGCAATTCGGGACACTCTTTTGTTATTGGAGAAACTTTTTCGGTCAGAATTCCGAGAAAAGTTAGAATGGGCGAGTGGACTCATATTGAATTATTGGCATTCAATTACTTCACTGTGCCGTTAGGAAACTAAATTTATTTTTGCAACATTTCTCACGCTTTTTTATGTAAATAATGAGACAATGTGTTGTTCGAAATTGTTAAATTTCAGAGCTCATTTCATACGCCGATTCGAAGTTTTTAAGCCGTTTCGTTATTGGTCAGATATTCATTCCCACTCATAAAGCAAGGTTGCCAAGTCACCAATTATAATCAAGTTATCAAAAAGATGTTACGAGTCCTGCTGTTGAATAAAACATAGTTAATATCAAGATTAGCTAGGATTTTTTTTATCGCTTGGAACGCACGAAAGGGAATCCATATAATGTTCAAAGAATATCGTGCATTCCTAGGGAGGATAGGGACAGGAGGTAGGTATTGTATTTTTTTTTTAACTTCTGGAGATTATATGTTGTTGGGAATACTTCCACAGGCAATAAATTCCAGAGCCTAGCCGTTCTATGGATGAAGGAGTCTTGATAAAGTGCTGTTCGACATCTTTCGAGGTTGACAAAGAAAGGATGTGCTGACTGGGCTTGTCTAGTTCGTCTGATTGGTATTGCTAGTGAAGGGATGATTGCAGAGATTTCTGAAGAACATTTCCCGTGGACGTATCGATAGAAAAGTGAAAGGTCGCCGACCTTTCTACGGTGTTCCAATGATGTCAAAGAGTGAGTGAGTGTGGCGTCACCCACCAGGCGAATGGCTCTTCTCTGGATGGAATCTAAGAGCATCAGCATATGTTTTGGTGCTGAATCCCATATGTGGGAACAGTATTCTAAAACAGGCCGTATCTGCGCTTTGTAGATCATGAGAAGCTGCTGAGGTGTAAAGTAGCTTTTCGCACGGAACAAAAACCGAGTTTTTGTGAAGCAGCTTTTGCGATGGATCTGACAGGATTATCCCATGAAAGAGTGTTGCTGATGGATATACCGAGCATAGATATGGTGGGCTTGATGGGGATGATGGAGCCAGACATTACAATATCGGGCATACTGAGTTCCGCCTTTCTAGAGAAAATACAGGCTTGAGTTTTGGTGGCGTTGAATTCAACTAGGTTGTTGGTTCCCCAGGCTGTGATTTCAGCAAGATCTTCATTGACAGCATTGACCTGCCTGCGCCGTGAGTTCTCAGTTTCCTGGGAAGAAATGGGAATTCTGGAAGAGAACGCGGTATGGAGGGTACTATCATCTGCAAAGCTGTGGATAGGGCAAGTTGTTACACCCAACAGATCATTGATATGAAGAAGGCAAAATGTTGATGCCAAAATTGATCCTTGTCGAACGCCGGAATTGATGCCAATGGTATCAGACGATACACCGTCCACCACCACGTGAAGCGATCTGCCTGAAAGAAAACTCGATAAGAGATGGCATAGCTGAGGTGGTAAGCCGTATGATGGTAGTTTGTGGAGGAGTCCTTCGTGCCAAACACGGTCGAATGCTTTCGATATGTCCAACGCGACAGCTAGAGATTCCCCGTGTTTTTCTAATGAAGCTTGCCATAAATGGGTGACGTAGGCAAGTAGATCTCCAGTAGATCTTCGGTGGCGAGCGAAATCCGTATTGTCTATCATTGATGATTCCTGAGCTCTCCAGATATTTGATGGCTTTCTCCATCATTTTGGAGATTACTGATAGCAGGGCAATGGGCCTGTAGTTGTTGGGCAGGTTCTTGTTCCCTTTTTTGGGGATTGGTTGGACTCTAGCTGTCTTCCAGCATGATGGAAAAATACCCGACCTGTACGAGACGGTAAACAATTTGCAGAGAATCGGTGTTAATTCTGGTGCACATTTTTTGAGGATAATGGGTGAAATTCCATTAGGACCGTTAACCTTATTCCTTAAGACCAAGCAAAATTCGTCTGATAGTGCGTTGACGGAAGACGATTTCGGGCATTCGACTCTCAACGGGTGGAATGTCTGGCGGCACTTTTCCTTGGGAATCTAAAGTAGAGTTTGCTGCGAACATCTCTGCAAAAATATTTGCTTTCTCCTGCGATGTTGTTGCTAATGTGCCGTCGGATTTGGACAGTGGTGGAAATGAACTATTAGTGAAATTTCTTCCGACCGCTTTAGCACGGGACCAAAACGAACTATGAGTTTCGATCTTATCTTGGCATTGTATGTTTCTTTCGGATGAAATGTGATGCAGGCATCTAACAGTAAGACGCTTTCTATATACTTAGTTTGGTTTTAGTTATGTTGAAATTTCGTTGAGTAATTGGTATAACCAACAAATTGAAGTAATACTATATCTCAAGCACTCATTCCCAGAAATTTTAATCTGACAAATATGTCTACAAGGGAGAGAGAGAGAGAGATGAACCAACTGGCCCTAACACAATGTTGCCAAGTTCAAAATATCTCATTCCCCGCATAACTGCACTGTTCTTAGTTCTCAACATTATTGACAAGAAGGCGGTGATCCAAGTAAGCAATTTAGTATTGATTGATCCAGAGTTAGTTTCTTTCCCAATGATAGATAGGTATAGTTAGGAACATTAATAGGTGAGGACCTAAACTTGATCAGTACTTTCCTGATCCGAATTCATGCCGATGAATTTTTTTTCGAATTGACATTAACGCGTCAAAGTTGACAGTTCGCCGAATGAGTGACAACCGAGAACACAATAGATTCAAGACAACTATACACCCAACCCTTGCAACGCTTCCTTGTTACATATACCTAATGAATCGTCAGTTTAACCCATTAGTGCATGAAGTTACTTTTTTCAAATCTCTATATTCTGAAGATGTTTCATTCAAATATACCCAAAGAATGATAACTCATGACGAATAATTTTTTTTACAACAGATTTTTTTTATATGACACGTCCATTTTAATGGACTCTATGCAAATTGGTTCATTGATGAAAGTGATCAGTAGGGAATTTCAGTATTCATTTTTATTCAAGTACATATCCAGAACATGAAAAACTCAATAACATCAATCACAATATTATCAATAATAATAATAATGATAATAATAATGAAAATTATACATCATGATGACTTGATACATTTTGAAGCATCTCTCAGATGCAGTCCTATTTTACATATAAAATTGCAATTTTGTATACTCTACTGAATGGAATTCAGCTGATGGGTATATGGAAATGCATCATATCAAGAAATTATTTGGGATGATACTTCCAGACCTTTTTTCGGTGCTCCTCACACGATCCAGTGGAAGGAAATGAGTGTGAACCCGTTGAAGAAAAAGAGGAGTCAAACGAGTGGATGGAGTCGTGTCTATAGTTGACGTGCTGCAGTATAACGTACAATCATTTGATGCTATAATATTCCTTTTCATAATGCAAAGATGTATATAATTTTCAATTTCATCAAAATCAGGATCAGAATAACGAAAGTCGCACGGCTGTTTGATAATTCCTTTAGAAATATGATTTATTATAGATTCACAGTTTCTAAATTCGAATAACTGCTTTTCTGCCAACTTTTCTTCTGGAGGCAATATAATATATGATTATCTGTTGGTTGATCGATATTTGAGCCATTTTCCATATGTCTAAGAGGTGTTTACAAGAATGATCTACAAAAAAATCTTGATGACCGATATGCATAGAGTCCATTATAATGGACACAACACAAAAGCGTGTCTTACAAAAAAAATAATTATTCGAATTACCTTATAGGTTCATAAACACATGCATATAATGAGATCTTGAGGGATAGGAAATTCTGAAATTCATTATACTCCGTTATAATAAATACTTACCCTCCTTGTCGGGTGCAATACAAATTGTTATCCATTTGATCACGTGCAGAATATTGTCGAGATACAAATTCATAAAATAGAAGCGATAGCTGTTTTCCTGCATGATTTACGTCACAAAAAATTAGACAAGGAGCGTCCATTATGAGACACATTATGCACTAATGGGTTAAGGAATATTAGCTTCTTTGTAGTAGGTAAAATATTGTACTATATTCATATCGTAAACTCTTATTACGATAATCGATTGGCCAAATTTCCCATTTCATATCGTGATATGAGTATTTACTCACCTTTTGCTCCACTGCGTGAACCTGTATCGGTAGAGCAGCGCCCGCACGTACTTTGGCGGTGCCTGCCGGAAGCCGCTGTCCCGGAAGTCGACCAGCGACAGCACTTCCGGCTTCTGAGTCAGCAGCCGGTGCGCGAACGACAGCATCCACGGGTGCTGGTCGTACGAGGAGCGGGCTGCCCACGACATCTGCCAGTCCAGTTGCGGCGAATGAGGGGCTAACAGTGAGAATATGCGGTGTCAAACAGTGAAATACGCATGAATAAGTCGTGTTATGAGGTCCTTTATCGAATCGGTACTATAGGGCAACACCGCAAGAGACTATGCGACACCGATGGTTCGAAAATGGAAGAAGGGGTAGGCGCGGGTGTATATGGACCCGGATGTAGGCTATTTGAAGCCTTAGGTCACTCCCCCACTATATTCCAAGCTGAAATACATGCCATCAACCTTTGCGCCCAAAGGTGCCTGACACGGCCCTCTGAGGTACCACCTCAAAAAGATGGAACTGGCGGAGACTGACACTTGCCGCTTTTGTAACAATGCGACCGAAACCGCGGAACACATACTTTGCTCATGTGAAGTATTAGTCCGCCAAAGGCTGAACCACCTAGAACAGGTCTATCTCACCCCTGCTGAAGTGGAAAATTCAACGGTCAGGAAAATCGTAGGCTTCATCAGAAGTCTAGGGTTAGAGGACCAAAACTAGATAGGGGTAATCACAATAGATCTTCTAGGTCGCAGTGATCGAGAGGTCTCCCAGCCTATACGACCCATCTACAATCTACATACGACTATCGCACGTCTTCGATAAAGTCTCCGTCTCCGCCACCTACAGTTATTCTCTGTAACTGGCAATGTTGCCAGATGCCATCTTGTCCTATGTATGAATGTATGCACCTGCACCTTCAGTATTCTAGTGAACACCAAGGCAGAGACAGTGTAGTCGTCAGGTCTGACCTGACATGCATTTCTCCATCAATATATTCAGTTCTAGTTCATCCTTTTCGCGAATACGTGGGAATATTACATGAAATTATTATTACTCTTTCAGATTTTTCAATTTGAATCATGATTAAAATCTAATATTATAAATTGCCATAGAAACAAGTCGCAGAAGCAAATACCTCATCAGGATATTAAGAAATGGTATATAGTTTTTGTGTATATTGCCGAGGAGATTTTTTAACTGTGAATTTAGACAACAAATATTTTTCGGCTCGGAGAATGTATCTTTTGACACTACCACATGTACGAGTACGTTGTACGGTGGATACTAGGTAAAGAACCACCTACATATTATATCTTACAAGTTTCTATATATTAGGAGGATTAGAGGACTACTACCGAGTCTCATTATTCCGCTCCTTACATGCGACTCATACGGCATACACAACATCAAGTGTACTCACCGACGAAAGGTAGAGACAAGTTGACATTTCCCGGCTTTTACAGGGTGGGCCAAATTGGACATTTACACATTATCAAACAACCTAATAGAATCAGATTCTTGTGCATGCGGTGTTTTATTAGATCTCAGTAAAGCCTTTGACAGTGTTGATCATTCCATTTTCATTCACAAACTCAACAATTATGGAATAAGAGGAAAGGCTCTGGATCTCTTGAAGTCATATTTGTGCAACAGAAAGCAAAAAGTATGCATTAGGCAACAATATGAGGACTTTATATCAGATTTTATTGAAATTTAAAGCGGTGTACCACAAGGGAGTGTGCTGGGTCCGCTACTTTTCATTATGTATAAATGATCTTCCGGAAATATTCAATAATTCGAATACTACAGTTATTAGCTATGCAGACGATTCAAATCTCATTTTACCAATTGACAACTTCATTCATTTGGAAAACACAACATCAACTAATATTTCAACAAAAATACATTATTTCTAAACACCACAAAAACAGATTGCATTCTTTTCAAAACTATACACAAAAATATCAGCATTCCGGAGTCAATTCAACTGAGAACCGAAGAAAAATTATATTTCTGTACCGATGCCAAAATGGCGTATATATAGATGACAAGCTGAATTTTGAGATGCATATTGATCATCTTGCATCTAAATGTTTTGCAATAAGAGTATTGAGAAGAAACTTAAATTTGGAGGCTCTGAAAACAGCATACTATGGGATCGTTTATCCGTTTCTGAAGTATGGAATTTTGATATGGAATGGAAGTTCTAATTTAGAACGTATTTTTCTAATGCAAAAAAGAATCATGAAAACTATGCTGAACATGAAATACACAGAATCTTGTCGTGGTATTTTCAAACATCACAAAATGCTAACGGTATATGCGATTTATATTTATGTATGTGTACTTTTTGTACATGATAATAAATCAAAATTCGAAAGGGACACATACAAACATGAATATCCCACCAGGCAAAAATCGAATTACATTATTCCTAAGCATAGATTAAAAAATACTGAGAAAGGACCGCACTATGCAGCTATTAAATTTTATAACCATATACCCTTGAAGATCAGAGTAGACTGTATAAAGAAAGGGATTTTCAAAAAACATGCTTTCGATCTATTGTGTGATATATAGTGTGTCCATTTAGTCCGTAATTCTTCGATTTCTCCAAAGCCATAACCTATAGAAAAAAACTTTGAAGCAAAAACTTCTTCAGTTACTCAAGTTGCTTATTTCAAAAATATTTTCAACATTACTGGGTGTTTTATAAAAGCGGGATGACTCGGAGACAAGTTTTTTTAAATGGAACACCCTGTATTGTTCATTCGGAATTTATTCCGCCGAGGTTTACCTTCACATCGCTGTAAACAAAATTGAAATCGGTCACGGCGTTGCCAAGTTATAATTGATAAATCGATTTTTACCACTATTGAAGAGTCATGTTGAATTGGGCATGGTATATTCATTTATTCAAATCATGAAAATATTTTTCGCATACGGTAGTAGTAGCAAGGTCTCACGTATACAAATTTAGTAATTTTGCGACCTGATGGCATTCATTAGAATTTTTCAAATGGAACACCTTGTATTTTCTTTCACGAATGTATTCCGACATCTTTCACCTTTTTATCGCTGAAAAAAAATCATAATCGGCTGCGGCGTTGTCAAGTTATGGATAATTTCTTTATTTTCACTACTATTTCGGAGTATAATTTTTACGTCATAGTTCATTCATTCAAATAATCAAATTTCTTCATTGACCATTCATATATTCTTTTACAATAGGAACATTTGCACGCTCTCCAAGTTTGAATTTAAAACAGAGTGGATTTGACGAATCTATCCAAAATGCTACTTTCACAGAGTTTTTGCAGACAACGAATTAATTTTTCGAAGTACACTTCCATTATTCGTGTAATGACCTGTCAAACATCGTCACAATCAAATATATCTTGAATTTATTTGAAATTTTGATGGATTCTCTCCCGAAACCCGCGTAGTAAAGAAATATTGTTTGTATCATTATGTAGAGTTTGCCTCCTTCAAGTTTGATGGAGATTTGGTTTGTGGAAATAACGACAATAAAAGTGGTCCAAATTTCAAAAAAAAATTACTCATTCTCGCAATTCAAATCTCCATTGTTTGTATTGTAGAAGTTGTTTTGAAGGCAGGCGTTTTGCTATTGGCATGTTTGTTTCACATAGGTACATATTATTTGAATCATAAGTAACAAGATCACGGAATATTTCAAATTTTGACAATGCTTGTATCGCAAAGATACCTGAGTGATCTATGTAAAACCTCGAATGTCATGTGACAAGCAATATTTCCACAAACAAATCAAATAAAGAAACCATGTCTCATAAGTTGCCCTGAGATAGTGATGAACATAAGGAAATTACTCATAACTTGAAAACCCCGCAACCGATTTCAATTTTTTTTTTCAGCGATGAAAAGGCGAATGATGTCGAAATAAATCTGTGATGAAAATTACAGGGAGTTCCATTTGAAAAATTCTAGTGAACGTCGTCTGAATCTTACAATATTCAGAGTGTAAATTTCAGCACCCTGTGAAGGATAATCTCGCAAAATTACTGGATTGGTGTACGTGAGACCTTGCTACAACTGTATGCCAAAAATCTTCTCAAAATTTTAATAAATGAATATACCATACCCAATTCAACATGACCCTTCAATAGTTGTAAAAACGGGTTTATCAATTATAACTTGGCAACGCCTCAACCGAATCCAATTTTTTTTCACAGCGATGTAGAGCTAAACCGTAGCGGAATGAATTTTGAATGAAAAATACTGGGCGTTCTCTTTGGAAAAACTCGTCTCCGAGTCGTCCTGCTTTCATAAAACACCCAGTATTGTTGAGAATATTTTTGAAATGGAATCTTCAATAACGGAAGAAATTTGTTTCCAAAATTTTTTTTCTAGTGATAATGGATTTCGAGATATCGAAGAATTACGCACTAAATGGACACACTGTAGAACCATATTCACTACAAGAATTCTATGAAAAATAACTCAAATTATTGTTTTTTTTTTTATTATTTGATACCTACCTATAAAATTCTCGTTGTACATGTTATGTGCTATGTGTTCTTTTACAATAATATTGTTTGACTGTGATATTTTAATCAATTCAATTTAGTGTTAGTTAAGCTATATTTTCAATCATTTAACTTTTGACGACAATTCACATATATTTATATTTATAAGTTTGTAATATGACTTGAGTTTTTCAACTGTTTTAAATTGAAAACTTCAATAAATCTATCTATCTATCTAATAAGAAGCGTACTCACCGACGAAAGGAAGAGACAAGTTAACATTCCCCGGCTTGTACAAGAAGCTGTACTCGCTCCAAGGCCCGTCGGCGTTATTGGCCCCCTCGAAGACGATCTCCGATCTGCCCGCGCCCGAGGGCAGTTTGAAGAACATCTGCCCGCGCCCGAGGGCAGTTTGAAGAACATCTGCCCGTACTGATTGACGTCGCACAACATTCATACGATATTTTCACGTTTTCTATGCATTTTTTAAGTTTTTGAGTATGCGTGACGCACACGTGACGGTTTATTCACATTTTTTGACGCATATGTGGCCCCTATTCTCCAGTTTAACGTAGATATGCGTAACGTTATACTCTTTTTTTCACGTGTGCGACGTGTTTCTGACGCTTTTCAACGCTTTCAAGTATAAGTGACGTTTTTTTTTTCAACGTTTTCGACGTAGTCAAAAAAACAATGTACATATATATCATCCAGCAATAAGAGGCTTACTCACCGACGAAAGGTAGAGACAAGTTAACATTCCCCGGCTTGTACAAGAAGCTGTACTCGCTCCAAGGCCGGTCGGCGTTATTGGCCCCCTCGAAGACGATCTCCGATCTGTCCACGCCCGAGGGCAGTTTCACGAACATCTGCCCGTACTGATTGACGTCGCACAACATACATACGATATTTTCACGGTTTAGATGCATTTTTTAAGCTTTTGAGTATGCGTGACGCACACGTGACGGTTTATTTACATTTTTTGACGCATATGTGGCCCCGATTCTCCAGTTTAACGTAGATATGCGTTAGGCTACACTCGTTTTTTCACGTGTGCGACGTGTTTCTTACGCTTTTCAACGCTTTCAAGTATACGTGACGCTTTTTTTTCAACATTTTCGACGTTTCGACGCAGTCAAAAAAACAATGTATACATCATCCAGCAATAAGAAGCGTACTCACCGACGAAAGGTAGAGACAATTTGAAGTTTCCTGGCTTGTACAAGAAGCTGTACTCCCTCCAAGGCCCGTCTGCGTTATTGGCCCCCTTGAAGACAATCTCTGATCTGCCCGCGCCCGAGGGCAGTTTGACGAACATCTGCCCGTACTGATTGACGTCGCACAACATACATACGATATTTTCACGGTTTAGATGCATTTTTTAAGCTTTTGAGTATGCGTGACGCACACGTGACGGTTTACTCACATTTTTTGACGCATATGTGGTCACTATTCTCCAGTTTAACGTAGATATGCGTAACGCTATACTCTTTTCTTCACGTGTGCGACGTGTTTCTTACGCTTTTCAACGCTTTCAAGTATACGTGACGTTTTTTTTCAACATTTTCGACGTTTCGACGCAGTCAAAAAAACAATGTATACATCATCCAGCAATAAGAAGCGTACTCACCGACGAAAGGTAGAGACAAGTTGACATTCCCCGGCTTGTACAAGAAGCTGTACTCGCTCCAAGGCCCGTCGGCGTTATTGGCCCCCTCGAAGACGATCTCCGATCTGCCCGCGCCCGAGGGCAGTTTGACGAACATCTGCCCGTACTGATTGACGTCGCACAACATACATACGATATTTTCACGGTTTAGATGCATTTTTAAGCTTTTGAGTATGCGTGACGCACACGTGACGGTTCATTCACATTTTTTGACGCATATGTGGCCCCTATTCTCCAATTCAACGTAGATATGCGTAACGCTATACTCGTTTCTCCACGTGTGCGACGTGTTTCTTACGCTTTTCAACGCTTTCAAGTATAAGTGACGTTTTTTTTTTTCAACGTTTTCGACGTAGTCAAAAAAACAATGTACATATATATCATCCAGCAATAAGAGGCTTACTCACCGACGAAAGGTAGAGACAAGTTGACATTCCCCGGCTTGTACAAGAAGCTGTACTCGCTTCAAGGCCCGTCGGCGTTATTCCGAGGGCAGTTTGACGAACATCTGCCCGTACTGATTGACGTCGCATAACATTTATACGATATTTTCACGGTTTCTATGCATTTTTTAAGCTTTTGAGTATGCGTGACGCACACGTGACGGTTTATTCACATTTTTTGACGCATATGTGGCCCCTATTCTCCAGTTTAACGTAGATATGCGTAACGCTACGCCCGTTCCTTCACGTGTGCGACGTGTTTCTTATGCTTTTCAACGATTTCAAATATACGTGACGTTTTTTTCAACGTTTTTGATGCAGTAAAAAAACCAAGCAGGAAGAAGCGTACTCACCGACGAAAGGTAGAGACATATTGACATTCCCCGGATTGTACAAGAAGCTGTACTCGCTTCGCTTCAAGGCCCGTCGGCGTTATTCTGAGGGCAGTTAGACGAACATCTGCCCGTACTGATTGACGTCTCACAACATACATACGATATTTTCACGGATTCGATGCATTTTTTAAGCTTTTGAGTATGCGTGACGGACACGTGACGGTTTATTCACATTTTTGACACATTTGTGTCCCTATTCACCAGTTTGACGTAGATATGCGTAACGCTACGCCCGTTCCTTCACGTGTGTGACGTGTTTCTTAAGCTTTTCAACGCTTTCAAGTATACGTGACGTTTTTTTTCAATGTTTTCGACGCAGTTAAAAAACAATTTACACATTATCCAGCAATAAGAAGCATACTCACCGACGAAAGGTAGAGACAAGTTGACGTTCCCCGGCTTGTACAAGAAGCTGTACTCGCTCCAAGGCCCGTCGGCGTTATTGGCTCCCTCGAAGACGATCTCCGATCTGCCCGCGCCCGAGGGCAGTTTCACGAACATCTGCCCGTACTGATTGACGGCGCGCAACTTGTGCAGCCTGTTGTAGGCGGAACGAACGGTGGGATGGATGGTGGAGTTGCTGGAGGGGTGCAGGGATGCCAACGGCACCTGAAACATTCGAATTTCGTCACTAGGACACCTATTTTGGGGTAAAACTGTACTTATCATGCGATGGTTTTCTTTTTCGAAAATTTGTTTTGGTACTCACGTATTTTTGTGTGAAAACACGAATTCGATAATGAAAATGTGAACAAACCATTATTTATCAAGATATTTCACCTTTTCCGCCTGCCTTTTGGATCGCATTTGGAACAATTTGCCCTTCTTCTTTCATCATTGGACAATTTATATATCACAATTTACTTCAATGACACATTTTTGTCTATTATATGAGTCAACTAGGAATGATTTTCTTGCGATTTATTAATATTTAGTGTGTAATGTCAATCAAGAGCCATCTGTTGGCATTTGACATCTCGTATTTGGATTGACTATTGATTAAATGGCCGTCATCTGGTATAATTTATTCATTTATTTATTTCAACGGTTACACCATTTTTATAAAAGAAATAATAACAAAAGATGAATAATAATAGGAGCAATGAAAATTACACTCATAGAAAAATAGCACTTAAGTTATACTCATTACATTAACTAGGTATTCATAATTATTTTCACAACATTAGTCTTGAATTCACTTAGACTGCCACAGAATAGGTCACAACCTAACTTCCTTGAAGCAGTTTTCACTACCTTAGTAATATGACTTCTAAAAGTTAGTTCAACATCAAATATTATGCCTAAGTCCTTTATCTCATTGACTCTCTTCAATACAGAATTATTTATTCTATTTTTCACTAAATATAAAAAACTCGCCATAAAAATCCTATTTCCATAAAATGTGTCATATTTCTTGTTGAAATTTCCATATAAAAATGTGTCATTGAAGTACATCATGAGTATATAAAGTGCCCAATGACAAAATAAGAAAAGCAAGTAGCTCTAAATGCATCCAGAAAACACAGAGAGAAAATAAGGCGAAAATTCGAACTTTTTCTTGATATATCTCGATAAATAGTCGTTTGTTCACATTTTCATTATCAAATTCGTGTTTTTCAGACAAAAATACGTAAGTACCGAAAAAAAATTTCGAAAAAAAAACCATCCATCGTATGGTAAATGCAGTTTTACCATATTTTGTTAAGAGCTGGTTCATCCCATTCTAAAAATACGTCAAAACAGTGGAGAATGCGTCGTACCACGCTTTTTTACGTTTTTGACACGTGTGATGTCTTTTCACGTTCAAGACACATGTGTGATGCTTACGTGATGCATTTTTCACGTTTTTTGAGGTATTCATGACGATTCTTCACCTTATTACCCATTGCGTGACACATACTTCAAGCTTTTCGGGTTTCAACACATACAGAGAAGTGCACAAAAAACGACCAAGACTGTATCTTTTGAATTATTCGAGATAGGGTTTTGAAAATTGGTGGGCAGCTAGTATACCAAATTGCTCATTAATTATTGACGAAACAATTTCTGTTCTATCACTTCTGGTTTTACTGGAAACGACCCCAACTTTTGATTTGTAAATGGGACACCATTCCATAATCGGCTAGGGATTGTCATACTGAATTCATGGATACCGGATTTGATAGGGTTATTTCAAATGATTACGCAGATATTCGCATTCTAAGTTTCCATATGCTCAATGAGTGTGACAGAGAAAGAAGTTTTGATATTGCGAAGTCACGCCCATTCAGCATATGGAAACTTCGAACGCAAATATCTTTGTTATCGTTTGATATAACCCTATCAAACCCGGTATCTTTCAATTCTTCATGATAATTCCTAACCGATTATGGAATACAATACATCAATAAATGAGCAATTTGGTATCCTTGCTACCCACCAATTTTCAAAACCCTATCTAGATTAATTCCAAAATTACAATCCTGGCCGTTTTTTGTGCACTTCTCTGTATGTAACGCATATGTGACGCTTTTTCATATATTTAACGTATTCGTGACGTTTTTTTTTCGTTTCTAACATATGACGCTTTTTTGTTTTGTTCTCACGTATTGACGCATTTGTGATCGGGAATGATTCTGGATATTCGCAAATTCAGACCCCACAAGCAAAAAAAAATGGTTGAACCTGAGAGGAAAGTTTCGGAACGTCTTGAGCAAAATTAAAGCAGCAAGATGGAATTTATCAATCGACGGATATTTTCACGAAAAATAGTATAAGGAGTTATATTCCTATGACTATTTCATGATTGAATCATACAATAAATGATCCGTATCATCAAAATTGAATGCTAATAATTATAAGTTACGTTATAAACGTATAAAATTTCATCACTAAAAAACGATGTTGGCTGGTCACGTGTGGGTCAATTCGGCTTCTGTATTGGTATAGCAAATCCGATAATTCTAAGTAAACGAAAAATCGAGAACAATAGTGGAAAATTTTTGGGATCACATTAAAAATACTTACAGTGCTGGAGAAGAATATCAGAACAGCGATTCCAGCATAGAAAGTGGTTGACAAAACGGCAACAAATTTACTGCCAACTCCATTATTATTTTCATACAAAACATTGGAAAAGGCATAGAGCAACGTACTAGCCAACGATATCAAACCAAAGTATACAGTATACCTCAATCCTTGGCCTAAAGAAGTCTCAAACTCGGTTTTGGTAATAGCTGAAAGAAACAGAATCTTGTCAGCTTTTCTGATGCAATTTTTTGTAACTAGTTTTCACTAGAGTACCTCAAACATTCATAGTAGGAGATCCGGCTGCAGATTTCTACCGTCATCTGGTAACAAAATGATATATCTCCCAAAGGAAAGTAAAAACATTGGCACCTGTGCACTTTCCTGTGCGGAAATTTTGAAACAAGAAGCAAATGAAAGGGGATGTCCCTTTTGGGAATATAAAAACGTGCCACGATTCAAACTGATTGGAGTGACAGAGTGTCAATCTTTCCGTGAATATTCCGCTCTCCAAAGATAATACCCGATGGACCAGTGTGAACACTTGTTATGAATGTTTCTGTTGGTATTGTCGAAGTTGAGTTATTAAAGTAATTCGTGTAAGAGTTCATTAACAATTTGAGGCGCTGCATTGAATAATTTAGTGAAATATTTTTTTATTCACTTTTCAGTATTGAATAACTAATCCATCAATGTTTGACACTAAATGATCAGAAATAAGTGGAGCTGATGGCACTTTTCCTTTGGAATTTCTAAAAAACATTGATAATGGATAGAAATAGGACGAAACACATTCAAATCACCTTGTATAATACATGGTTGAATTCAGAAAGATAAAGCTTTCAGAATCTGTAAAAAAATTATGAGGACCGTATTTAAAAAACAAAAGATCATGATGGTTCTACGAATACGAAACGTCGCATAAAAAAATTGGTATCACCACGTTAAACGGCATGAAAAGTTGCTGTTGAAAAGTATTTTCAGTTTTTCTGTATCTCTAATAATAACGGAGAAAAAAAATTAAATAGATATTCCAAAAATTCACTTTTTCCGATATAACTGGAAAACTAAAAACAATTTTGAATATTTTCCAAGGCTGTTGGTATGAGCCTTCGAATGCGCAACTTTTTCCCCATTTAAACGACATCGTATCTCCTACCGTTTCCGAGATCCCCATGCTGTGCAACCTTATCTTGGACAGACTGTATATCATTTCGTTCAGGGGCGTCCGGAGGGGAAGGCAAGGGGGGCACTCGCTTCCCCCTAGCGCCTGGTCTTTACTCATCAGATACTTTCAAAAGAAGATACATTTGCATTATTCAATTCCTATTCTGATTTAGCGCTTATCATAGTGACTTTCTGAGACATTGTTTAATTAGTATTCATCGACATCTTATAGATTAACTCCGATTAACTTGAAATTTGGCAGGTGTACATGATTTCGGTGACAATACATTATGGAATTTTTGTTGAAATTTAAAAAAATGGCTGTTCCAAGATGGCGGACAATATTTGGTCCGATTCCATTCAAAATTGGTAAGTGGGGGTTTTTGAGGTCGGAGATCATGATTTTTTTGTTAAAATTTATAAATTCAAGATGGCGGCTTCCAAATAATTTTTTGTTTTTGTATAAATGACGATAACTCCGTTGTTATCAACACAAAACTATAACTGCGACATAATCATCTGTGAGAAAAAAATAGTTATTTGTAACTAAGTCATAGTGAGCTATGACCTACATTTGAAAAACTAAAGTTGGTGCTGATATCTCAAATTCTAGAAGAGTTGGTATCAATTTCATATTTTTTTCGAAATCACTTTGAAAAACTGCCATGAGAATGTGAAATTCCTATTTGAATATTTTCATAAATAAAGAAGTTACGGAGGAGACATGAAAATGATCAAAATCTGTTTTTTGCGTATGAAACAAAAACGAATAGATTTTATCGAAATATTTTTTCACATTATAGTTGGCCTTAACAAACTCCACATTTGGTGTCATTTAACCGACCTCGTATCACCGTTAAAAAGATATCCATGGTGAGCATGGTAAGTGGGACACACTGTATAATGAGTTGATTTTATCAACGAAGTTATTGATAAATTTGCTCAAGACTCTATAAGAATGCCATTTTTGTTTGAACAAGATTATGATTATCATCACGTGCAATTTTTAATTGTAATTTTGGCTGTAAACAAAATACCTATGTGATGTCAATTCCATTGATATTATTTTTTTCATTCCATGTTTTACGTAGAATAATAGTAGATTATATGTCGAGAGAGTAAAGTGCATGGTTTTGTAGCCAGAGGGTGCTACAATGCACTGAGGGAAAAAATAACTCACTTCCGAGGTTTAAATACCATTTTTGCACGACTCGACGATTTTAATTGAAAGAATCTCATGATGAAATCAATTATTGTCAATATGATAATGAAAATCTGAACACAATAATCACAAAATGAAGTTTGATTATTATGACTACCGATAAAGAAGAGTAGCCATATTTTGTGATCATCGAAAAAGTGTGGTAGCATATTTTCTCAATTGCTTTCCAAAGTTTTTTCAATAAATATTGCAGGAATTTGTGGAAAAGCTGTTGAAGAAGCTGCTGCAAACATAGTGGTAGATTTATTGCCAGAAAAATCCCGGAAAATTTTTTAGCCTAGAGAGTGCCTACTCTGTATACCCTGTATTCCCGCTTTTGTCGGTGTAAAATCGCTTATAGGTCGTGCAAAAACAGTTTTTGTTCTGAATAATGTACAGGGTATCCCAATTTGGGCACTTTTGCGGGGTATCTCCCTTATCAGTAAAGATAGAGCATTGCGGTTTTCGCGACAGTGTGCTACTTTTTTATGAAATTAATAATGGCGCAAGCAGAATTGTGATAGCTCTTCCGGTTGTCGAGATACAGGGTGGAATTGAAAAATATCACTTTTCAGGCACCCTCCGTGTCTCAGTTATCTTTGAACTTATCGAAGAAATTAAAACTTGTTTTTATAGAGTTTTTCTCGTAGAATCCAGTGGCGTAGTTATTTTTTTGCTAGCACCTTTTGTTTTTTAGTTATGGAGCAAACATATGTTTTTTTAAATGGAACACCCTGTATATTATTTCATATATACATTGAGCATGAAGTGGGCTTTCCAAAAATATATAATTGTATACAATTATTTTCCATTTAAAAAAACATATGTTTGCTCCATAACTAAAAAACAAAAGGTGCTAGCAAGAAAATAACTACGCCACTGGATTCTACGAGAAAAACTCTATAAAAACAAGTTCTAACTTCTTCGATAAGTTCAAAGATAACTGAGACACGGGGGGTGATATTTTTCAATTCCACCCTGTATCTAGACAACCGGAAGAGCTACCACAATTCTGCTTGCGCCATTATTAATTTCATAAAAAAGTAGCACACTGTCGCGAAAACCGCAATGCTCTATCTTTACTGATAAGGGAGATACCCCGCAAAAGTGCCCAAATTGGGATACCCTGTACATTATTTATTGTGACTTGCCCCTCCCTGAGATAATTTCTGCGGACGCCCCTGATTTCTTTATCAGATGACGGTCGAAATTTGCAGCCCGCTCTTAGACTATCACGCCCTTTAGTGAGGACACGCTTGTCACCACTGACATTTCCAAATTGTCATCATATAGAGATGTATAGAAATTTAACTGGTGCGCTTGCTCCCCATTGAAGGTCGTTTGCAAGTTTCTCGATGGCGCCTACCCTGATAAACCTTTGATAAACATACTTGACGTGGGTAAATCTCGCTTTTAGCTCATCCTGGTTACAATCCATATTTACAGAAAACATATTACCGACCGATAAATATTTGGATACGTATATGATTTGGATCAGAGCAGTGAACTGATTCCTGATCAAAGGATCGAAACGTCAATATGTCAAAAATATTCTTGAGCTGAAAAAATGGTTATTTTTGAGATTGGGGTCAAGTGTTCGTTAGGGACGTGTTCCGTAGTTTCTAAATTTTGTGTATAATACCTAATCCACCATATAAAAAAGAGAATCTCTGTTCTACAACAGTATTATTTCAGTGATTTGAAATATTAGCGTGAACTGGTGTGAATAAATTCTAAGGTAAGTACCAGGGTACCAGTTACCATATCTGTCTATTATGATTTTCGATATTATTCAATAGTTGATACATTCTTTGTTCTGGTTCTTCAATGAGGAAATTCATCAGATTTCATGCTTTAAATAGGTTCATGTCATGAAAGAAGTGAAGCTTATTAAAATCGGCTACAAAAAAGATTTCTTGCTTCTATTTCAAATGGAAATTTGAATGAAAATGTTGAGCACAGTATCTATTCGACCACAGAACAATGATGGAAATAGATTCATCCCTCACAGAACCAAGGTTTTGAACGATTTTCCGATTATGGCGCCTCTATCGCAAATACCTGAACCCCACGTCCAAAACTCGCTAGCAATTGTTCCATATCGAGAGTTAGTCTGACTAAACAATTGAACAGTGAGCCCACCAGTTAAATTTCTATACATCTCTGTTATCATTCTCAGATTTAAAACGTCAGTTCTGAAAATTGAATAAGTCCCGCGCAAATTTTTTCGAATATTTCTTGACATTGCAAACATTTTTAAAATGATGTTTTATCATTTATTTGAGTTGCACAAAGACGAGAGGACATTCCAAAGCAAATTCCAATATCCCTTTCATGGAAATACTACATAATATAAACTACAAAGTGATAAGAGTTTCAAATAAAAATATGTCTGCACACGTTCAATGAAGGGGTACACAAAAATGGTATTCCATCTCTTAAAGACCATACTTGTGTTTTATATTTTTTGTCCAGCTGTATAACAACATGGCAAGCGTGTCCTTACACTTTAAAAAGCGTAAAATGAAATGGTCGATGCTCTCTAGGCTTTACCTATATTGGAATCGATTTGTGATCCGTTGATTTTCAAGGAGAAAATCTGAATCGTTCCATAAATCAAAGCCCCGTGAAGCAACACATTGGCAACTTTGCCGACGATAGACCATCTGCTCATGTTCTTTCTCTTGTAGAAAAATTGATCGTCCAACAATGACAATTGCAAAGTTATCAATAGAATGTTGGAAAAACCGAAATTGCCAGTCAGAAGGATAGTCAGTTGCAAAAACAGCTAAAACAAATCCAGTAATTTAATATACAGGGTGATCGAGTTTTGATGACTAATACTCCAATGGAACTCGACGAAATACTATTAATAATAATAATAATAAATAATAATAAACTTTATTTACGACGAATATATAATATAAGTATTATACTTGTGGTTTTCGAAGTATAATGCCATATATTAATCCCTTAGGGAATAATGGCGAGGGATTAATAGTCTTATAAGCTTATATCGTCATAGTTACGATATCTATTATGAGGGTCATAACTCCCTTGGGATGTTATAGATGCTATAATTCCCTCTAACTAAAATTAAATAAGAAATGCATAGCAACAACCACGCAATAACGTAGCAATAAGGAATCTCCTATTCGCGGTAGTCAAGATCATCATCTGACGTTCTGATGACATTGAAACTATACGGAAAAACATGTCTAACTTCCAATCGGGAAGGTATCTGATGAATGAAATCAGTCAGAAATAAAATTATCTATGTATCACGGGAATTACTGAGCCTCAATAACCTCAGGCAATTGCTGTCCCTCGGGCCAGAGGCCCTCGGGACGCAAACTTTGCCATCGGTAATTAAGGCCCACATAATTCCCTTAATACATAAATAACTATTATTCCCTCTTGTACTCCCATCACAAAATTTCTCGAATTAAATAATACCATGGAAACAATATAACCAAACTCAAAAGTGTCAGTGTCAAACGCGTAGTGTTTGTGTATTTGTATTAAAATGAATAGGTCGCGTGCAAGAACTGTCAGATGACCGACCCTGGAGGCAAAACATATTTGTTTACAAGTGATCGAAATAGTTTTCCACAATTATTTTGGCATATGAATCGTATTTTTCCGCTATTCATCAATTCGCTAATGCCATATCACATTGTGCTGTTGTAAAATGCACAAAAACTGCAGCGGAAGATGAAGAAATCCGGATGGTACATTATGATTCAAAAGTAAGTACCTACTATAAATAGTCACTCACATAGTTTTCATTTTTGAAATTTGGTTATTTCTCTGATTTCTCATCGGAATTCCTTCTGCAATAGGATCAGCTAATATAAATAAACCTGAAATTTCTAGAATAATGCAAGAAGATTGGATTCATGCAATCAATCGGTAGGACTGGTCTGACATGCTGACGATCGTGTGTGTTGTAGACATTTTCAATCTATTAGCAGCATTAGCTTGTATTGCAGAAGTGGCAGAAGGCAGAAGGAACTTTAATAAGGAATGACATCATTTCATAATGCTAACTTTGTGACATTACTATTTACCTGAAAAATCATATTCCCTAGTCTCTTGCTGCATTTTTTGTGCATTGTACAACAGCACAATGCTAAGGCATGCTTGAATTAATGAATAACGCAAGAAACACGATTCGTATGCCAAAATATTGTGAAAAACTATTTCAACCTTTTGATTCCTCTGTAACCAAATAAAAAAGTGAGGTTGTGTTTCAATAATTCACAGAAGAATGAGGTTGTGTTTCAATATTTTGCCTCCAGGGTCGGTCTTCGTGCACGCGACCTATTAAAATGAATGAAAATGAAGAATCTTTCACTTGTACACCACCAGAAATTGTACAATTAGCTGCAGCAACAACATCTACCTTAATACCAGAAACATCGAAATCCATTTATAATAGAACGTACGCATCGTTTAACGAATGGCGTCTTCGAAACAAGGCAAACTCTTATTCCGAAAATGTTCTGCTGGCCTATTTCGCTGAATTGGGTGCAAAATACAAGCTATCTTCATTATGGTCAATCTATTCAATGATTAAATGTGTGTTGAAGATAAACCATGACGTTGATCTGGAAAAATATAAGAAACTACGAGCGTTTTTAAAAAGAAAATCTGAAGGATTTCAAGCAAAGAAATCTTCCACTCTGACCCCGGAAGAAATTAGGAAATTTATTGACAGAGCTCCTGATGAAATTTTTCTTTTGCATAAGGTAAATGTTCATATTTAATCTGATCTATTCAAAAACTCATGTTCTTATTTGATTCAGGTTATATTAGTTATTGGAATTATGGGCGCATGCCGCTCAAACGAGCTTTATGAAATGAAGATAGAAGACGTGAAGGATTTCCAAACAGAGTTATTGGTATAGGGAATGGTCAAGTAATTAATTAATTAAATTTTCTTTTAAAACTTTTTTTTATCTCTTGGAGCACACGAAAGGAAATTCCTATGGGGAGTCTAGTCATGGCGTCGAGCAGTTCGGTCGTGGCGGATGTATCTCTTAAATCCAACAAGATTTGCAAGAGATGCAATAAGAAATTTGTAAATGGTGTAACATGTATAAACTGCAAAAGTTACTACCATTCGAGGTGTGCCGATAGTATCTGTCGTGAAAACGACGAAGTGATTTTGATTAGTGATGATAACATAATGTGCTGCAGTGAGCTCAATACTGACCAAAAGAACATAGATTCTGACCAGGATCAAGCTTTCTTTGATGCCATTGAAAACCTAAGTACAGATAACAAGATAGATATCAATATCTTCACTTATATATTGAAACAAAAAGATCTAATTATTAGTGGATTGCGGAAACAAATTCAAATCTTGATGATGAATGATAGCAAGGTCACGTCGAATCCCAAGTTGATAACAAAAACGATTTCGCCACAGTCAATTCCGAAAAAACAAGAAGCCACAAAAAACTATGCAGATATGGTCAAGCCAGATGAAACACCTAGAGTTCACTCAAAAACAGTTATCCCGAAATGCAACGTTGCCGGATCATCCAATTACTCGGGATTCACCAAGGAACAGTTATCTACTGCCATAATGCAAACTACTACTGAACAAAAATGCAGTGAAATAATCAACTTGAATAAGGATACATCTGCAGAAGATATAATAAGAAATGACGGCTTCACGCCAGTGACAAGGAAAAAGCAAAAGAGACATGTTGTTGTTGGAAACAACAACTCCATTAAAATAAATGGAAAGGATGTAAAAACTGTCCCTAGGTATGCAAATCTACATATATATAGAGTGGATCCCTCCATGACAGCTAACGATATGAAGGAATATGTAAAATCATATTTTCCCGAGGTGAAATGTGAAGCACTTTCTGCCAAGCATCCGGACATCTACTCTTCTTTCAAAGTAAGCATATTCCAGAAAAACTACGAAGAAGCTATGGATCCATCCAAATGGCCCGAAGGCGCATATATTCAGCGTTTTTTAGAGCTTCGAAAACCACCACCGATCCAGAAAACATAAAAAGTGGGGGAAACTGTTTTGACTTATTACTGCTGAATATTCAAGGTTTGAACCAAGACAAACTAGACAACATGGTCATTGACTATTTGAATGGGAAAAACCTCAACTTCATATGTTTGACTGAAACTTGGTGTAATGTTGATAGTTTCGAAAGTTTCATTTTTCCTGATTTTCAATTGTCTAATCATTACTGTAGAACAAAGAGCATTCGTGGTGGAGTTAGCCTTTGGTCGAAATGTGGTCTCAACATTGAGCCGCTTTGCTTGGATAGATATTGTGATGAAAAGAATATTGAAATAGCTGGTTTAGTATGGAAAACTGACATTCCAAAAAAGAAAATCGTGATTCTCACTTGCTACCGTTCTCCAAGTGGAAATTTCCCCATTTTTGTACAAAAATTGAATCAACTTTTAGATTACATTTTCGACTCCAAGATTCTCATAATCCTCACTGGGGATTTTAATGCTCATTCGATGAACGTTAATGATAGAAATTATTTTTCTCATTTACTGACATCTTATAATCTCATTGCCAGAATTCAAAGGCCAACGAGAGTGAGTACTGTGGAAACTATTATAGATCAGATCTATACCAATTTCTCAGTTAACGATGAGCAGTGGGGTGTCTATGATAATAATATCTCAGATCATCGTACTGTTCTTTTTTCAACTTCAAGTTCCCAAAAAATATCAACACATATTCATAGTCTCAGAAGAAATGTGAGTGAAGAGAATATTGAAAATATGATTTCTCTTATATCAAATGAATCCTGGGATGATATTTATGAGATGTCTGAAGTAGAAATTCAATTCAATATTTTCCATGACACTCTCATTCATCATTTCAACGCAACATGTCCACTGAAGCCAGTTAAGATTAGAAAGCACAACTGTAAAGAATGGGTTAATAATGATATCAGATCTTCAAGCTACAATTTGAAGAAGTTATACAATATTCAGAAGAGTGATTTAAATTTTAGAAAACACTACAATGAATCGAAGAAAAAACATAATTTATTAGTGAAAAATACTAAGAGTGCATTTTACTTGAATAAAATCTACTCCTCAGATAATGTCAACAAATCCACATGGAATGTTATTTCAAAATTGACTGGAAAATCCATATGTCAAAAAAATATATCTATCGAAATTAACAATATTCCAGTAGATGATCCTGTTATAATTGCCAACTCCTTCAATAACCATTTTATTGAGGCTCCCCATACTATCATAAATAATATTAAATGTATAAACAGGTCTGATTATAATAAAAATAGCAGGAACATTTTGAATAGCATGTTTATATCACACATAACCGAAGGAGAGGTTGCTTCTATCGTACAAAATATGAAAAATAAGCACTCTGTTGGAACAGACGGGATTTCGAGCAATTTTTTGAAAAGAATAGCTCCGTTTATACTAAAACCTTTGACACATATAATAAACGCATCTCTGAGTCAAGGTATTTTTCCATCTAGATTAAAAAATGCAACTGTTTCCCCAGTATTTAAAAAAGGCAATACTGGGAGTATGGATAACTACCGTCCAATAACAATACCCCCTGTGATTTCAAAAGTTTTTGAATATGCAATGTTGGCACAGCTACTCAAATTTCTTGATAAAAATAATATTCTACATGAACAGCAACATGGTTTTCGAACAGGACGTTCTACTATTACAGCAGTATTGAGTCTATATGAAAATATTCTAGAAGCAATTGAGGCAGGGGAAACTCCACTTGGAGTTTTTTGTGACCTCAGTCGGGCCTTCGACTGTGTCAATCATACACAATTGCTGAACAAATTATATCAAATAGGCGTCAGAGGGATATCACATCAATGGTTTCAGTCGTATTTGGGAGATCGAAACCAAAATGTGAAAATAAACTATGTTGATGAAAATACCAGATCTTCATATTTTTCGAATACTCTGCATAACGATATTGGGGTTCCTCAAGGATCAATCTTAGGTCCAATATTGTTTTTATTGTATATCAACGAATTACCCTCAATTATTTCAGAAGCATTCACATGCATGTATGCAGACGATACCACATTATTATTCACAAGTAAAAATGAAGCAGAAATCCAAGATAAAATAAACCGAACAACGTCTATCTTATGTACTTGGTTAAGTGATAACTCTCTGTTTCTGAATCCCACAAAAACTACCAGTTTGATTTTTCACACTTCCCAAAATCATAACCTGTCGAAGCTAACGGTTAGTATCAATGATACCAAAGTAGAGACTTCAAAAAGTACTACATTTCTAGGTATAACCATGAACAGCAATATATCTTTTAGTATTCACTGCAGTAAGCTGAGCAAATCAATGAATTCTAAATGTTACCAAATCAGGGTTCTCAGAAATGTTTTGGATAATCGAGGTCTGAAACAATATTACTTTGGTCAGATTCAGTCTAGATTATCATATGGAATAATGTTATGGGGAAACTCAACAGGCGTACAGGACGTATTCATTTCTCAAAAAAGGATCATTAGATCGATTGCAGGAGTATCATCTACATTCTCATGTCGTAGCCTCTTCAAAAAACTTGAAATTTTACCACTGGTTGGACTTTTTATTCTGGAACTCGTAGTTTATGTTCATAAGAATAGAAATTCTTTTACAAGAAATCGATCCTATCACGAACATAATACGAGAACAAGAAATGATTTTCATATCCCTAACACACACCTCACACTTTGTATGAAGTCATATAAAATTCTGGGACTGAGATTATATAACGTTCTTCCCGATGCCTTGAAGAATATCAACTCAGTTCAATGCTTCAAGAAAATGTTATGTAAGTTACTTTTAGAAATTAGCCCATACACAATAGCTGAATTTTATGAATATTTTAAATGAATTCAGAAGTGTGTTAGCTTTTCCTTTTTTTTTAAATAGTCTTGTGTAGTAAAGTTTACATGTGATGAATTTGTGTACCTGGTGTTAATTGTATTATTTGTTATATTTAATTTTAATTAGTTTCAGCCTTTGACCTGTCCAATAGCTATGTTATTGAGCTCATTTAATGGATTAAATTTTCTATCTATCTATCTATCTATGATGTTCGACATTTGAAAATTGCCGGCGCCCATATGGTACAGATGGGAACATTGATGGGAGTTAGTCTGGACTTCCAGCTAACTGTTCAACAAATTTGGTGCTCAAATTTTGAACTATTTTCGAGATACACATGTTTTTGTAAACCACTACAGTGGTAATTATATTTAGAAAAAGTCCACATAACTCGAAAAATGTGATAGATAAGTTAACATACAGGTCTAAACTCAGACTCAAAAGACAAACTGTGTGACAAAAACTTAGGTTTCTATTTCAAATGAGAAAGTTCGTGCCGGCTTTTGGCACACCCTGTATAGTTGAGAGACTACATATTTTTCAGGTAGATTGGAAATTACTGATTATAACAGCATAACAAGTTTTTAATCCATCTGCAAGTTGTGAAACTTTAATATGCGGCCTATGTAAATCACCGTGTATGCTGCCATTTTATGTGATTAAAGTGAGTTGATTCATCATGAACAGGTATATCAGTTCCGTTGGGTTCATAAAAAATTGTTAAATCATGTCAGATCTAAGAAACTGATTGAATTGTCTATTTATAGTATTTCATTGAGAGTTCTATTGAAGGGAGTAAAAGTCATTGAAACTTGATTTTTTTTCATCATGAAACTAAACTCAGTTCCAAAAAAAGTGACGCACTTGATATTTGACCTATCTTCTTAAAAAAAAAACAAAAAATAGTACGCCGATTTTTTTTTATTTGTTGGTAGGCAATGCATTTGTCTTTAAAAAAAATAAAGAGGTGAAAATTTTTTCAAAGCCTCCTTGATGGTGGTGGAATAACTGGAACCATGATTTATTCTTAATTTTTGACTCACTCTGTGTGTTAATTGGGTAATGGCATAGAAAGTGCTTACACCCTATACGAAAGAGGCTTCTTTTGCGAGCATTTTGTTTTTTTATTCATTGATTTATCTATAAAATTTTCCGAATTACAGCTTTTTTGCTGATACCTTAGGCTTATCCTACAAATTAAATTTATTGAAGGATCAGAATACTCAAAATTGATTAGGTTGTACTCTGGTAGGATCACATTGTCTTAAAAAAAAAAAACAAATGCCGTTGCCATAGCAACTAATTTGTTGTATGCCTCCATATTTGACCATTTGTCGTTGTGTCATTAATCAAGTGTCTTGTTTCATTGACTAAAATTACATAAAATGCCTCAAATAAATCCTGAACAAGTAGCAAGATTAGTTGCGTTAGTAAACGATGAGCACAGTAAACGTTACGCCGCTCGTGCAGTGGGAGTTCATGAAGCAACTGCTCGTAGAACAATCCGCAAGTACGAACAAACAGGAATCACCGCTCGGAGGGTCGGTTCTGGTCGCCCCCGGAAAACTTCTCCAAGAGATGATCCCTTCTTGAGATTGCGGATTTTACGGAATCGATCAAATACTGTGATAAATGTTCAGCAAGATCTTCGCCAAATTCGTGATGTTGCAGTAAGTAAGCAGACGGTATGTAGGCGTCTAAAAGAAGTTAATTTAAAAGCTAGGAGACCTGCAAAAGGTCCCAAATTATTGCCCGAACATCGTGCTGCTAGAAGAAATTTCGTTAAAAATTATGGACAGTGGAATATTCCTGAATGGTCGAATGTCTTGTTAACGGATGAGTCAAGGTTTTGCCTCAACATGGTGGATGGAAGAAATAGAGTGTGGAGAAGAACTGGTGAACGGTTTAATCAAAATTCAATAACAGAATGCGAAAGTTTTAATGGTGGGTCCGTTTTGGTATGGTGAGGGATTTTAATGAATGGAAAGACACCCCTTCATGTTTTTCCGGTGAGGCAGTCGATGAATGCCGAAATTTACATTGACATTTTAGAGCAGTATGTCTTACCTTATGCAGAGTTAGTGGGCAATAATTTTATATTGATGCAGGATAATGCCCGACCACACACCGCAGCAATAGTGCGAAATTTCTTAGAAGCTACTGGTATTACCACATTACAATGGCCTGCGAGAAGCCCCGATATGAATCCTATAGAACATTTGTGGGATGAATTAGGGAGAAGGGTACGTTCTCGCGAGAGGTCTCCGGATTGTCTCGCAGAAATGGCAGATGCATTAGTGGAAGAATGGGATCGTACACCAATGGAAACGATAAGCAACTTGATTTCCAGTATGCCTTGTAGATTAGAAGTTCTTAGAGTTGCTAGAGGAGGCAATACACGGTATTAAGCAGTCATCACAATTCATAATTTTGTGTTTAACAAAAATGTTTTTTAAAATTATTGGTATCAGTTTATTTCATTAGAAAATTGTTTCTCCATAAATTCAGAAAGTTGGTAATCTGCATGGATTCAGCAAAAAAGCTGTAATTCGGAAAATTTTAGAGATAAATCAATGAATAAAAAAGCAAAATGCTCGCAAAAGAAGCCTCTTTTGTATAGGGTGTAAGCACGTTCTATGCCATTACTCAATTAACACACAGGGTGAGTCAAAAATTAAGAATAAATCATGGTTCGAGTTATTCCACCACCATCAAGGAGGCTTTGAACAAAATTTTCACCTCTTTATTTTTTTTTTAAAGACAAATGCATTACCTACCAACAAATAAAAAAAATTAAAATCGGCCTACTATTTTTTTTTTGGAACTGAGTGTAGATAAATGATGATCTTACTTGGAGGAAAAATCCAGTAATACGAACACTTCTAATGGGAACGAAAAATAAAAACGGTAAGGCTGTTTCACAAACATTAGAATACACCATTGCCAATTTCAAGACCCATTCTGGCAAGTGGAAGGCATACCAAGTCAAGGGTGTAGGAAGCGGCATTGTCTCAAAATAACGACTCAAAGCTGAAAAATTAAAGAAACATTGAGTGGGTGAACTTTATTTAAACTACTCAACACTAATTTCGTCGCACACCAAAATGTCGCCCCTGTTATAATGTGAATAACTTTTTTCAGTTAAAAACAATTTGAATTTGGTTCACACTGTTCGATAGCCCAGTCCTTCAGCTATAATCTGGTACTTCATTGAAACATAAGGGTATTCACATAAAATCTCTACATGGTGTTTTCCGACACTGTGCAAAATTTCGGAATATTCAAAAGGCTCTCAAAAGATGAAAAACATTTTTTTCTCAACTTCGACAACAGAGGCATGAAGATGATCTCATTACCTCGAGATATTTCGCGAATCAACTTCCTATCTCTCCTATTTACAGAGTGATCTCAAAAAATCAACCTTTTGGTTTTGCAGCCATAACTTTTTTCCACGTCAACTGATTTTGGAAATCTAAGGCTCATTTCGAAGATAAAACTTCAGATGAAGAGATCTGAATTTCAGAATTGACTCAAGATGGCTATCAAAGATCTAGAGTTTTCTTGAAAGTGACCCAAATCTGGAACGGCCTCCGAATCTTGGTTGGGAGGAGAATTGAATGAAAATCAACTTGTTCTCGGAAAAACAATTCATTCTGGATGCATCCATATTTTCCTCGCTCTCAGTAGTCAAGAATGTGCGTGAGAAAACACAATTGAAACATGTTCTTGCAAAAACATCAGACCATTTCTCCTCTGTAATGCATGGCCCGTAACCAACGTTACAAGAATCACAGTAAGTGACTGACAAGTCAGGTTAGACGTCGTTTTCGAATCATAAACAGATTTTGATAGTTTCGATGCCGCATTTAACGCCCGACCAGTTGGAACTGATTCCACAAATGAGGGAACAAGGGTTATCTTTCCTCCAAATCGCGGATCTGCTAAACACGACAGTCCGATCCATTATCTCCGACACGACTATGTTTGGTTATTACTTTACGTAATTGGCAAACTGTATTCGTGAAACTTTCACCATTTTTTGAATGCGTTTTTACAATAAATACACGTTGTTTGCTTGAATACTTGTCCATATTCTTAAATCGCATGTTATGTACGTGACAACTGTTAAAAAAATCACTTTATTGAAAAAATCAAAATCCGTTGCTCTTGTTGGTACACCATTCATGATGAGCCTCAGCTGGTCGGGTTTGTCAGTCACTCATTGTGATTCTTGTAACGTTGGTTACGGCGGGCCATGCATTACAGAGGAGAAATGATCTAATGTTTTTGCAAGAACATGTTTCAATTGTGTTTTCTCACTCACATTCTTGACTACTGAGAGCGAGGAAAATATGGACGCATCCAGAATGAATTGTTTTTCCGAGAACAAGTTGATTTTCTTTTCAATTCTCCTCCCAACCGAGATTCGGAGGGCGTTCCAGATTTGGGTCACTTTCAAGAAAACTCTAGATCTTTGATAGCCATTTTGAGTCAATTCTGATATTCAGATCTCTTCATCTGAAGTTTTATCTTCAAAATGAGCCTAAGATTTCCAAAATCGGTTGACGTGGAAAAAAGTTATGGCTGCAAAACCAAAAAGTTGATTTTTTGAGATCACTCTGTAAATAAGAGAGATAGGAAGTTGATTCGCGAAATATCTCGAGGTAATGAGATCATCTTCATGCCTCTGTTGTCGAAGTTGAGAAAAAAAAATGTTTCACCATTTGAGAGCCTTTTGAATATTCCGAAATTTCGCACAGTGTCGGAAAACACCATGTAGAGATTTTATGTAAATACCTTATGTTTCAATGAAGTACCAGAATATAGCTGAAGGACTGGGCTATCGAACAGTGTGAACCAAATTCAAATTGTTCTAAACTGAAAAAAGTTATCCACATTATAACAGGGGCGACATTTTGGTGTGCGACGAAATTAGTGTTGAGTAGTTTATTTTCCACTGGTCACTGACCTTTCAGATTCCACCAATGTGGGTCGCCCCCAATGAACTTTGTTAGGTTTGTGGTCAATAAAAATCTGAACAAGAGCCATCTGACCAGCCAAAAAGTGACCATATCTGTGGGTGATCCTTTGGAACCCTTTTTTCTACCTGGCAAGAGGGGGGCAACAAATATTGCTAGGAAACCTGTTTCTAACAGCAGCTCATCACTAAAAATATTCAGTCATATTTATTGCCAAATATTGCAATGTTCAATAATAATAGAAAACAAATGTGTTTTCATATTTTATTGTCAGATTTGTTTGAATGAGCTTTACTAAACAAAATTCAAAAAAGGGTAAAACTGCATTTATCATGGGATGTTTTTTTTTTGGTACTCATGTATTTTTGTCTGAAAAACACGAATTTGGTAATGAAAATGTGAACAAACCACTATTTATCCAGATATTTCAAGAAAAAGTTCGGAATTTCGCCTTCTTTCTCCCCTTGTGTTGGAGGCATTTAAAGCTATTTGCTCTTCTTATTTTGTCATTGGACACTTTGTATACTCATGATGTACTTTTATGACACATTTTTATATAGAAAATTCAACAGGAAATATGATTTTAATGGCGAGTTTTTCATATTTAGTGAACAAGCATTCCAGATGACGGCCATTTAATCAATAGTCAATCCAAATACAAGATGTCAAATGTCAATAGATTGCTTTGGAATGACATTACACACGCCATTGTTTTAAATGATATTCTTCCTTCTTTCCACTGAATATGGATAAATCTCAAGAAAATTATATTCATAGTTGAATCATACATTGTGATATAATAATATATAAATTGTCCAATATGATGAAAAAAAAAAGGGAAAATTGTTCTAAATGCCATCCAGAAGACAGGCAAAAAAGAAGGTGAAATTTGTAACTTTATAGTCAAATATCTTGATAAATAATGGTTTGTTCACATTTTCATCATCAAATTCATGTTTTTCAGACACAGGTACATAAATTTTTGAAAAAAAAAACAGTTTTACTCAAAAAAGTTGTTGAAATAATGGTAAAGATATAATTGTTGAGAAAAAGATTAGTCTTCAATAAGAGGACCTTTATATGTATTTTTATTGAACCTTCTGCCACTGCAAATGAAAATTCTTCAAAATGAGCATTAAAACTGCATACTTACTAATTATTAGTCACAAATGTCTGTCCTATTTGGAACAGTGAGAAATATAAAGACCACAATCCAGCAAACAATGGGATTGTACAGAATTTTTGTGATATCAACCTGAAAAGATATTGCAAACATAAGAATTGTAATAAATTTGAATATTCAAGATCTAGTTCCTCCACTTTTGATGAACATTTCATGTTGTTTCAATGTGGGAAAAAATACTGAAATTTCAATTGATTTTTTGACATGATAATTTGGTTTTGCTAGCTTCAAACCAGATATTATATATAAAGCTAAAGCTAAAGTAAAGGTGTAAAAATCATCTACTCTTGTTTTTTCAGATAGGATTATTTCTATTGTGAATATCTTAGAATATGCTAGAGCACAGTTGAAGTAGATCTACTCAAAACTGAGAATTTTGAATGATATTCGATTGTTATGACCAGCTAATAAACATTGAATAAATAATAATCTAATAAATTAAATAAAGATTAAAGACAGGAGGATATACAGTTGGATATGTGCAACAGGTATTGGTTACAAGAAATACCAGTCATCAAGAAGATGCATGTAACCTTGAACAAGAGTATTATAACTTACCTTTATTAGTTGATACACTGATATTGATATCAATATCAAAATGAAACCTGAGTCATTGAACAACAACTTTCAGACAAGTTGTTGTTCAATGCCTGAGTCCAAAGTATTGAAAACCTACCTACCTACAGAAAGAATATAAATGATGATTAGATTGAAATAATATGTACTTCTTTATTGTGGAACAATAACACTTTTCTTTACAAAAAAATTCAAAAATGTCAAGAGGAATCCTGCTTTTTGTAACATTTGTCAAGATGAAAATGCAAAATAGAAGTTGGATGTAGATTCATGAACCTACAGGGTGGTACGAGAAAATAAGAAAATAATCCATGAGCATTTAATTTTACTTATCAAGACAAGGGGCATAGGGAAGTAAAATGGATTCTAGTCATTGGAAACTTACCCTGTAAATGCCAAAAAGGCTCCCAGCAATGAAAGCACATCGAGGGCGTAGTTAGTATCCAGTCCTAAATAAGGGGCCAACCAAAGAAGTGTTGGTTGATAGTGGACTTTTGCAGAGAGAGTTTTGTGCTTGCTATTTTCCAGAACTGATTTGGCCGGAAGGACTCCATTGTCTCCATATAGACCTAAAAATTAATATTCGTCATGGTAGTTCTTTATTTTCAAATTTGTGGGTGCGTTTTCTAGGTGTGTGGGTTTTAAGAATTCTTTATATACTCACCTGGTATTTGAATGTAAAAAGATAAAAACGCCGACAAGTAAACAACACATAAAGCTCTCAAAAATAAATTTCTAGTATACCTAACAGTAATCATTTTAAGATGTTTTCAATTACGTTTTTACAAAGCAGCAATTGAACACATCACACCTTTTTTTAATAACGGGATACGATCTTCTTCCTGCCAAGAGTGCTAGTGCCGATGCCGAAATTCGATTCGATAAACAATTTTTATTTCTGTTCGTGTTCTATGTTCTAAGTTCTTTCTGCTTCAGCTGAGAGTTCTGCCGTCTGCCACAGTTTATTGCTTACCTGCTCTAGCAATCCGTATCTCGCTAGACAGTCTAGATATTTAGCGGTCATTGGTCTGAGAAAAAACAACTCCGAACTCGCTCCATTCCATCGGAGAACGGAGTATTAAACATTTTTGTATATCGACATATAGCTTTAAGGACTATAACGACAATGTCACATATAAATATAAATAAGAATATTGAATTGTCAATGTCAAGATTGTCAGTGCCAGTCGACCAGTCATTTTTTTAAGGTGTGAAAAAGTTGTGATGTTATTTTTTTGAGGTATAATCTCCAAAAATATACTTTTTCCTATCGCGTCTTGGTGTAGAATACACGAAAAATGCAATTCTAAAGTATCCTTATACTGCACAATCACTATAGTAATATCTGCTATTAATATTTAAATTTACCATTTTTTCTCAATAGTTCCTAGATTGTAAATTCCATAGAATGGCTACTGGAACAACACTACAAAAAGCTATTGAATTAGTTACTAAAGCTACAGAGGAGGATCGCAACAAGAACTATGAAGAAGCATTAAGATTGTATGAACATGGAGTAGAATATTTTCTACATGCTATCAAATGTATGATCATGTATTCAAAATATAAGGCAACATCTGTTTTTATCTGATTGGTATTTGAAATTTTGTAGATGAGGCACAGGGTGAAAAAGCCAAGGAGAGTATTAGAGCAAAGTGTATCCAATATCTAGAAAGAGCTGAAAAACTAAAGGATTCAATCAAGAAGGGAAAGAAAAAACCTGTGTTGGATGGAGGCTCATCAAAGTAAGAGTTTATTGGTTCTCTGAAAGTTGTTATGATTTACATTTAAAAGGAAACTTCCTTTAGGGATGACAAGAAAAGTGATAGTGATGAAGATGATGATGACCCAGATAAGAAAAAGCTCCAGAGCAAACTGGAAGGTGCTATTGTAGTAGAAAAACCTCATGTTAAGTGGAGTGATGTAGCTGGTTTGGATGCAGCTAAAGAAGCTCTAAAAGAGGCTGTCATATTGCCTATCAAGTTCCCTCATTTGTTTAGTGGCAAAAGAGTACCCTGGAAAGGAATATTATTGTTTGGGGTCAGTTAATTAAGAACCACAGTGTTCATAAATTTTATTTTTCTTGTGATTTTCAGCCCCCTGGTACTGGTAAATCATACCTGGCTAAAGCAGTGGCCACAGAAGCAAATAATTCCACATTCTTCTCAGTGTCATCTTCTGATCTTGTATCCAAATGGTTGGGAGAATCTGAGAAACTAGTTAAAAATCTGTTTGAAATGGCAAGGCAACACAAGCCTAGCATTATTTTTATTGATGAAATTGACTCTTTGTGTTCTTCACGTTCTGACAATGAATCAGAGTCTGCTAGGAGGATAAAAACTGAGTTTTTGGTCCAAATGCAAGGTAAAAATGATGAAATGATATTGCTTGGAATCATTTTTGTAGTTTCTTGGAAGAGTTTTCTTGGAAATCTTTGTAATTTTGTGAAAATTCATTGGAACCCTATGGAATTCCTTTCCTTCTTTCTCAAGTCCTGAAAAGTGGGATTTATCTGTGATGATGAACGACCTATGAAATTTCTGGCAAACCTATGAAATTCCTTGGATATTCAGATAATTTATCTTTGTTCTATGTAATTCCTTGGATATCCATAAATTTTCTTCAATCTTTGTGAAATTCCTTAAAATTCCTTAGATATCTTTGTAATCCCTTGTAATTTCATGAAATTCCTTTACATTTACATGAAATTTTCTTGGAATTGGGGTACAAATATACTCAAAATTCAGACCTAGGTATTCATATAATTCCCTAAAATTTCTTGGAAATCCATTTAATACTTTGGAATTTTATACCCAATTGTTTGGAATTCTATGTAATTCCTTGAAATCCCATGAAATTTTTGGAATAGAGGCAGATCAGCTAGCATTAAGAGAGAGAAAGATATGTCTTCCTCATCTGTCCTTGTCTTCAATGTTCCATTATAAAGTAATGAAAATTTAATGTTGGCAACACTAAAAATGAGAAGAAATGGAAAAGAAGATCATGCTAACCTTTTTCTATATTGAGGTTAATATTATGATCTTTTCCATTTTTTCTCATTTCCAATGTTGCAAACATAAAATTTTCATTATTTCATATTGGAACACTGAAGACAAGAATATATGGGAACTGGGAAGACATATTTTCTCTCTCAAAGCTAGCTGACCTTCTATATTAAGTCTTGTAATTTCATGATATTCCTTCGAATTCCTTAGATGGCTATGTAATCCCTTTAGTTTTTTATGACACTCCTTGATATTACCATGCAATTTTCTGAAATTATCTTAGAAATGGTGTACAAAATGTTGACTCTATACTTTTCTAATATCCTGCAATTTTGTGGGGTTTCATGAAGAAGGGCTTAATGTGAAACAATGACAAGCCTCAGAAAGGTGAAAATGAGATATTTGACTTTGAATGTTATTGTTACATTATCTCATTTGAAATGATTACCCAAAATCTTACATATTATTGCCCTAAATTTCTTTGAATTTTTCCATTTGATCTCCAACAACACTATCAATTTCTTTGTCTCCATGGACTTGTTGACATTTTTTCAGATGTATTTGTTTTTTCTTCCTTTTATAAATTCATTCAGCTACAACAAAATGCAATAAAATGAAAGCCACATAGTTTATTAGGTTTAATTTTGATTTGTTATAATGTGACAAGCCACATTTGGAAAAAATACACACTGCTGTATTTTCATGACCAGCCATGTTTATACCATGTCTTGGTAAGCTGACTAGTGACTATACTTTGACCAAATTCTCAGAATAGCAAATACATATTATTACTTACTAAGAAAACAAATTAAACAGTGGTGAACTATTGAGGTCTAATTGATAATGAAGTAAAATGTCAAAATTTTTGAGTTTGTTGATTTCTAATGATTCAAAATGATTGAGTTTCAGTCCTTTATTTTCTACCTGTAGAATTTTGAAATTATCATCAAAACTATGGTTTTCTTCTAATATATGGTTGGCGTATGTTGAATTTGTTTTCTTTTTCATAAAATTCATTTTATGTTCATGAATGTGCTGATTAAACGTACGACCTGTGTGACCGATATATACCTTAGGACAAGATCCACATTTGAGTTTGTATACTCCTGATTTTTCGAATTTAGAAGTTTTCTCTTTATTATTCTTGATAAACCGTCCCAACGTGTTATTTGTTCTATATGCCACTTTTAAGTCCTGTCATTAGAAATCAACAAACTCAAAAATTTTGACATTTTACTTAATGATCAATTACACCTCAATAGTTCACCACTGTTGAATTTGTTTTCTTAGTAAGTAATAATATGATGTATTTGCTGTCAACTCTTTCAAGTTAATCCGGTATACCGTATTTTAACGTAGATATTGTGCCTAATTTCCGAAAATGGAGGTTTATCGTACCTGTCCACAGGTAACTAATCCTTCAGGTTGGGAAAGTAAGATATATAAAAGTTAAGCAAGCCAACGTTAGTTTAGTTCATTGCACCAGTATATCACCTGACGAAGCTACTGTATTAGCGAAACATGTCGTGTGTTTGAGAAGTTTGTGGAAAACTTATCGTTTGTGAAGTTTTTACAATATTTTAGTTGATTGTTATACTATTGCATCAACCGAAAAGAGCAGTAACACATTTTGAACTCTTGTGTGGCTTGTCATTGTTTCATATTAGGCCCTTCAATAGGCGAATGGGCTAATTTTTTTTTATTTCTCAAATATAATCATCATTCAAATACCTTCCAATTTCATATTTTTTAAGAATTTTTCGCTCGATTGTTAGGTGCTGAAATCATCGATAACACCACGGTAATTTTCAAACGGATAGAAATTTAACGCGAGTAAAAACTGACGTCACGATATCGTAAGTAGGGGCAGACCATAGCACAGTTGCCATGTATTGAAATACAATTGGTAACTTCAGAAATATTAGTTATTCAAATATTCATAACTTCTCAATTATGTATTGGTAATATTCCTATTTAGCAATACAAAATCAATTGTCTCAAAATGTTCCATTATAATTTGTGGCTTATTGTTGATTATACATTCGTGTAAATAGTAATTATACTAGTTTACACTAGAGGGCATATGAAGCGGTGAACGTGACAACACGGCGCGCTTGACTTGTGGGCGTGGTCTTGTCCCTTCTCAGCATTCAGCACAATGTTGCTAAGTCTCCAACATTTACAAGATGTTTTGTTATGGATTATAACTTATATAACTATGATATCATGGGTTCCTGCTTTTATGTTTTATTCAACAACAAGACTCTTAGATCTCTTTGATAACTCGATTATAATTGCTGACTTGACAACCTTGCTTCGTGAGTGGGAATGGAAGATTATCTGACCAATAACGAAACAGTATAAAAGCTGACGTCACCATTTATTCGACGTATCGCCAAATCGTTGCCATGACCGTACGCTTGAAATGAGCTCCGAAATTCATCAATTTTGAACTACGCATACACTCATTATTAACATAAAAAAGTGATACAAGTGTTCCAAAAATTAATTTAGGTCCCTAATGACACAGTGAGGTAATTGAATGCCACTCGCCCAAGGTTTACATGCATATTATGAGTTCTGGTATTTCAATATGAAATAAAAAGAGCATTCACCTGATTACATTTCAGAAAAACAACCTCTGTATATTACTTTTTGAAGATAATGATTATTTTGTGATCAGCTGTTTTCTCTAGGTGTTGGTCATGACACAGAGGGTATACTGGTATTAGGAGCAACAAATATACCCTGGGTACTAGACTCTGCTATACGTAGAAGATTTGAAAAGAGGATCTACATTCCCCTACCTGAAGAACCTGCCAGGGCTGTGATGTTCAAATTACATTTAGGAAATACACACACAGAGCTCACAGAAGAGGACATCAAAGAGCTAGCCAATAAAACAGAAGGGTTAGTACACTTTTTTAAAACTGTATTTGATTTAAAAAAATAATAATTTGGTGCATTTGATATTAGTAGAAATTGTATTGGTTGTTTGTTGACCACCCTGTATGTGTTCAGGAAAACATCAAATTTTCATATTTCTCTTTGAAGTGTGTGAGGTATTGGAACTGGATTAGACTTTTGCTTATCAAATTACTGATAATTCAACATGTCAAAATATACCTTTGACCCACCCACTTGGAAGCAGGACACCTCAATAAAATTCTTATCAGTTTACTGATTTTGATTAACTTTTTTTTCAATTATTGTAGAGCATAACAAACCCTACTTTAGGATGGAAACATTGTTTTATACCAAATCTAAAAATTCAATAAATAATATTAGCCATTGAAATCATTGGTTCCAGCATCCCCTCAAATGGTTGTATATCAAATGTCATAAAAAATCATTTGATATTGATAATTTTGGGGCCATATCAAAACTCAGATTGTGATAAGAGAATGGCTGAATGATAATTAAAGCAACTGCCAATGTGTCTGGATAGTTCTTACATTGGACAGGCGATAAGATCAGTTGCACTCAGATTCAAGGAACACAGCACATGAATAATATTCATTATTTTGTCAGTTTTTCCCGATTCCCAATAGCAGTGCAGCCCACCCGGTTGCATTTTTTGTATCAAACACCCAGTACACTGCATTCGGGTAACATCGTGTTATTCGAGCTCTATTTCAGAACGATCATCGCATATCCCGATCGATTGTGCTGCCAGACACTTGATACTAGTCCTGCAAAATTGTTGAATCATCAAACGTAGTATTCTGTGACTGTGACATAATTTTTTATCCGAATTTAAGGAAGGAAAATACCCTTTCTGTACCAGGTGATTCAAGGATTCAAGGATGACGAGGTACTGTATTTCAAGAACTGAATAGTTTAAAAAATACGCCACCTAGCGAGAGCGGTAAAAACCAAAATATCTGGATGGTTTCTTATGTTATTCATAAAACATTTATTTCTTGAACCAGACCTTGACGGCAATATTTGGCAATATTATTAGTTCCTGAAATAGGTACAATATCTCGTCACCCTTATTGAATCTCCTGAAGGGATTACTTTTTTTAACTTGGCCTAAATAAACCTTCCCAATAGTCAATTTTTCGTAAAATTACTAGAGAGAACAAGGAGACTCCTTTTTCTAAACAATCTAACCTGACATGGCCTAAATGAACCTTTGTTTCTATGAAATACTTTTCATCATACAGGGGGATTCATTAAGAATGGGAAATTTCTGAACTACAGATAGACAACACAGAAATAATGAGATTTAGCCCAATATGCCTGATGAGAATGTTGCTGGTTTAGGAGATACAGGGTGTTCTAAGGGGAGATTTTATTTCAAAATTTCACAATAACTTTGATAGTTTTAACAGCATGAACGTGGAACCTTATATTTTTAGGTTTTCTGACAAGAGGAATATGAATTTGCAACTTATTTTGTGATTGCTCATAGAGGGCGCTAGTGACACTTTGTTACTTCGATATTTTACATAATACCTTCTATGTCAATGCATTGATGATCAAAATAAGTGGAAAATCTGAAAGCTCGTTCAATTTCACATGAAGAATGTACATAAAACGGTTTTTGTGTTATTCGCTCTTGAAGAGATTTATGTTCCGAACATTTTTATAGATATAGATGATTATTGAGGTAAGGTTCTGAAATTAGCAGGAGGAAGGGAAAGTCCAAAGATAAAGTCAATTACGTAAGATACAAGGATGCTTCTGTAAAAAGTGTGACTGTTATATTATGATCATAATTCAATAAACACGAGTACAAATGACATGGACAAGGGTTACACTTGCTCACAATTCGGCTGCCAGCCGAATAGGTACTATATGAACCAGTCTTCACACACGTCTGTCATAGGCTCTGATCTAAGCATATTCCACTGAGCAGTAGCGCATCTAGTTGCTAGATGCTAACAGCGACAAAATTTAATTTCTCAGAACTGAAAATTTTCCAGGAAAATATAGTTAGTGAATTGGGCGTTCTGATTCCGAATCTGAAGTGATTTTCGACCTATTTTGACTCCTAATATCATTTTCCGGAAAGTTGGGTTGGCGAGCAGTGTGTATCACTGAAAATGATTCCAGTTGGTCATAGAGTGCAGTTTTTGTACATTTTTCGCTCCAGGAAATTTACCCAACAATTACATAAGATACAGGGGTGTTTCCATTAGAAGTGGGTCACAATGTAGAATATAGAGAGAGAAAAAAAACTATTTATACAGATAATCACAAAATATTAGTCTTCCTTGGTGGTTTCTGGATATTAATGTTTTCGTCGGAAGTTTACTGGGAAGGAAATGATTTGTGGTGTATTGATCGGGATGTTGTTGGTAGATTTTGCAAGTGTCTTGTTGAATCGGTGGAAACCCTTAAGTATTGGTTCCATTCTCGTTTAATTATAAAGTAAGGTATTGGAAGGGTTGTTTAGGGGGTTGTCTGGATGACGAATTCTCGTAAGAATTCTTAAGCAACTTCTTTCTGCTACTTCTAGATTTATTAATGTTGTTTACCTACAGGTGATGAATAAAATGAATCCATATTCGATGTTGGGTCGGCATATGGTCTTGTTGTGAAGTACCCTTCACACCCTCTACGAGGTGCTACTGATTTTATTACTATTTTTGATTACATTCTCATGATGCCATATTGCGTTATTAATTACTGCAATCTCTATTTTTTATGCCAAATGTTCAACATACCTACCATTTTTGCATGTCATTTTTCTATTGGTCGATTACCATCACGCGACGGCGTCTTGGTGACACTTACGCGTCTTTATGCGTCAGCTATAAAATAGGAGATTGTTCGAAATAAAGGTAGATTATCACTCGACACCGCACTGAATGTAATTCCTGTATGCCGAGAATGTCAACCGGCATTTTGTGGTGACTGTCGCAAGTTTTTTTGAAAACATCTTTTTTTGTGGAACCAGAGATCAGTTGTGTTTTCTTGATCCTTCCAACCCCAGCTACAACACTCTTGTAAATCAAGGTAGCTGTCCTGGTGTTGATACCTTTGTTTTGATTCGTCAATCCACGAATATGTTTAGTTCTGGCGATTACTTCTTTGTTGATTGAAGGCGTTTTTTGAAGTTCGATTTGTTATCAAAGAGAACCCCTAGGTAACGGGCTTCTGGAATTGGGTTTATGGTTCCATTAAGGATGTTGATGGTTGGTGAATTGTTCATAATTTTGTGGTTGAATATAATTAATTTGCATTTTCTTGGGTTGGGTATTGTATTATTCTCCATCCGCAGAACCATTCTGAAAACTTGCTCACCATATCTTGTAACTGTTCCATCACGTTGTTGCCATGTGCTATCAGGGTGGTATCATCGGCAGATTGTAGGAGATAAGCATCCTCATTATTTGGTAGTTTCAATGAATACACAAGTGATCATATATATTTTTCGGAAAATGAATGAAAATTTACTTCACTGTATCAAGCGCTTACTTGTAAATTATTTTGTGAAAAGAGAAATATATGATATATGCCGAGATCGGGCGTTCCGTATTCGGTTTCTTGGATGCTCCATACAAAAATGCCAGCCGGTTACATAGGGCAGACAATAAGATCCACCGCCACCAGATTCAAGGAACATCCAGCACCCTAACGCTTCTCTTTCCGTTCCAGCTACTCTGGAGCCGATATCAGCATAGTGGTGCGAGACGCGCTGATGCAGCCGGTGCGCAAAGTACAAACTGCGACGCACTTCAAGCGCATCCGCGGTCCCAGTCCCGTGGACCCCGACACGATAGTCGACGATCTGCTGATTCCGTGCTCGCCGGGTGCGCCCGGAGCCCTCGAGATGTCCTGGATGGATATACCGAGCGAGAAGCTGGCCGAGCCGCCTGTCACTTGCGTAAGTTTCCGGAATCAGTTAATTTTTACCACGGTTTCATTCTCCTTTTTACCATGTTTTTATTTTCTTCTTTTCACCACGTTTCTATCATCCTATATTCGCCACGTTTAACATATTTTTACAACATGTTTATTATCTCCTTTTTACAACGTTTTATTATCCTCTCTTTACCACGTTTTAGTATCTCCTTTTTACCACGTTTTTATTATCCTCTTTTTATCACGTTTTTATCATCCAATTTTCTGCACGTTTTCATTATCCTCTTTACCACGTTTAAATAATCACCTTTTTACCACGGTTTTATTATTTTTATTTTATTTATTTATTTATCATACAGATCTTCCAGTCAGAACAAGTTCTGGAATGAGGAAGAACATAATTATAAAGTAATAAGTAATAAATATCTACTACACAAACATGGGTAGAAGTCGAGGTAGAAGTGAACATGAATAATAAATCATAATAAATCAGGATATCACAATAAATCACAATAAATCACAATAAAACAAAACAATCAAGACGTAGTAGTCTACCGGAGTGCTCCAATTGGCAAAAAAAGCGAAAAGCTGACTTTGAGCGCCGATATCTCAAAAACTATATGTCCTACGGGGCTGATTATGCTCTCATTCGATTCAGCAGGTCATTTTCTACTGGAAAAGCGATAATTCTCGTGAATTTCTGCCGTTTTCTGGCACTGTCGGCCGTCCGAAGTTGGCTCGGTGACTATATCGTATGGAAGTCTTAGGTGGGAAAATGAAAATTGCTATTTGGCCTATTAAAAATCTGAAAAAATTCACATAGACTGATTCGATGTCATAATGAACGAATCTGTGATGAAAATTAGGAAATTTTGGGAAATGGAGACGTAGTAGTCTACCGGAGTGCTCCAATTGGCAAAAAAAGCGAAAAGCTGACTTTGAGCGCCGATATCTCAAAAACTATCTGTCCTACGGGGCTGATTATGGTCTCATTCGATTCAGCAGGTCATTTCCTACTGGAAAAGCGATAATTCGCGTGGGTTTTTGGCACTTTCGGCTGTCCGAAGATGGCTCGGTGACTATATCGTATGGAAGTCTTAGGTGGGAAAATGAAAATTGCTATTTGGCCTATTAAAAATCTGAAAAAATTCACATAGACTGATTCGATGTCATAATGAACGAATCTGTGATGAAAATTAGGAAATTTTGGGAAATGGAGACGTAGTAGTCTACCGGAGTGCTCCTATGCAAAAAAAGCGAAAAGCTGACTTTGAGCGCCGATATCTCAGAAACTATCTCCCTACGGGGTGATTATGGTCTCATTCGATTCAGCAAGTCATTTTCTACTGGAAAAGCGATAATTCGCGTGAATTTCTGCCGTTTTCTGGCACTTTCGGCCGTCCGAAGATGGCTCGGTGACTATATCGTATGGAAGTCTTAGGTGGGAAAATGAAAATTGCTATTTGGCCTATTAAGAATCTGAAAAAAATCACATAGACTAATTCGATGTCATAATGAACGAATCTGTGATGAAAATTAGGAAATTTTGGGAAATGGAGACGTAGTAGTCTACCGGAGTGCTCCTATTGGCAAAAAAAGCGAAAAGCTGACTTTGAGCGCCGATATCTCAGAAACTATCTCCCTACGGGGTGATTATGGTCTCATTCGATTCAGCAAGTCATTTTCTACTGGAAAAGCGATAATTCGCGTGAATTTCTGCCGTTTTCTGGCACTTTCGGCCGTCCGAAGATGGCTCGGTGACTATATCGTATGGAAGTCTTAGGTGGGAAAATGAAAATTGCTATTTGGCCTATTAAGAATCTGAAAAAAATCACATAGACTAATTCGATGTCATAATGAACGAATCTGTGATGAAAATTAGGAAATTTTGGGAAATGGAGACGTAGTAGTCTACCGGAGTGCTCCTATTGGCAAAAAAAGCGAAAAGCTGACTTTGAGCGCCGATATCTCAAAAACTATCTGCCCTACGGGGCTGATTATGGTCTCATTCGATTCAGCAAGTCATTTTCTACTGGAAAAGCGATAATTATGAATTTCTGCCGTTTTCTGGCACTTTCGGCCGTCCGAAGATGGCTCGGTGACTATATCGTATGGAAGTCTTAGGTGGGAAAATGAAAATTGCTATTTGGCCTATTGAAAATCTGAAAAAATCCACATAGACTAATTCGATGTCGTAAAGACCAAATCCGTGATGGAAATTAGGAAATTTTGAGAAATGGAGACGTAGTAGTCTACCGGAGTGCTCCTATTGGCAAAAAAAGCGAAAAGCTGACTTTGAGCGCCGATATCTCAGAAACTATCTGTCCTACGGGGCTGATTATGGTCTCATTCGATTCAGCAGGTCATTTTCTACTGGAAAAGCGATAATTCGCGTGAATTTTTGCCGTTTTCTGGCACTGTCGGCCGTCCGAAGTTGGCTCGGTGACTATATCGTATGGAAGTCCTAGGTGGGAAAATGAAAATTGCTATTTGGCCTATTAAGAATCTGAAAAAATTCACATAGACTAATTCGATGTCGTAATGAACGAATCTGTGATGAAAATGAGGAAATTTTGGGAAATGGAGACGTAGTAGTCTACCGGAGTGCTCCTATTGGCAAAAAAGCGAAAAGCTGACTGAGCGCCGATATCTCAAAAACTATCTGTCCTACGGGGCTGATTATGGTCTCATTCGATTCAGCAGGTCATTTTCTACTGGAAAAGCGATGATTCGCGTGAATTTCTGCCGTTTTCTGGCACTTTCGGCCGTCCGAAGATGGCTCGGTGACTATATCGTATGGAAGTCTTAGGTGGGAAAATGAAGACAAGGACAGATGGGAAGACATTTTTTTTTCTCTCAATGCTTGCTGAACTGCTCTATTCAACTGAAAATATATATTGGGGGGTTTTTAAGCTTGAATAATGATATTTTCCACAAAATGAAGCTTCCAAAATGGTGGAAGACTTTATCATTTCTGGTCCGATTCGACTGAAATTTCATCGGGGATCGATTTTGAGGTTACAAAACGAGAATTTCCAGTAAACATTGAAAACTTCAAAATGGCGTCTCTAAGATGGCGAAAGAGATTGTCATTTTCTTGTCCGATTCAACTGAAAATTTATAGGGGGGTGATTGTGAAGTTTAGGAATACAAATTTAGAGTATACAATTTGGAAATTCAGAATGACGGAATATTTTTAGTGTCTATTAATATGTTTTTTTTGCAGAATGATATGTTGAGGTCAATTGCAACATCTAAACCGACAGTCAATGACGAAGATTTGACGAAATTGCGGAAATTTATGGACGACTTTGGTCAAGAAGGATAAAATACTCAAAAGTGTCCTCTTACTCTTCATAAAGGCAAGTTGAATATTGTTTTAAAATTGAAAATGAAGGAGATCGTCACCAATTTGCGAATTTCCTGCATCATGTATTTAGAGAAGAAATTTCAGATGTTATATTGTTGCTTTTTTTTAGTAATAAATGAAATTGTTTTTTTTACTTATACACTATATGAGCCTTATTTTAAATTAAGATAACATAGTTTATATTTGTATTCATATTAAAAATAAAGTATTTGAGAAGAGATTTTTAATATAGTTATTAGATTATTCAAATTTTTTTGATGTTGTCTACAATTTTAACAAACGATTTCATAATGGTTGATTTTGACATAACAACAAAAAACGTTCTCTCAATTTCGGGGATAGTATTCAAAATAATGATGAGAAAAGTTGGAAGATTGAAAATATATTTATGGAACAATTATTCAGTAACATGTAGCTTCCATTTCTACCATTGGGCAAAAAAGGTTGAGTTGGCACGTTTTTGTTTCCAAATACAAATCATGTCAATGTCACAAACGAAAACCGGAATTATATAAATTAAATTGAGAATCACAAAAAACTATTCATTATACTGTGTGTCTCATTTTAATTCTGCCCCCATTCTCTATCTCGGTTATTGTCCAAAATTTGATAGGAATCACATATAGTGCGTTGGGTTGGTTCAAAAAAGAATAAGAATATTGCTTTTCTGGCTACCATCATGAAATTTGGCATACATGATGAGAAATATATAGGAAACAAAAAACCATCGAGACACAAGCTCTGTCTGGAATATTTCGTCCGCCATTTTTTAAAATGGCGGCCGAAAACTAGATTTTTGCTGATATCTCAAGAACGGTGCAAAATTTTGGAAGAATTCAAACTCATGAAATCAAGAAAATTACAAGGCGGACATTTTTTGTCTGAAACATTTTCTTGTGAAGCTGATATTGAAGTCAACAAATTGAGTATATTCAGTGGAGAATCCTCGTTTTCTCAAAACATCATTTAAAATACCAACAATTACCCCGTTACCGAGTATCCCTACCTATTCATAAAAATCCTCGTTACACACGTGTTCATCTATTTTTATAGAATATCTTTTTTAACTCTACAATATACCGGGTGGGGCATTTATCTTGAGGCAACATTATATATCGCTTGTATTCGATTATTTTTTTTTTTTTTTTAGAAAAAATACTTTATTGAACAAATAAACATTGGACAGTTTTGCCACAAGCATCTGATGAATGTTCAGAATTGATCAGCTGCAGATGCAAAACAATGTGTATTCTGAACTGAAAATGCAATAGATTTAATTTGCAGTGTACTGCTTTATGCACGTGTGATGGACAGTGTACTCAATAAACATTATTTGTAATACTGTTGTAATAGTTAGTACACCAAGATTCTTACTGATCTAAACTAACTTAATTAAACATCAAGCCTATAACATGATTGATACATGATTTTATTTAGATTAAAATAATTGACCGCCATTTTACGTAATGGTACCTTCGGTTTGAATCCTCAAGAAAGAGTTCATCATACACATAACTCAGAATCATGATTTCTGTGGCTAATCTTAGCCTGAATGTTTCCATTTTGATTTTTTCTTGAGAAACCTTGAAAAATTGAATTTTAATATTTCGATTATTGAATTTTTGATTCGTCTGACAAAAGAATGTTTCGAACAAAAAATGACCGCCTTAATATCCTCTATATTGCATCACTTTGAACTTTCCCGATATTCCCCACCGTTCTGGAGATATTAGCAAAAATCTAGCTTTCGGTCGCCATTTTGAAAAATGGCGGCTGAAATATTCCAGATACAGCGTGTGTCCCGATGGATTTTTTGTTTTCTATATATTCATCAACATGTGTACCGAATTTCATGCTGGTAGCCAGAATAGCAATATTCTTGTGCTAACATAACGCACTAATAAATGATAACCAATAGGCAGCTTAAAAAGTGAGACACACTGTAGATAAACTTGAAAAAAGTAACAGGAAAATTTTAACATAATGGTATATTGTCTCTTACATAGAAAGTCAATATTACAGTTGACTAGAATCTCAATAATTCCACCCCTATAGGGAGTTCCACTATGATTGGTCAAAACCCCATAGTTTAGAGTAGGACGGCAATTTCGTTTATTTTTTCAATAATGAAAGATCAACTTTGTGATAAAGTGAACACATGAACACATATAAAACAAATAATAATATTAAAAGGTCAACTAATGAATTCCACTCAGTGGAAACAAATTCCTACTATTTCTTTATATGAAAGTTATAAGATTTCGCAGGGTATAACATGAAGATATAGTCATGTTGAAGCCATCTAGTGGCAAAGCTCTAAGGTAGGATACAGAAATCGCCACACACTGTATGGCGCTGTCATCTATAGTCACGTACAGACTCCTACGTCTATACGCTACAGAGTGGTACTCCAGCCATCTGTCAGCAGAGTGGTTTACTTGTAGTACCACTCTGTAGCGTATAGACGTAGGGGTCTGTACGTGTGACTATAGATGGCAGCGCCATACAGTGTGTCGCGATTTCCGTATCCTACCTTAGAGCTTTGCCACTAGATGGCTTCAACATGACTATAACTTCATGTTATACCCTGCGACTTCGAAATGGGTGATATACCCGAAGCGTAGAGTTGTCCCAGTTGTCAGCAGACCGAGAGCGGCTGATGAGACCTGGTGGGTCGAAACACTACTGTCTCGCTCCTGCTGACAATTGGGGAAACTCTGTTCATCCTAGATCTCTTAGTTATGAGATCTAGCAGTATAAGATTTCAATTCTGAGTAATTAAATCATGTAAATAATACAAATTTTCCTGACCAGGTATTGTTCAAGATTTAGAGGCTTGATATCTCGGATTTTGAATAGAATGCCAATGATTGAATTTATTCAATATCTCAAATAGTCTATGTACAGGGTGGCTGAAATTCGAGCCTCATCATTGGGATCTCGTAAACCGTATGAGATACAGGGTCGTTTAAATTATGGCAAAGTTGCGCAATTTGATGCCTAACAGAATGCCGTTCTGAAACTTGGAAAATTCCGAATACTTTCGGAGATTTCTGAAAAAAAAATTCATAAAACCGTTTTTATTCTTTTCTGGCGTTAATTGAAGAAATTAATGGATATGAATATCATAGCCACTTCTTCTTGCCTACAAGATGGCGTTTTCAAATTCGAAATCTGACGTTTCGTCTTCCAGCATCCATCATCAACTTTTTTTTTTCAAATACGAACCTGGATTTTCATTTCATTTTTTCTTATCTCTGGATAGCCCAAAAACTATAAGCTATCACAAATTACGATTTTCAAATGTTTCGATGATAAAAATTGATCAATTTCTTCAAATAACGCCAGAAAAAAATATAAACGGTTTTATGAAATTTCGATTTTTTTCGGATATCTACGAAAGTATTCGGACTTTTCCAAGTTTCAGAACAGCATTTTGTTAGGCATCAAATTGCGCAACTTTGTCATAATTTAACCGTCCCTGTATCGGTTTACGAGATACCAATGATGAGGCTCGAATTCCAGCCACCCTGTACATATATAGAGAAGTGCACAAAAAACGGTCAGGATTGTAACTTTTGAATTATTCTAGATAGGGTTTCGAAAATTGGTGGGTAAGCAAGTATTCCAAATTGCTCATTAATTGATGAAACAATTTTCCTTCTATTCAAGTTCCACCGGAAACGACCCCAACTTTTGATTTATGAATAGGACACCCTGTATTGTATTCCATAATCGGTTAGGGATTATCGCTATGAATTCATCAACGATACCGGGATTTCAAACGATTACAAGAATATTTGCGTTCGAAGTTTCCATATGCTCAATGGGTGTGACTTCGCAACATCATTATCAAAACGTCTTTCTTTGTCACACTCATTGAGCATATGGAAACTTAGAACGCGAATAACTGCGTAATCGTTTGAAATAACCCCATCAAACTCGGTATCGATGAATTCGTCATGACAATCCCTAACCGATTATGGAATACGATACAGGGCATCCCACTTAAAAATCAAAAGTTGGGATCGTAACTTTTCAAAAAAAAACTACTAAGCATTTGAAAATCAGACCATCTATCTATATGGGGGTGTCCAATCAAGATCAATCAAACCTTATAATATGTGGTGAGTATATCAAATCAATATGTCTAATATTTGAAAATAGGATACATCACTTTGTAAATAATTCAAGACCTTGATGGCAATAGCTGTAGCATCTCGTACCATCTGAAGTGACACAATTTTATTGAAACTGATTGTCTATACAGGATGAAATGCACGATTTAATAGATATTTTGGATTTTGAAAACCGTGAGAGGTGGATTTTGAAATGAAAAAAGTGCTGTCCATTTATAATAAATTCAATAATGCAGGAATAATTTGCAGTAAAAATGGTGTGCTAATGCAACAACTGATGATCAATGTTTCTCCTTTTAGTATCGAGTTTCACAAGAAAAATTGACTACATATCACAGCAATAAGCTGACAATAATTCATGTACAATGTAACGCAGAATTTTAAGCAAATATAAAAAACGTCAAAAATTACATTTGCCATATACACTCTTACCATTTTACATATTTGGTTGATGGATCACCCTACATATTTTGCATCCTCAAATTCTCTCAGATGAACAGATGCTCTGAGGGTATGGGTATGAATATCATGAAATTTTTGATGATTTTTTTGTCATTTTTCCTGAAAATCATCAACTTAGAAGTTTGGCTAGCTTTGAATTGAATATTTTATTCACATTCAGCTTCTACCAGTCAAAATTTGTGCAGTCAGTGGAAGATCCATATATTATTTTACAGGGTATTCCTAAAAGGTCTTTATAAAAACTAACCACATATTCCTCAGACTGAAAAAATCCGATACAAGCAAACTTACCTTAGTTTGGGCGCTAGACGGCTCTGAAGTTACAATTTTCGAATAGTTTTTGCTTCATAACTTTGAAACGGGTCATGAGATTTTACTCAAATTTGGTATGTTGTCCTAGCTTCACTGGGCGATAGAACCAATATCATGATTATGATGAATATCATTCCATGGATGTAGAACTTGTTTTTTTTTTCGAACAGATATTTCGAAATTTCCATCATTTTCGCGTATACGGTCCTTCGAGCCGGATCATGTAGGATTCTGCCTACAGAAATATAGGGCTGGATCCCACTTAGTGTAGTCGTTTAATAACGAAATTATATATTTTTGATATTTTAGTCTGACATTGAAGGTTCTTTATCAATTTCACAATGGTATAACAAAATTCTATAGTATTAATGACAACATCACCAACTGTGTATATAAAGGGTGAACAATAATAGTTATTTATTCAGTCTGAGGTCCGTACTCTAAATATACAAAAGCGTCAAAACAAAAGTATCGAGTAAATCAAGGAATTCTACCTATTCTTATGCGGGTTAGTGCCGTAGGTACTTTGAATCGAAACACACGATAGTCACGGTAATATCGTCTCTAAATACCCTCACCACGTCATCGGGAAGAACCTATCTATTCACTGGCAAGGATTCCGCAGAGTTTTCACCACCATTCGTGATTTCATTCACTTACCCGTCTCTGGCGTTATGAATTGTTGGTGTACTCTTTTCAATGATTTATAAATTAATCGCGGTGTATAATTTCATAAAAATATTATTGTTCACCATTTTTATAATACACAGTTGGTGATGTTGTCATGAATACTATATAATTTTGTTATATAATTGAAAAATTAATAAATAACCTTCAACGTCAGACTATCATATCGATAATATGAAATAAATGAAATCGCGAATGGTGGGAAAACAATAATGGTTATTGATTATTTAGTCTGAGGTCCGTTCTCTAAATATACAAAAACGTCAAAATAAGTGTCCAGCAAATCAAGGAACTCTACCTATTCCCATGCGGGACAGTGGCACAGGTACTCAGAATCGAAATACACGATAGTCACGGTGATACAGTTCCTTATTATGTGCGTGGCGACGTTGGAGTCCTTGAGCTTGGTGTTGAGCCCCTCTTTGTGCTACAGCAGCATTTTTGAAGTTAGAAACAACACAAACTTGCATCTTATCATTTCCCCAATTTGTTCTTCAAAGACCATTAATTCTTTGGCAATGATTCCGCAGAGTTATCCCCACCATTCGCGTTTCCATTGATTAATCCGTGTCTGGCGTTTAGGATTGTTGGCGTACACTTTTTAATAAATTATTCTGAATAAATCTATTGATATTTAGTGTGAGGTCTGTCCTCTAAGTGTACAAAAATGCCGAAACAAAATGAGTGTCAAGGACAATAAGGAACTCTAGAAGGAAGAGACAAACCTAACCTATTCTCATGCGGGACAGTGGCGCAGGTACTCAGAATCGAAATACACGATAGTCACGGTGATATCGTCCCTAAAAACCCTAACCACGTCATCGGGAAGAGTTAACAACTGCGATATTTTCGTGTGATCGATACCGAACTCGGTACCCCCAAGGGCGTTCCTTATTATGTGCGTGGCAGCGATTTGAGACCCTCTTTGTGCTGCAGCAGCATTTTTTATGTTAGAAACAGTACAAACTTGCATCTTAATCATTTCCCCAATGTGTTCTTCAAAGACCATTAATTCTTTGGCAATAATTTCGCAGAGTTATCCCCACCATTCGCGTTTTCATTGTTCAATCCGTGTCTGGCGTTTGGAATTGTTGGCGTACACTTTTTAATAAATTATTATGAATGAATCTATTGATATTTAGTGTGAGGTCTGTCCTCTAAGTGTACTAAAATGCCAAAACACAATGAGTGTCAAGGACAATAAGGAACTCTAGAAGGAAGAGACAAACCTAACCTATTCTCATGCGGGGCAGTGGCGCAGGTACTCAGAATCGAAATACACGATAGTCACGGTGATATCGTCCCTAAAAACCCTAACCACGTCATCGGGAAGAGTTAACAACTGCGATATTTTCGTGTGATCGATACCGAACTCGGTACCCCCAAGGGCGTTCCTTATTATGTGCGTGGCGGCGTTGGAGTCCTTTGGCTTGGTTTTGAGGCCCTCTTTGCGCTGCAGCAACATTTTTGATGTTAGAAACAGTACAAACTTACATCTTAATCATTTCCCCAATGTGTTCTTCAAAGACCATCAATTCTTTGGCAATAATTTCGCAGAGTTATCCCCACCATTCGCGTTTTCATTGATTAATCCGTGTCTGGCGTTTGGAATTGTTGGCGTACACTTTGAAAATAATATTATGAATGAATCTATTGATATTTAGTGTGAGGTATGTCCTCTGAGTGTACAAAAACGCCAAAACAAAAGTGTCAAGCACAATTCGCGGTAGAAAATAACACGTCGCCTCCCATGACGGCAGCAACTTGAACACTTCTGAGCGGTTTGTTTTGATGATATAACCGATAAGCACAAACAAAAAACAAATGTGAACCAATGAAAACAAAGTAAACATGCCGCTTTGACAGCTTTCAAGAAGTCCGATAGGTGGCGTACCCTCATTTTCTATTGCGAATAAGGAACTCCTAGAAGGAAGAGACCAACCTAACCTATTCTCATACGGGACAGTGGCGCAGGTACTCAGAATCGAAATAAACGATAGTCACGGTAATATCGTCCCTAAAAACCCTAACCATGTCATCGGAAAGAGTTAACAACTGCGATATTTTCGTATGATCGATACCGAACTCGGTACCCCCAAGGGCGTTCCTTATTATGTGCGTGGCGGCGTTGGAGTCCTTGGGCTTGGTTTTGAGACCCTCTTTGTGCTGCAGTAGCATTTTTTATGTTAGAAACAGTACAAACTTGCATCTTAATCATTTCCCCAATGTGTTCTTCAAAGACCATTGATTCTTTGGCAATAATTTCGCAGAGTTATCCCCACCATTCGCGTTTTCATTGTTCAATCCGTGTCTGGCGTTTGGAATTGTTGGCGTACACTTTTTAATAAATTATTATGAATGAATCTATTGATATTTAGTGGTAGGTCTGTCCTCTAAGTGTACAAAAATGCCGAAACAAAATGAGTGTCAAGGACAATAAGGAACTCTAGAAGGAAGAGACAAACCTAACCTATTCTCATGCGGGACAGTGGCGCAGGTACTCAGAATCGAAATAAACGATAGTCACGGTAATATCGTCCCTAAAAACCCTAACCACGTCATCGGGAAGAGTTAACAACTGCGATATTTTCGTATGATCGATACCGAACTCGGTACCCCCAAGGGCGTTCCTTATTATGTGCGTGGCGGCGTTGGAGTCCTTTGGCTTGGTTTTGAGGCCCTCTTTGCGCTGCAGCAGCATCTCGTTGATCTCGCTCAGCCGCATGTTCTTCCTGGGCAGCTTCAGGGGGTTCAAGGTCACTTTGCCTTTCATGTGCTCACCCACCAGTCGGACTGCCTGGAAGAAGCCAATTCGGCAGTGAGAAGTCCAAAGTCTAACTTCACCATAGACTTCAGATGAAAGATTGAAAACCAATTTTACTTTAACAAGAAACTATGTAATTCATGATCACCAAACTAGACAACACGATTTATTTCATCTTGATGTTGCTCACTCTTCAATAGAACACGAAAGATTCACCCACGCTGCTCTATTTGAATATGATGAATTACCCGATAATATAAAAAATTGCAGAAATACAACAAATTCATTTTTGTTCGCCAACATGAAATGATTTGTAGTTTGATATAATATTATATTATTTATGAGTTTGTTATAATAGGCCTTTTCAATATGGTTAAAATTCACCTTTTTTCGCTATAATGAATGTTATGAAGGAAAGTGAAAAACGTTATCCTGACCACATATTCATCGATAAAATCGAACAAATGATTTATTTAATATTGAAGATCCTATTTCAAAACCACTGAATTCAAACGCTACTGAGCTGTGATGTCAGTATCTCTGATTGGTTGGAGTTTGTGACGGCTGGGAAGCACGCCGCTGTTGCCAGGTCTCTATGAAATCCTTGAATTATTGATCTTATGTGCAAGATGGTGCAAGGAATGCCATGATTCGAAATTACTATGTATTTTATTTATTTATCAAACACATCTTCCAGTCAGAACAAGTTCTGGTATGAGCAAGAACATAATTATAAAATAATGAGTAATAAATATCTATGAACTACTACACAAACATGAGTAGAAGTAAAGATGTGAAGATATCACAATAAAACAATCAATGAACAAAGAAAAGCATTCTAGTCAAGGACATAACTTACTGATAAATTTTAAACATTTCTCTCAGAAATGATCAGTTTTTTTTTCTTTCTAAATGTGCCTATATTTCTGCAGTTTTTAATTTCATCTGGTAGTTTATTTAACTCAGATAAGGCTTTTTGTCCGAGTGTAGAACTAGTAGCATCAAGGTGAAATAAGTTATATTGTCTAGTTTGATGACTATGAATTTCAAAATTTCTTGTCAAAATAATACTGAATTTACCAATTTTTTATTCCATTTCCAATGCACCAATAATAGGAGATATTTTCTTTGTCAGAACCTCAATATGTTTGTCCCACTTCAATTTTTCATGAAACCAAATACCTAAATACTTTATCTGTTCAGTTTGTTCCAAGAATTCATTCTTTATTTGAAGATTGAGCTGAATTTTCTGTTTATTTTATGTTGAAAAATCATGTATTCAGTTTTTCTAGTATTTATTGATAAAAGGTTAGAGTGGAGCCATTTTTCAAATAATTTCAGATCGTTATTTATCACAGTTTCTAAAACTAGAGGATTTTTGTTTTCATATAAAAGCACTGTATCGTCTGCATATATGGTATAATTACTCGCTAAACCAACTTTCGTGATATTTTGAATATAAAGCAGATACAGTATTGGTCCTATAACAGATCCTTGTGGAACACCCTTATTCATTGACAGTTTATGAGACTCAGAATTAGCAGATTTGGTACTGATTGTCCTATTTTCAAGATATGAAGCTAAAATATTTCTCACAATGCCGCTGAGTCCCATGGATTCCAAGTAGTAGGTGATTAGTTGATTGTTAATTCACTGCTGATCACATTCAATTTTCTCTGAACGCCGAAATATTCCATTAGTTTGAAGAGATTAGCTAGGATAAAATGTGTTGCAGGCATCTAACAGTAAGACGCTTTTCATATGGTTTGGTTTGAGGTATGTTTTGATTTTGTTGACTAATTTTTATAATCAACAAATTAAACAGTGTTACCATATCTCAAGTACTCATTCCCGGAAAATTCAATTGCTAACGTGGCAACTATATTATATACAAGAAAAAGAGATGAAGCAAATGGCGCTAACACAATGTTGCCAAGTTGAAATACCTCATTCTCCGCATACCTCCACTGTTATCATTTCTCAATATTATTGACAAGAAGAAAATGATGTTTGTAATAAAATTAATAGAAAATGGAACCAGGTAAGCAATTTGGTAGTGATTGATTCAAAATTTTTTCCTTTCCTTATGGTAGGTAGCTATATGATAGGTGAGTACCGAAACTTGAAAGTACTTTACTGGAAGGGATTTGAAACTGAATGTCAGGAATATCTGCACTGTAATTCAATATACAAAATAAAATTTCATTTCCAATTTTGAATAATCCATCAACAACAATCAATCATCTAACTTCGAATTTTCAGATAGTATTAGTAGTATTATTGAGTTATCTAACAGCATCTGTATTATTTTTGCTGAAATGAAAAAAATCGAGAAATTAATATCCGACTGATCAAAGGTTTTTGTCCAAACTGGCATCATTGTGGAGTCCATTGTGCATTTTATTGGCATACAAGAGAAGGTCAGGGCTTTGCCAATCCGAATTGCTCGCGCACTGACGTCACACTTTTCGCGGCCATGTCTGATCGATTGAATTCGCTCGTTCATTTTGGCGTTTTCAATAATTTTAAATATGATGAATTGATGGAAAAAATCCCAAAAAAATGTTATAAGATATTCCAGAGCCATATAAAGGCAAAGGCAAAGTTAACGTTAATTACGCACTATTTTCATCTTCTGGTTGGAAGTAGCTTTTGGTACCTCATTAAACATGAGACAAAGTTTGACTGGAAAACGCGTGCGATGGCGGAGAAAATGGCCCCAAAAGGCGAAAAATAGGTTTTCAGCCAATATCTCCTAAAATATGGCAGTTAGAGATTTTCGGGTCAGGAAAAAATTGAAGTTCAGTTAATTTTCTAAAAAAATGGTCCCTATAATTTTTCTCGAAAATTTGCCCGATTTCGAGAAAAACGGCACGAAGCGCACCTCGAATAATGAGCTTCTGTGTTGTACACAGTCCGTGTATTTACACATCGGCGGGGGGACAAATTATTCAATACCTTTGTTAAAAATGCATATTTTCTCATGATTCAAAGTTCATGTGACAGAAGAATTCTGCTGCTATCATATACCTGCGTGGCCGCATGGTTTGCAGCAGACGACCCGAGCGCCACGTAGAGCACACACGCGGCGAACGACGGAGGAACGAAAGTAATAAATTATAGCGTGTACATATTTTAGATATACTGTTTTTTCCGGGATATCAAAGGTATGACATATATACATCGATGCCAAGGTGGGAATTCCCCCGTTACACTAGTTAAGGTGTTGAAATGTTAGAAATAAAGAGCACGGAGAAAAAAACCACCAAAAAAAAGTGCGTTTTTTCCTTGACCCCGCTTTTTCTAATTTTATTGAAAAATGGACGACTTCGTCTAAAAAAGTAATTGCACAATCGAAAAGTAGACCTTCTTAGCTTTCAAATGATGTATCATAGAAACAAACCAATCGGATCATGTATAAATTTTTAATTGATGGTTGTTCACAAAATTTCCCCGCGCTCCAAAAACAGCAGAAAATTGGGATTTAATAAACATTGATTGAATGAAAATTAAAAAAAAATTAGGGTATACAAATTTCAGGTATGACAAAGGACCATATGAGAACCCATAATCAAGAATATTTTGAGTAAATTAGTGCAATACGAAAAAAAATAGGAACAAATTCCTGGCGAGGTCGAAATTGACCGGGAGCAGAAAGTTTGACCCATGTTCCGATATGGCCAAAAGAGTCAAGCGTGACTCAATTCACAGGGTATGATAGCAGCAGAATTCCTCTATCACATGAACTTTGAATCATGAGAAAATATGCATTTTTAACAAATTTATTGAATAATTTGTCCCCCCACCGATGTGTGAATACACGGACTGTGCTCTCCGGCATACAACACAGAAGCTCATTATTCGAGGTGCGCTTCGTGCCGTTTTTCTCGAAACCGGGCAAATTTTCGAGAAAAATTATAGGGACCATTTTTGTAGAAAATTAACTGAACTTCAATTTTTATCTGAACCGAAAATCTCTAACTGCCATATTTTAGGAGATATTGGCTGAAAACCTATTTTTCTGGTCTTTTGGGGCCATTTTCTCCGCCATCGCACGCGTTTTCCAGTCAAACTTTGTCTCATGTTTAATGAAGTACCAAAAGCTACTTCCAATCGGAAGATGAAAATAGTGTTAAAGTTAACTTTTTTCCTTTATTTATTGGACTATTTCCACTGTAGCAACTACCGTTTTCAAAAGAAAATTCCGTTTAAAATTAACAATTACAATCAAACCAACGAATTTCAGCAAAAAAGTTTGAAATGTTCGTTTATAATTTACCTGTAAAGGTGTCATTACGTCCCACAGACCATCAGTGGCGAGTATCAGGAACTTATCTCTGGGCGTCAGTCGATGATGTGTGACGTCAGGTAGAGCTGTCAGGTACGGAGGGGTATGATAATTAGGAGGGATGACGTGTTCGCCGAAATGTTTCGCTACGAGGCCCGTCATTATCTCCTTTTTCCATTTGAACCTGAAAAAAAACCAGCTGGAATGAATAAGGAAATACTATTTTCGAGCAAAAAGACAAATATCGGCGAAAGAACATCGAATTCGGGATCCCTAACCTCAAAAACGCCCCAGTAAAAAAAATTCAACAACCTACTACAATGTTTGAAAGATCTGTCACTGCAGCTGTCACTTGTCAATTAATCCAAATTAGTACATGTTGCTTATTTGCAGAAATGCATGTATCATGTTGGGTGTTATTTTGAAGGTCTCCACAAGCTCTATCAGAAAATGACAACGACAGAATAACAGATAAAAATTGAGAGAGAGAGAGAATATACTTTATTGTCATAAGAAAATATCTTGTTGACAAAGTTTCATTTAACCTATGAAGTCAGGTATATAAATATATAAAAAAGTATAAGTCGTGAAAAATACATTTGAAATAAACAATTTCACTTACTAATTAAAGTCAGTTTGTGTGTATATATATAAAAACATATAAGTCGAACAAAAAATCGGTGTAAAATAATAAGTTTGACTCAATCTATAAAGTCGTGTCATATAAATAAACGAAATATAACTAGTACAAAAAATACTCTACCACGTCTCAGAATAGTACTCCTCCAAAGTATAGTAAGCTCCATCAAGTAATGCTTCTTTAACAGATTGTCTAAAATTTTTGAAAGAGTTAATAGTCTTCAGGCGTAAGGGTAGGTGGTTATATATTTTTATGCCTTCGTATATAAGTGATTTTCTGGTCAGGTTCGAGGAAGGTATGGGTAGAGGTAGTTTGAGATTATATGTCCTACGTGTTCTGTGATACAACTGGGGATTATCTAAATTGTCACGATTTTTAAAGACTAAGCACACGCTTTCTAGTACTAGTAAAGAAGGTAGAGTGAGTATTCTCTGAGAGACGAAGAGCGGCCTGCATGAATGTTTGGGAGACACCCTACATATATATCGTAATGCCCTCTTCTGTACAATGAAAATGCTATTGAACCTTTGTTGGCTGCACATGCCCCAGAAAGCAATACCGTATCTGAGGTGGGACTCTATAAGAGCGATAATAAATTGAAATATTGATTAGGCATCGAGATGGAATTACCTAAAATCTCCCATGGACCGCAGGGGAGCTAATTGCCCCAACAACCTGTCCATTTTTATCACAGATAAGGCTTCACTATAAGGGTGTTCTTTGACTATCCTTTCCACTTCGGATTGGTTGTAAGTATTGTGTTCTACGGTTAGTTTATTGGCCACCCAAGCGTTCGTTTCGGAGAGCGTACCTGAAAAAAATGAAACATTATCCTTCGGTAGGGATCATTTTTTGCACAAGAAGAACAAAATGTCTTTTTGTAAAAAATAGATATAACAAGCAAGTAACTGGTTTTTTCGTCGACCCCTACAAAAATAGTTATTTATTATACAAGGGAAAAAAGTAGTAGATTTCAGCTCCGCTACGCGTCGGGAGACAAAAAACCGTGAGCTAGAATCTAATATTTTTCCCGTGTATAATACACTATTTTTTTGTTATAGAAGAAAGTAAGAATCAATATTGAGAAGACATCACATTATTTTGAAATCTGGAAATTATCGAATGAAATTTCAAGTTTTTAACAGCAGGGACACCTTAATTGTAGGCATCTTTATCATTCTTTTGAAGTAATCAAATATCTGATGTTACTCCTGTCAGTCTAATTCTGTGATTTGATTAAAAAAAAATTGCGAATTTAGTGGTTTTGTAGTAATATACGTATCCGCGAAGTCGAATGGAAGATAAAAGGACTTGCAGTTCTTTCTCGGAGACGGTATTATTGACTCATTTTTCGACACTATAGCACAACAAAAGCCATCAACAGTGTATATACCGGGTGGCTACGGAAGTATTGCCTACGGAATATCTCAGTTATTGTATGAAGTAGGTTTGTGAAATTTGGAGCGTCGATATAATGACATAAGAGCTAGAATTTGAGCACATTGACATGTCGAAGTTAACTTCCGGTCTGACCGGAAGTAACATCAACTTTCTTATTTCAAATGGAAACCCTTTTTTTTCTTCTCGCTTTATTCAGCATTCAATTCCCTTTCTATTGACATATCACAAGTTGGTATCTAACCAGAAACTAGATCAGAAAAAAATTATTATTGAAATTCACCGAGTAGGCCGTGGAAGCAAAATGAAAGCCAAAAATTGAAAAGTTGGCTATGGAAACCATACGTCACTTGATAACAGTTGCTACTACTGTGATATTTTATTTTCATTCGTCGGCGTTATAAAAAGCCGCCAAAAAAATATTGGAAAAATTGGGAAAAAAACAATACTTACTCTGTAGGTCCATAACTTAAATAGGAACATACAACTTTTTCTTGCCTGTACTATTCAGCATAACCATTCCTTTCTAATGATATAATAGAAAGTCATTTTTTGAAATGAAATACGCTTCCACGGTCTACTCGGTGAATTTCAATAATACTTTTTTTCAGATCTAGTTTCTGGTTAGATACCAACCTGTGATATGTCATTAGAAAGGGAATTGAATGCTGAATGAAGCGAAAAGAAAAAAAATAGGGTTTCCATTTAAAATAAAAAGTTGATGTTACTTCCGGTCAGACCGGAAGTTGACTTCGACATGTCAATATGCTCAAATTCTAGCTCTTATGTCATTATATCGACGCTCCAAATTTCACAAACCTACTTCATACAATAAATGAGATATTCCGTAGGCAATACTTCCGTAGCCACCCGGTATATAGGTCGTTTACGAGGAAGACGACGTGGAGAACAATTTTTGCCATTGATGTATGAACGCGTCAAGAATGATCTGCCTAGATCGAATAATGCTCTAGAAGCATGGCATAGAAGATTTGGAAGTTGTAGTCATCCTTCCATATGGTATACTGAATGGTATAAGAAAAGAACAACAATATTTTGAACGTAAAATAGAACAGACGTTGGCTGGAAGACGAGAAACGTATGAAAATATTATGTCGATCTAGACAAGACAGTCAAATCTGTTGTAGATGAGTTTGAAAATACTGAACCTGTCGATTACTTGAGAAGTATTGCTCATAATCTCAAATAATGTATTATTGATTAATATTTATAGCAATAATAGAATGTATGGAATCGTTGAATGATTAAAAAATAAAGTGTAACAAAGCTGACATGTTCATTAATTTTCTGATATTTCCCATAATGTTATAGAAGATGCATCAGTTTAAGGCTAGTGATAGGGATTTTACTCATCAGCGATGAAATAAGAAAAGAGACTCAACACTGACGGAAGTAATAATGGAAACCCGAATAATATATTCGCTTATTCAAGAATCGAGTGAGAAATATGGATTCCCAAAAAAAAATTCAGGAATTTAGTCCAACTGACGTATTCGGCCAATTGACTTCGACGAATTGACTTCGACGAATTGACTTTCGACGAATGGACTTTCGGTCAACTGACATTGACCAGGGCCTACTCTATCTACCGGGCCGTAGTCTATCCCCTCTCTCTCGACGCTGACGTCACACTAGTAGGTTGAGATTTCACATCAGTCCGTACTGATGCGTTCGTAATTGATAGGCAATTTTAGAAGCACACTCAATCGAGACGAAATGATCCCCAACAAATTCCTCAACTTTTGGTGAAAAAATGAATCCAATAGGATGAATCAATACCGAGTTATGGCGTTGTAACGAAATTCCATTTTATTGAAAATCAGGACGTTGTACTACAGAATACTATTTTTTGCAAATTTTGAATTGGAATAAGATGACACTAACTCAATATATCAAACTACGATAATGAATCAATTGAATAGTGAAAAAATTGTAGAGTTACCTACAATGAGTCCGAAGGAAATTAAATATAAAGAGCGCGTAAAAAATGGGCCGTTATACCTACCTACCCAAATTTCGCTGCATTACGAATTCGCGGTAATTCCTTGGACTGGTAAAGGGCGATATACTTTTTATTACTCATTTTATTTCTAAATGGCGTATGGTTCAGACCAACTAATATTGGTGTCTGAAAAATTCGAAACAATATTTCTACAATGTAAGTCACAACATAAAGTTTTGGAGAATTTAGCAGAAATTAAAATCAATTCCCTGCTCAATTATTCCGAGAATCAATGTTGCAGTTGTGGGTCTTTTGATCTAATCAGCAGAACATTATCTAAAACCATTTCAAATATTCTGTTGAACAATTATTGCAAAATAAAAAAAAATTAAAAAAGAAAAATCACTAAACTTTCAGGATCAGATATAGTTCAGATTTCAATTTTTAGTTTGTGATTAGGATGATGTATATATATTTTTTGTTATTAGTGTATTTCATTTTGTGATATCTATAATTTTTTTTTATTTTGTTATGTTGATCAATTTTACAGTTTATTTTGTTTGTGTATAAGGATTCAACGTTTTTTTTTCATTTTTTCCTTATTTATTGATATATCGTTGTTCTGGGTATTTTTTTATTCAGTTCGTTATATTCATTTTTATATCTCTCATTGTTGAGATACATATTTTTTCAATTATTTTTATCAGGTTGTGTTCATATGAACTCCACATATTTTGTTCTTTTGATAGTTTGCAAATATATTCAAATACAATTTTTTTCATGAATTTAACGTTATCATTCAAATATATACTCTTCAGCAGAAAATAATTGATACCGAAAAGGCGTTTTTGTGTAATAACACACTCGAGTGATAGGATTTCTAACGTCATCAAAGTGCGTCCTGATCATCTTTAGAGATAAACGCTGCTAAAATCCTTCGAGATAAAGTGGATGTGTATCATACCCATTTGTAGGCAATCAAATTTCCTACAAAAAAGTCAGTGACAGCATATATCCATAGTTGATAGGATTAGCATGGGAGGCGTCCGAACTTTTTGAACTATTCTGTAATGAACACCTGAATCATCGTTCTACTTGAATTGAAATATCGGTTTGTTGTTGGTCCTTGGGAATTTCAAAAAAAACTCAGTCAATCTAGATACTATGCGAAATCTTTTCATGGTTGAATCATTTCTGTGATTGAATATTGGAATTTTGGTAGCTGTTTGAAAAAGGACAATTCTGAATGGCGTCAATTAATTTAATTAATGATCGTAAATCAGTGAAATGTTATTCATCTTCTGGAAAATTCTTTTCTGTACATATTTGACCTCTTGATATTTTTTGCTAACCGTGACGTTTTCCCGAGGTAAATCAATGAAACGGGAGAGACAATTTCCACTGCGTTGATTTTGTCCCTACTAGTGTGACGTCACGAAAGCGATGCTCCGACCCGGTGAGATAGAGTAGGCCCTGCATTGACCCGAATCGCGGTGTCTTTCTATCGTTATTTACTCTCGAGGTACCAACCTAGAACGGCGCAGGAGTCTCCCACGTTAGCCAGGTGCAGATGGGGCCCGTCCACGTGGGCGACGCACGCCACAGCGCCAGACATCGCCACCGACATCGTCTTCAAGTTGGGCGGTTGCCCCTTTTCTGGCAGAGCCTCCGTAGACAAATCCTCGTCCAGCCTCAAAAACGCCTTCTCGATCGCTTTGCGCATCTCGAAGGTCTTGTGGGGGCCCAGCTGGAAGGTAATAATGAACCGAATATAGGGGTAGAGTGAGGTTATTTGAAGGTTTTATCAGTTTACTCCGACTTGACTAGTACACAATTTTGAGTTAGTTTATCGACATCAGAGACATGAACATGTGGGTTACTTATTGATTGATTGATTGATAGATATGCTTTATTGTCCAAAGAGTATATCTTATTGACAAAGTTACAATTTCCTAAAACTACAAATATATGTTATCTATGTATTTTTTTAAACACAGTGTCACACATCCATATACACAATAAAAATTATAATTATTATCACAGTGAAGAATAGTTATTTATTATACAAGGGAAAAAAGTAGTAGATTTTAGCTCCAGGTTGTGTTGTCTCCCGACGCGTAGCGGAGGGAGACAAAAAACCGTGAGCTAAAATCTAATGTTTTTCCCGTGTATAATACACTATTTTTTTCTGTGACAGAAGAAAGTACGAATCAATAATGAGAAGATATTACATTATTTTGAAATCTGAAAATTATCGACGTGAAATTCTAAGTTTTTAACAGTAGGGACACCTGCGTTGTAGACATCTTTATCATTCTTTTGAAGTAATCAAATATCTGATGTCACTTCTGTCAGTCTAATTCTGTGATTTATTTTCAAAAAATTGCGAATTCAGTGGTTGTTCAGTAATATACGTAACCGCGAAGTCGAATGGAAGATGAAAGGACTTGCAGTTCTTTCTCGAAGACGGTATTATTGACTCATTTTTTGGAACTTTTGCACAACAAAAGCCATCAACAGTGTATATATATGTGATTTATATCTGGGAAAAAAGTACTCACTTTTTTCCCACGGGAAAAAAGTAATTTATGAAAAGTGACATTTTATAACCTGCCAACAGAGATGAAATGCCAAACTTTTTTCCCGTCACAGAAAAAAATAAAAAAAAAGATACATCATCAATATCACAGATTAAAAACATTCTCCAAAAAATTCTTGTAGACTATAATACGGTCTTTCACTGAGGAATTCTTTCACGGCCTTTCTGAAATGAGCATTATCCGTGGTTTTCAGATAATTTGGTAGGTGATTATACATTTTTAGACCATTGTATATGACTGAGTCCTTAACGAGGGTTGAGGTGGGTATAGGCAGTTTGAGGTGATTTGTTTGGCGGGTAATATGATGAGAATTTGAACTCGAAAATGTCTTTTTATGTTTATTGATAAGGCAAACCGTTTCTAATATGAAAATGGCATAAAGCGTCAGGATTTTATCTTTAATGAATAAAGGTTTGCAAGAGACTCGTGGTTTGACCTTAATTGTATCTTATCGCTCTCTTTTGTAAAATAAAAACTGGCTTCAAATGAGTATCAGCACAAACTCCCCAGAAAGGTATTCCATATCTCAAGTGTGATTTTATCAATGAAAAATATACAGTTTTTGCTGCAGAAGATCCTAGTTCACTAGAGGTTATCCTAACAGCATAACAACCGGAAGAAAGTTTTTTATTGAGCGTTGCGATATGGTCTTCGAATTTCAGTTTATTGTCTATTGATATCCCAAGAAATTTTGTGCATATTTTGTTCGTGATCACACTGTCATTCGTGCCTAAAGGTATGTCGTCTATACTACAACGGAAGGATACTACATTGGTTTTGGATATATTGAGTGATAAAAGATTACAATCACACCACTCTTTGATCTTTTGAATGTCTGAACAAATGGAATTATGAAGATCGCTTGCATTATTTGCACGCCATAGTATTGTAGTATCGTCCGCGAATAGAGTGAATCTTCCTTTGATATCAATAGATGTCAGATCATTAATGTATAACAAAAAAAGCATCGGTCCCAGTACTGATCCTTGAGGTACTCCAGTATTGATTTCAGCTACATCCGACTGAGTAGTAGTTTTAACAATTTGGCTTCTACCTGTTATGTATGATTTGAACCATTTGTGAGTGTTCTCATGGATACCATAGTGGTGAAGTTTATTAAGCAGTATTTCGTGATTTACGCAATCGAATGCTTAAGGTCAAGTTGCAAGTTTAGTTCAGTCAGTTCAATTCATGGCATAATAGATTCAACGCCCCTGATAGGAGATGAACCATTCTGCGGCCTTGGAAATTCTCATTTCCAAGAAGTACTCAAGCTGAAAACGCATTGAGAGCAACACAGTGGCAAATACTTCCAGGACTACAGCAGGCCAAAGCAGATCTCTTCGGCAATTTCAACCAAGCAGGATCGAAGATACTTATTAACGTCAGCGGAATAAGTCTAGAAGTAATAACGGGATTCCTAACAAACACCTAGGAAGGAAGCTAGATTTATAGGAGGGCAGCACCTGCAAAAACATATCATATCAATGATCTGTTGGGAGTAACAACTTGCCCCATCCACAGCTTTGCAGATGATAGTACCCTCCATACTGCGTTCTCTTCCAGAATTCCCATTTCTTCCCAGGAAACTAAGAACTCACGGCGCAGGCAGGTCAATGCTGTCAATGAAGATCTTGCTGAAATCACAGCCTGGGGAACGAACAACCTAGTTGAATTCAACGCCACCAAAACTCAAGCCTGCATTTTCTCTAGGAAGGCGGAACTCAGTATGCCCGATATTGTAATGTCTGACTCCACCATCCCCACCAAGCCCACCATATCTATGCTCGATATTTCCATCAGCAACACTCTTTCATGGGATAATCATGTCAGATCCATTGCAAAAGCTGCTTCACAAAAACTCGGATTCTTGTTCCGTGCGAAAAGCTACTTTACACCTCAACAGCTTCTCATGATCTACAAAGCGCAGATACGGCCTGTTCTAGAATACTGTTCCCACATATGGGGTTCAGCACCAAAACATACGCTGATGCTCTTAGATTCCATCCAGAGAAGAGCCATTCGCCTGGTGGGTGACGCCACACTCACTCACTCTTTGACATCATTGGAACACCGTAGAAAGGTCGGCGACCTTTCACTTTTCTATCGATACTTCCACGGGAAATGTTCTTCGGAAATCTCTGCAATCATCCCTTCACTAGCAATACCAATCAGACGAACTAGACAAGCCCAGTCAGCACATCCTTTCGTCGTCAACCTCGAAAAATGTCGAACAGCACTTTATCAAGACTCCTTCATCCATAGAACGGCTAAGCTCTGGAATTCATTGCCTGTGGAAGTATTCCCAACAACATAATATAAACAACATATAATCTCCAAAAATTCAAAAAAAATTACAATACCTACCTCCTGTCCCTATCCTCCCTAGGAACGCACGATGTTCTTTGAACGTTATAGGGATTCCCTTTCGTGCGCTCCAATCGATAAAAAAAAAATGAGAATGGTTTTATTTTTAGCATAAACATGAACGAAGGTTAAGATGGTCAAGAGACAATGAAATCAGTGTTCCAGCAACGGAAACGTTTCGTCGCCGTATGGTAACGCTGGGCTTACCTCCGACAAATCTCCTAGGAACTTGAACAAGCTATTAGCGTGAATATCCCTGACGTCATCAACGAACTGCACCTTGACGTTAATTGAAGGCTTCATAGTTAACATTGACATAAACAATGGGCAGGAGCCAAGAGGAGCCATTGATTGCGAGTTAAAACTAGTATAAACGGACATTGATGATCAACGAATGATTTTATCTTTAGCATAAACATGAACGAAGGTCTAGATCGTCAAGAGACAATGAAAGCAGTGTCTCAGCAACGAAAACGCTCCGCCGCCATACGGTAACGCTAGGCTTACCTCCGACAAATCTCCTAGAAACTTGACGAAGCTATCAGCGTAAATATCCCTGACGTCATCCACGAATTGCACCTTGTCGTTGTAGCTGTGCACGAGATCCGTCGCTTGAGACCCCGCCAACGAAGACAGATAGTGTACAAGGTGTTCGTGGGGCAACAGGCAGGCGGTGACGTAGTGGAAGAGTCGCTTGGCGATGACTTGTGCGCACGCCCCGCCCCCGTGACCGTCGAACACGCCTACCAGCAGTCCTGAAAACAATCGCAACGGTCAACTGTCAAGTCGAGAGCATAAGATATTTGGTGTCTATTTAGTCAACTTTAGCAATATTCTTTTTACCTTGTTACATTCTCACTACTGAGATCAATTGAGTTAGAAGGAGGTGAGATGGATCAGAGTTGTCGATTGGATAAAAAGAACATACTTTTATCTGTCAGGAAGGGCAAGGGAAGAAAACATAACCTAACATAATTCAACCAAAATGTAAAATGACCGAGGAAATTAATGAAGAGCATAGAAATATTATTGTAGTGAGTATTCAAAGAATTTAACCTGTGGACTGTAACTTCAAAGCTGAAAATTCGACAAAATGAAAATATAACCTCACTATTTTCAGCACAGAACCTCAGAATTACTAGAATCAATCCAGTCTCACCTTCTTCTCACTACAACACCAGATGAATAGCAAGCTCAGTTGGGGTGAGGGGAAAGAAATAGTCTCAATAAGTTCATAAGACAACTCACATTAGACTAAGCTGAATGAAACATGTTATACAACTGAGCTATTGAGCTGCACTGAGAATCTTGGTCACTCTCAGTCAAACTTTTGTCTTCGTCTCAAGTCTCAGTCTCAGTCTTTATCTTCAAGAATAAGGACATGACTATTTTTTTTTTTATCGATTGGAGCGCACGAAAGGGAATCCCTATAATGTTCATACAACTCATGATATTAGGACTCAGGACTTCGACAAATGACACAAATGACAGTACACTACACTGTTTTACCACTAACCAAACCGATTTTTTTAACGCCTCGACACGTGTTTCGCTAACTATGTTAGCATCTTCAGGAGAAGATTAAAACTAAATATCCTATTCTAGTGTGCTACATATATACTAGGTAAAAAACTAAACTAAAATTAGAACAAGGACTGAGACTGAGACGAAGACAGAGTTGACTAAATAGACCCTTGATGACAAAGAAATCATTATTTACTGTACACAGTGCGCCTCTTAAAATGAAACCTCCCTTTACTCTTTTGATTTCAGAAATATGAAAAAATGTGGAATGAAACGTTTCTTGAAACGATCCAAACTTTGATTCCAGGACTATCAGTCATTAGTGCGTTATGTTAGCACAAGAATATTGCTATTCTGGCTACCAGCATGAAATTCGGTACACATGTTGATGAATATATAGAAAACAAAAAATCCATCGGGACACACGCTGTATCTGGAGCTAGATTTTTGCTAATATCTCCAGAACGGTGGGGAATATCGGGAAAGTTCAAAGTGATGAAATATAGAGGATATTAAGGCGGTCATTTTTTGTTCGAAACATTCTTTTGTCAGACGAATCAAAAATTCAATAATCGAAATATTAAAATTCGATTTTTCAAGGTTTCTCAAGAAAAAATCAAAATGGAAACATTCAGGCTAAGATTAGCCACAGAAATCATGATTCTGAGTTATGTGTATGATGAACTCTTTCTTGAGGATTCAAACCGAAGGTACCATTACGTAAAATGGCGGTCAATTATTTTAATCTAAATAAAATCATATATCAATCATGTTATAGGCTTGATGTTTAATTAAGTTAGTTTAGATCAGTAAGAATCTTGGTGAACTAACTATTACAACAGTATTACAAATAATGTTTATTGAGTACACTGTCCATCACACGTGCATAAAGCAGTACACTGCAAATTAAATCTATTGCATTTTCAGTTCTGAATACACATTGTTTTGCATCTGCAGCTGATCAATTCTGAACATTCATCAGATGCTTGTGGCAAAACTGTCCAAAGTGGTTCAATCGTTTCATCTTAACATTCCAGATTTGACGACTTCCATCCACAGTTAGTTGCATTTGGAATATACGGTTGCAATTCCAGGGTGTGAAAAATTGAGTGAGAGATCAAAGTGAGTATACCGGGTAAGGCATTTATATTGAGACAAAATGATATCTCGGTTCGACTCGATTATTTCGAAAGACATTTCAGACGAATAATGTAAGGCCAATGATTTCCAATCCAAATATGTGCTGAACAATGGGTGTTTCTATTAAAAAAATCGACTTCCGCTCTAAAGGCTCCACTTCCGGTCTAGTACAATATTTCTCAGATTTTGTTTTCGAAATAATCGAATACAAGCGAGATATAATTTTGCCTCAAGATAAATGCCCCACCCGGTATATTGTAGAGTTAAAAAAGATATTCTATAAAAATAGATGAACACGTGTGTAACGAGGATTTTTATGAATAGGTAGGGATACTCGGTAACGGGGTAATTGTTGGTATTTTGAATGATGTTTTGAGAAAACGAGGATTCTCCACTGAATATATTCAATTTATTGACTTTAATATCAGCCTCACAAGAAAATGTTTCAGACAAAAAATGTCCGCCTTGTAATTTTCTTGATTTCATGAGTTTGAATTCTTCCAAAATTTTGCACCGTTCTTGAGATATCAGCAAAAATCTAGTTTTCGGCCGCCATTTTAGAAAATGGCGGACGAAATATTCCAGACACAGCTTGTGTCTCGATGGTTTTTTGTTTCCTATATATTTCTCATCATGTATGCCAAATTTCATGATGGTAGCCAGAAAAGCAATATTCTTATTCTTTTTTGAACCAACCCAACGCACTACATGCATTTATTGAATGATCGTAAACTCATCATCATAACATGCTTAGGAATTGAGTTGTAAGTTTTGACAGCATTGTACGTGAAGCCCCTTTGAAATAAGGATGTCAAATTATGTGGCATCGTAAGATTATTTTTATGTCTAACGTTAACCGAATGAGTCCGAAATCTTGGTAGCAGCTTAATTTTCCTATTAGCAATATTGTTATAGTTTCTCATCATTTTGTAGATAAAAATGGATGAATGAAGTTTCCCACGATTTTCCATATTGAGCCAGTTCAACTCTCTAAATTTATCGGAAACATAATATGCCATTATTATTCCACTTACCTGTAGTTAACAAACATGATGCTTCAGATCTGGTGTCTTCTATAGGATTGTTTGATGCTAACTGATTTGAATCGTACGATTTGACAGAACCTTCGTTGAATTCATGAGAGTATTCGTTGGCACGGAGTATTTGATCTACCTGAGAGAAAAAAAGGATTTTGAAATATTTTAGGGGAACAGGTCCAACAAAACAGACTAGAGAATTTTCGATAAATTTTCTTTCCTTGAGAAAATTCAAAAGCTTCCCGTTTGGTAAGAATTCTGTTCTATTTTTTTAAGGTGAAAAACGCACCATATGTTATCTCGAAACGGTTTTGGAATTATTCGAATTGTCTCACTCATTCCTGAAATATGAATATTTTCTTAAGATAATGCATGATTTGATGGTTTAAATTTCTATTTTCTGCAAGCGACACAAAAGTCGTCCATTTTAATCCCAAAATCAGCTCTTGAATTGACGTTTCTATTACTGACACAAACATAGGTATGTTGCTAAGCAACACTTTTAGTTCCTAGGAGGTAAAGTTGAACTTTAGCTCCTAGGAACGAAAAAGGATGTACTAGAGGTCATCAAGAATAAACAACATTGTTACTGTTGGTTATTTGGGTTGGGACGCATACCTGATTTGTTCTCGATTTCGGCAGATTTGGCATTTCATACCCATGCTGGAGATATGAATACACAATATTATAGTAACGTATTTTTGTTTTGATCAGGAAAGCCTTCAAGATTCACATACTTGCATAATCTGTATTTCATTCTTTATCCTCGAGATGGATAACTTGTTTTTGAATAATCACGGCCAGCAATACTTTTTTGTCTCACACAACGATATTGTTTACCTTCATCTCATTACCAAGCCAAACTCAGTGGAGTATGGAGAGAAATAATCGCTATTATTATTGTTGTTATGCTCACTAACCTAACATTTTCCACGTCTTTTTCTTATACCTGGCACTGGCGCGGTATTTGAACAAACCTGATCTGTTAATGCAGGTAGAATATTCCCACCACTCGGATTGCATTGCATACATTTTTTCAAACGGTGTTCACATACAGTGTGACCCATTTAAGATGGAAGCACCCTTATAAAACTTACATTTTTCAACCGATTGGAATGATTTTTTTTTTTGTTAGGTAGATATTCAAAAAGTCTATTAGGACACCAAATATCATGAATAAATCTCCATTTCCAGGGCCAACTAATCTGATTTTTCAAGGTCAAAAATCTAAAAAAATTACTAGCGATTTTTTTAGAAAAAATCTGACTACACCACTGGATTTGTGACATTTTCAAATGGGTAACATGTAGATTACGTTGAAATGCGTCAATCAATAAAAAAGTTATAAAGGAATGAAATTTGAAAAATATGCCGTTCAATCAACTCACCAATTCATGTTCAGGAATTTTATGAAAATTCTGTATACTCCACTGGATTCAGGATGTCTTGAAATAGTACTGATCACAGTTTCATCGAAATCTGTTCAGTAATAAAAATTGATGGGTTGATCAAACGGCATATTTTTCAAATTTCATTCCTTTATAACTTTTTTATTGACGCATTTCACCGTAATTTACATGTTACCCATTTGAAAATGTCACAAATCCAGTGGTGTAGTCAGATTTTTTCTAAAAAAATCGCTAGTAATTTTTCTAGATTTTTGACCTTGAAAAATCAGATTAGTTGGCCCTGGATATGGAGATTCATTCATGATATTTGGTGTCCTAATAGACTTTTTGAATATCTACCTAACAAAAAACAAATCATTCCAATCGGTTGAAAAATGTAAGTTTTATAAGGGTGCTTCCATCTTAAATGGGTCACACTGTATCTTGAAATAATACATGATCAACATATTCATTGATACAGATTATTCCACGAATAACAATTATGACACTACATCAAGTGTTGGGTAGTTTATTCCATATTTACAATTGAGATCACTCGAAATAAATATGTAAAAGATATTGAAGCAGTATTATTTGTCAAATCGAGAATTCACAATTATAGTTTTGAACTTTCGCTGAAGACTGCAAGGACACCCCAAGCTTGTTTTCATTTGAAAAAATAAACAAAACTAATGGTTTGAAAAACTCCAAAAGACTGATCCAAAGGTCAAATTTTTTATGATACAAGAACCAACTCTTTTTTACCGATCATTTTTTCGGCCAGTCGATCAGCATTTTTCCTGAATTCAAAGTTATATCACGAGTAGATATTTGAATTTTTTTTAAATGTGTAAGAACTTGAATCAAAATTAATTCGAACTTGCCAAAATCGTTTATTTGGCTACACAAATACATCAATCAGTTGGTGATTAGTGGTGATTTTTTCGAAAAAAAAAAACATGGCAGAGTTCAGCTGGCTGAGTTCTTTATAAACTGGGCGTCAATTGAAACGTTAATAGTGAAATTTGGCATCAAGTTTGACTTCTTGTAATTTCTAAAATATTGAACGAATTTTGAATTGCCGCCCAGATTCTGAATGCCTTTTTCATCGTCTTTCGAACCGTTCCTTACAGCTTCTTCTAAATTGATCAGGGCCCGTGATACAGGGTGAAACAAAGTTTCGTGCATTTTGAAAAAAGATTCTCCGCCCCCCCATTTCGTCAGAAGACCACAATGCTAATATTTTATTTGGGCATTTCATAAATAGCAACCATACCTCGGGACGTTTTCGAGTTTCTGCCAAAAACTACTGTGGTTTCCGAAAAAAAATTTTTTTTTGCATTTTTTTTAAATGGACTAATTTTAGAGAAATTCCATAAATGGATGCTTTTATGCATTTCAGGAAATCGTTGGAGCAGATATGTATACCAGGTTACTCAAAAACAATCAATAATTTATTACTTCGCAGTCTATGATGAAAGTTTTCTACCTTAGTGAGCAGTAAATCAACACATCTCATCAACAAATACAAAAAAGGATACTTTGTTTTTATAACAGCGTATTGTTGAAACAATGTAGGTATGCATAGAGGTTATATCAATTGCCAATTTTCATGAAAACGTCAGTTCAATTCGGGTCCTAAAAAATTTAAAGATGCCTCGTTCAAATCGGGTCGAAATGGAAAATATCATTAGGTAAGATCACTATAGTGATATTAACTATAATTCAATACAGATAATTATTATTTCAGGTTACGACGATTAAGATATACCCAAACTCATTTAAGTACCATTTTCAATAAGTTAGTCATGACAATAAAGAGACTGATTCATCGTTTTGGTGATACAGGTAATTAGTCCATTAAAGAAAAATGCTAAAAAAATTTTTTTTTCGCAAACCACAATAGTTTTTGGCAAAAACTCGAAAACGTCCCGAGGTATGGTTGCTATTTATGAAATGCCTGAATAAAATATGAGCATCGTAATCTTCCGACAAAATGAGGGGGCGGAGAAATTTATTTCAAAATGCACGTAACTTTGTTTCACCCTGTATCATGGATCCTGATCAATTTAGAAGAAGCTGTCAGGAACGGTTCGAAAGACGATGAAAAAGGCATTCAGAATCTGGGCGGCAATTCAAAATTCGTTCAATATTTTAGAAATTACAAGAAGTCAAACTTGATGCCAAATTTCACTATTAACGTTTCAATTGACGCCCAGTTTATTAAACTCCAGCACTTTTCTGGTACCACATGAAAAATGTTTTGCAGTTATCAAGTGGATTGTGGAACTATGTAAATGTTGACAATGGATATAATTCCACTTACGTAGGTATCTAATTTACTGAGAATTTTTATTTATTATACAGATTGATATTATCTTGATCGTTTAAGATATCTTTACTTAAGTGATAGTGACTAAATATCAATAAAATTTCACCAGTTTGTAACAATATTTCATAATATTCCAAAATAACAATGGTCAAAATGAAAACACTGCTTTGTCCACAGGTCAATACTGAAACATTTTTAGTTAATTTATTTCATTTTCAACATTCACATTTCATTTTAATACAGATTTTCTATAATTTGACTTTTTTTTAAAGACATAGAAACTATCAAGAAGTATTCAAAATAACAACTTTCTAAGTTACAGAAATTACCAAAGGTGGAGACCATTCGCAACATCTTATAAAGCCAACTAGTAAAAGAAGGAATGACAGCCTACTGGACAGACAATAGCTATTGTGGGACGAGTTTTCGGCCAAACAGATTCAAATCCTGAATTCTTCCAGAACTATACTGTACCTGCCCAGTCGAATTAGAAGGAATGCTATCATTCGAACTATTGGAATCAGTCGAATTCGAAATATCAGAATCAGTCGAATTCGAAGAACTGCCACCATTCGAAATATTGGAAAAAACATTGTCAACCAACTCCTGCAAAGCAGTAACTCTGGCCTCCACCAATAGTATAACATTATTAAGAGAATTTGCTATAGCAGCTGCTATCGAGTTGCTCGGCAATTCAACCACATAATATCCTTTAATCAAAGACAGGATACCCTCGAAGTAACTGTCAACTAATTTTTGTACCGTACCAACAATATTGGACACAATATTCGTGAAAAAGTTAGAGCTGCTGTCGGCCCTTTGAAGAAGAACGTCCTGTTCAGATAGCTCAAACCTCCCTGAATCGAAGCTGACTTGCCTAGTAGTGTTAGTACTGTTAGTAGTGTTAGTACTACCACCATCAAGAATATTCGTAAAAACACTGTCTATTCTTTCTTGCAAAGCAGTCACTCTTGCTTCAGCAAACAAGACAACCTTGTTAGTAACATTAGCTATGGCAGCTGCTATAGTATTCTTTGGCAATTCTGCTATGTAATATTCCTTGAGGAGAGATATGATACTATCAAAGTAACTGTCAACGAAGCCTTGTACGATCCCAACGAAGAAAGATAAGATCTTCTTGAATATGTTAGAGACAACATTAGCTCTTTGGTAAGACACTTCTTGTCTTGAAATGAAGCTGACTTGCCTAGTGGTAGTGTTAGAGCTAGTACCATTGAGCAATTCGGAAAAGAAATTGTTCACAGTCGACTGTACTGTTTTTACCACACCAGATGCTTGGTCAATGAGGGTATTTGTGGTATTCGAAATCATTGCTAGAATCGGATTCGTTGGAGTTTCAGTAGTGTAAAAGGACTCTAAAATTGCTGTGACATTGTTGAGAATGTTGTTGAAATTTGCCTGTACTGGCTCGAGCAATGTTTTCAAAAATGGCCTGAGTATGCTAGGTACACTGATGGCTCTATCAGATCTAGTTAAGCTACTAGGCTGGTTAGCTAGTTTTAAAGGAAGTGAAGTGTTGCCAAGCAGATTTTCCAATGTTGCCACAATCTCTTTTATCCTGTTGTTGGTCGAGAGGGTGGCAGAAATGGCCATAAAGGGTTTGTTTTTGTACTGGTTTTGGATGTAAGCCTGATTGTAGGTTTTGAGTAATTCTCCAATCGCTGAAGTGCTGATTTTCAGGTGATTGTCTGAGATTTCTAAGAGGTCAGCTCCAGCTTCATAATTCACTAGCTTCACTAAGGATACCACGATTTCACTGGCTGCCCCATATTCTTCATTCGGGGCTGCTGATTTTTCACTTTGTGAGTTGATGGCAGTGTTTACGAGGACCTTTATCAAATAATTATCATTCAGGTTGTTTTCCACAATTGGTACGGCTCCATTTTGGTTTGGATCTGGAACTGCTTGGCAATTCACAGATATCAGCACCACCTGTAATTATTTGAGAATCTGTTAGGACAATGGATATGATTTTCGACAAGATGAGATTTCTTACCGTGACTATCACTTTCAACATTATCATTTTCGCAGGAAACATTTTGATGAATGTGCTGAAATCATGATGCTCACAATTTTTGTTGAATTTATAACAATAGGAGAGTTAAGCTTCCAGTAAATAATCCATAAGTATCTGCAGGAATTTCGCATCTGCTTACGATGTTTTTCTTTGGATCATTCATTATTGACAATATGATTTCTAGAACAAGCTTATAAAATTCGTTTAGATTTCAAAGATGTAGAGCTTAAGCATATTTTTGTTTTTATAAGGTCAAATATCAAAATCCAATATGAAAAAAAAGTAGCATAGTGTCTAATTAATCGGATAGAGCCACCGAAGATCTACTGGAGATCTACTTGCCTACGTCACCCATTTATGGCAAGCTTCATTAGAAAAACACGGGGAATCTCTAGCTGTCGCGTTGGACATATCGAAAGCATTTGACCGTGTTTGGCACGAAGGACTCCTCCACAAACTACCATCATACGGCTTACCACCTCAGCTATGCCATCTCTTATCGAGTTTTCTTTCAGGTAGATCGCTTCATGTGGTGGTGGACGGTGTATCGTCTGATACAATTGGCATCAATTCCGGCGTTCCACAAGGATCAATTTTGGCACCAACATTATTCCTTCTTCATATCAATGATCTGTTGGGAGTAACAACTTGCCCCATCCACAGCTTTGCAGATGATAGTACCCTCCATACTGCGTTCTCTTCCAGAATTCCTATTTCTTCCCAGGAAACTAAGAACTCACGGCGCAGGCAGGTCAATGCTGTCAATGAAGACCTTGCTGAAATCACAGCCTGGGGAACCAACAACCTAGTTGAATTCAACGCCACCAAAACTCAAGCCTGTATTTTCTCTAGAAAGGCGTAACTCAGTATGCCCGACATTGTAATGTCTGGCACCACCATCCCCACCAAGCCCACCATATCTATGCTCGGTATTTCCATCAGCAACACTCTTTCATGGGATAATCATGTCAGATCCATCGCAAAAGCTGCTTCACAAAAACTCGGATTCTTGTTCCGTGCGAAATGCTACTTTACACCTCAACAGCTCCTCATGATCTACAAAGCGCAGATACGGCCTATTCTAGAATACTGTTCCCACATATGGGGTTCAGTACCGAAACATGCGCTGATGCTCTTAGATTCCATCCAGGGAAGAGCCATCCGCCTGGTGGGTGACGTCAAACTCACTCGCTCTTTCACATCATTGGAACACCGTAGAAAGGTCGGCGACCTTTCACTTTTCTATCGATACTTCCACGGGAAATGTTCTTCGGAAATCTCTGCTATCATCCCTTCACTAGCAATACCAATCAGACGAACTAGACAAGCCCAGTCAGCACATCCTTTCGTTGTCAACCTCGAAAGATGTCGAACAGCACTTTATCAAAACTCCTTCATCCATAGAACGGCTGGGCTCTGGAATTCATTGCCTGAGGAAGTATTCCCAACAACATATAATCTCCAGAAGTTCAAAAAAAATTCCAATACCTACCTCCTATCCCTATCCTCCCTAGGAACGCACGATGTTCTTTGAACATTATAGGGATTCCCTCTCGTGCGCTCCAAGCGATAAAAAAAAATTAGATTCAGTGAAAATCAAAATGCACATACTAGTAGAAGGTTTTTGTGAATATTGTTTTTTTCATCATATCATATTGAACCAGTAGGCTTAGAGGTATCAAGATGTTTTCCCACAGGTCACCAAATTTAGTTATGCATAGCTTAAAATTATAGTATCTTCTTCAATCAAATCTTGCGTCATAAATTGACTTTACCAATACAATACACATTTTTTTAATGATAATGAGGAAATGGAATTCCATTCCTTATTTTTTTAGCTATTTGTGATACCTAAATAAATAATGTCTGATAGAAATAATGAGAATGATTGATAGAGACGTTACTTTTTTGGTGCGTTGTTATTTTTTTGATTCCATATGTATAGGTAGGCCTTTTACGGATATAATATATATGCTTGTTTATTTTTGACAGGTAAATTTGAAATAACGAAGGTGGGTAATCAATATTATGCATTTACCTTCAGTATTCTGAAAATATTGAGAATTAGTTGTATCGTAAAAATGTACCAAATAACAAGAATAGTACTGTTGCTCGCTGTAAGTAAAATTACAAATTTTCACATGGTTCACATGACATCTACCGGGTGTCAACGAATAACTTCTACTATATTCGGTGTACCAAAATGAAATTTGATATGGGTATATGATATGTGAACAGGAAAGTTTTCGCATGATTTTCACTTACCGGTCATTTTCGGTTTTACCGAAAATGGCTCCGGTAATAAGTTTTTAAATGGAAAACCCTGTATCGTAATACAGGGTGTTGCTTAATGATGTGTTAATATTCAAGGGACCGATTCTTCGACCCATTTCAAGAATAAAACTTCATATGAACATATGTCGTGAACGTCCTAACTTATGATATACAGGGTGTCAATGTTGAACATATGCATAGATTATTTTTTTGTCCACCCTGTATAGCTTTTCGTGATGGCAAAATTTAGTCTGCTATGTTACTGACTCGGTATACAAATTTCGAAATGTAACATACGGTGGTTATCCAGTAATGGATGTCCTGAATGGAGTACTCAAACATCAAAATTTGAAGTCTGGTCTCGTTTTCCCGTTTTTTCTCGAAAACGAAGTGTTCTATCGAGTATCAACAAGAGGATCTTTTTTGTACATAACTAAATAGCCTTTAATAGCATTGTATGAAATTTGAAAATTTTTCGTCGTCGTTGCTCACTTTTAAATAAAATATAAACAATAATTTTCCCGTAACGGTGCCACTAGTAGAGGAAATGAAAATTTTTGTACATCAGATGATGCAACTTGATGCATAAAAGACGAGTACCAAATTTCAAAAAGATATATACAATATTGTCATAGTTATCATCAAAAATCTGAATATTTTTCTAAACTTCATCACCCTGTATCTCATAAGTTAAGACTTTTAAGACATACGTTCATATAAAATTGAATGTTTGTATGTCCTTTGTAGAATCGTAAACGGTTTGACCGATTTCACAAAATCTTTTTTTGTTGTGTTTGTTAATGAGGCAGCTGATCGCCTTGCAAAAAAAGGTGCAGCATCTGCACTTTTTGGTCCTGAGCCTTTTTGTGGGATAAGCAAATGTCACCTAAAGAGAGAACTAGGGAAATGGGAAGAAATTGAAAAGTCCTCCTACTGGAGAGCAACTCCAGGTCAACGACAAGCGAAAAGGTTCATCAACCATTCGCAGAACCGAGCCAAAGAGCTACTCAGCCTCAGCAAACCAGAGCTAAAGCTTATCACAGGCTTTCTCACAGGACACGGTTCTCTGAGGTCCACCTCAAAAAGATGGGTCTGGCGGAGACTGACACTTGCCGCTTTTGTAACAATGCGACCGAAACCGCGGAACACATACTTTGCTCATGTGAAGTATTGGTCCGCCAAAGGCTGAACCACCTAGAACAGGTCTATCTCACCCCTGCTGAAGTGGAAAAGTCAACCGTCAGGTAAATCGTAGGCTTCATCAGAAGTCTAGGGTTAGAGGACCAAAACTAGATAGGGGTAATCACAATAGATCTTCTAGGTCGCAGTGATCGAGAGGTCTCTCAGCCTATACGACCTATCTACAATCTACACTCTCTATTGTCAGGAGAAGGTTCCTATAAGAGAAAAAATGGCGGATCCAATATGGCGGACGAGTTTTGTAATTATAATCCGTTAATATTCAAAATTGGTATCTGGGGGTTTTTGGGGTCGAAGATTCTGATTCTTTTGTCAAAATTGGAAAATTCAAGATGGCGTATTCAATATGGCGGACAAGTTTTGTGATTATAATCCGTTTATATTCAAAATTGGCACCTGGGGTATTCTGGGGTCGAAGATTAGGACTCATTCCTCACCGTAAAAAATACTAACCGTCCAGTTAATGTTTTGTCATGGTTGAGTTCACATGTTAATCTCAATTTTTATATTACTAAACTATATAGAGGGTTATATGGAATAGGTCCATTATCCTTATTCATTACTCTATTACTATTCTCAAATATCTCTAAGCTTTCATATGCGTCTATTTTTCTAATATTATCACACAATATGTGTGTTATGATTGTGACTGAACATATGTTCGGCTACACTTGATTTATCTAACCTGCTATATTTCAAATGTGCTATGTGTTCTTTGAACCTTCTTTTTATGGGTCGCCTGGTTTGGCCGCGCCTATATATGTTTCATCACAATCATTACAACTTATTTCGTATATTCCCGAATTTTCAAGTGTGTTCACTTAATCTTTCGGATTCCCTAATAAATTGTCTAATTTTGACCCAGACTGATAAACGCTTTCTAAACCTAAGTCTTTGAAAACCTTATCAAGTCCCTTCGTATACTTGGGATTGAACGGGATTGGGATTCTTTTAGAGTTTTTTTTATCCACTTGAAAAGTCGTAGAATTTCGAAGTGTTAACTTAAATTTATGTCTACGTATTAATTCATCTACTATTTTGATATCATTGCCATTGACGCCAGCCTTTATAAACAACACTTCTTTCAGCATTGAATCTTTCTTTGCTCAGAGGGAATGAAATTAATCTATGTACTAGGAAATTTAAACTTGCCATTTTGTGCTGAAAACAGTGATTGGAGTCATTAGGTATGCATCTGAATGCGCTAGTTTCTTTTCTAAAAACATAAAATTATTTTCGCTATTTTTGATCACAAGTACAGTGTGTCCAGTTTTCGATGCTTTTACGTGATATCTCAGTTATCTTTGGAGATAGAACCTTGCGGTTTTCGCGGCCCTGTGCCACTTTTTTGTGAAACTCAAGATGGCCTAATCAGATTTTGCAAGACTGTTTCCGTTTATGAGATACAGGGCGATTTTGAAAATTTATACTTTTTGGACCCCCTCCATATCCACGAAGTTTCACAACAAAAATGTCAAATCAAAATCTTATCGCATAGAGAATTTCACGCATAATCCAGTGGCGCACTTAATTTTTTTTCTCGGGGTATGGTTTTGGAGATATGACTCAAACTTATGATTTTTTAAATGGAACACCCTGTATTTCATAAGCTCATTGAATTCCATATTTTTTCGTCTTCAAAATGATATATAGAGAATGAATATAAGATTTTCAAAATTGCTCAAAATCACTAAAATATTGAATTTTGATAGTTGGTTATGGATTTTTCTTATAAAAAACGTTCCAATTGA